AGATATGAATAAAATAGACGGCAAAGCTGTGGATCCATTCATTGCAAAATTCTATTTACAACATCCAGATGTATAATAAAAAATGCAATACTAAGAATTCCAAAAAATCATATAATAATAGACAATTTTAGTGACCCAAGGAGGACTTCTTTAAGAAGAGCAAAACATAAGCAAATAATTGAATTTGTATAAATACAGAAATTACTAAGTAAATATGATAGACCAATTGACATAACTTACAATTGAATATCCAGTTAGATGTAAACTTTGTCCAAATCTAGAAGTTTGTATGGATATCAGAAGTTATATTGCACATTTTACTAATTTTAAAAAGATGTTTCCAACAAAAGGTTATGTTTGTCCATTATGTAATTAATAATTAGGATAATAAATTCTACGAATGAATATTTAAAATTACATATATTTAGATCCAAATATACTTTCATATATGTTTAAAGACATGTCTTACACTAATGGAATTAATATTTTTGAATATAAAGGAGAATAATATTTGTGGTAAGAATTTAATTATAGATACAAAATTAAAAGAGAAGATTATGTTTCAGATTTATATCAAAGATAGGTTGTATTTAGGCAACTGTTTTGTATAGTTAATAAAGAATTGAGAATTCGGTAACCTTTAATCCTTTAAAAATGTCCTGATAGAAAAATTGTTGACTTTAAATCATTTTATCAAGAATTAACGAAAATAAACTTTGATTTAGAAAAATAAGGACTTATCTTATGTAGATGCAATTATTGTAATCGCAATCCCATTAAGTTTATCGCAGGATAAATCTATTTTCATGAAGCCTTTTATGAAGCTTTTAATAAATATTATCAAATCGAACATAATAATCAAAATGAGTCTCACTTTACTTATATATTTGCTGATACAGAGATAGATAGTTAAATCATAAATGATGTAATCTATTATAAATTAATTTAGGTTGTTGAAGATTTATGTTAAGATTAGAAATTTCAAAGAATGTTTAGAAGAAATACTATCAAAGGATATTCTTTAAATTTTCAAATGGTGCAAATAAATATTGGCATTTTCTCAATTTATTTGGATTATGATGGTATTTATGTAGATCTAGTCAGTGCAAAGAATCATATCAATTCAACTATTAATCTAAAATAAAGAAAATATCACTTTTAAATCACTAAGATTGATTTTTAATTAAGTAATTCAATTTTTGGATTTATTAGTAATAATTATAGATTCTCATCAGATTAATGAGTGTTTCATATTTATAGTTTCTTTTACCTTAAAAACTTAATAATCTTCTATAAAATATTCTCTATTTATGACTTTATTGTATTTTGTTACTTTTTAATATCACCATTTCATAAATTTATATATCATATTTAATTTCCTTATTAAATTTCCTAAATTAATTCTTCAAATAATCAATTTGTGATCCTAAAAATATGAATTATTTATTTACTTCTTCCTCAAATAGAAATTCAACTAAAAGTATTATTCAACCTAAATAGTTAAGATCTTTATAATAATTCTAAAAGCAACAATATATCATTATGTTATAATTCACTTATTAGATCCCTAAAAATCTTAACTTCTATATTTAAACTAATTTAATTCTATGTGTAAGCTTTAACTGATTCTAAATGAAAGAGAATATTGTCATCACTTAAGTAACCTACAGTTATATGTTTATTGTGATTAATTTCTTAAATGTTGATCTTTTATTTTTGACCCATAGAAGTTGTACAATACGATTTTTAAATTAGTTATTTACTTTCATAGTATATAAAAGTGAAATTATAAATAAATCAAATGAAAGCTTTAATATTTTTATAGGAAAAAGCAGAGCAAGAAGGCACTGGATTTATTCCATTTAAAGATGAAAGAGACGAACTAGGAAATCTAAAGGGTCTTACAAAAAGAACTTTTTCAAGAACAAATAATAAAAAAAGTGAACATATTTTTGATAGAACAACCTCTAACACTTCGAAAGCATCTTAAAGGTAATAAATTGATAGTTATAGTGATAGAAATAGAAAAGTGAAATTTCTTAAAGAGATTTATTCAACTCATGGGAATTCTGATTGGTGCAGCTTAACTCATTTGCGTCAACTTGATAAAAAAATGTAATTAAATATTGAAACAGAATTGTAAGTGTAAAAGCCGCTCACAGGGTTGAATTAAAAATTAGAATTTAACGATGGAATCATGAGAAAGTTTACAACTAATATTTGCAATTCACCAAGGCTTGGAAAAAAATATAAAACTGAAAATTAGACTCCTCCTTTAGGGTATTATCAACCATAAGAAATCTTAAAAACACAACCTATGCTTGTTTTCATGGATCAATAACTTCCAAATGAAAACAGGTTATCCCAGCATAAATTCAGTAGAACTGAAGCATATACTGCTTAACTTGGTATAAGGCCAAAATTATCACCAAATAAAGGCTCTCCAGTTACATAAGAGATTCTAGAGAAAGCCTTTAAAGCTGAAAGAATAATTACATAGTAAAAATACAAATATATCCCTGAAATGATTGATGAAAAAAATCTCGAAAATATAACAGCTAGAATTAATTGCATAAGATAAAAAATCTTACAATAAAAAATAAACAGTCTATCGAATTAATGATTTTCTCGTGCTTATATTATTTTAAAAAACATAAATTTTGACTTTAACTCTCCAAAATCAAAAATAATTAAACAGTTTTTCTTCAATATTATGATTAATTATAATTATATATATTAAAATAAATATACATAATCAAGCACAATTATATTTAATGATAATTGATTTGATTATTAAAAATAATAAATATTTAATATATGAGAAAGGTGTTTATATTAGAATTTATATTGGCTGCTCATGTTGTATTCTGTATTTTGATCGAAATGTAATCAGTGATATTTCCAATTCAATAAAAATTAGTGGATTTAGATAATGTAGGACCTGTGAAAAAGTATAATTAATAAATAAATTGAATAGAAATAGTCATGCTAATCATAATTCATATTTTGATTTATTTGGATTCTTTGGATTATGTATTTGGTTAATATTGAAATACTTTTTTGAAGGATTTAGATTTAATTCAATTCTTATTATGGCAGCATATACATTCTTCTTTTTTGATAGAGTATTCGATCATTTTATATTAATAGGCATTGTAATTTGCAGATAAAATATTATGTTAAGTAGCAGCTGTATTAACTATTTTATATATTTGGACTTTAATAAGTTATCCTGTTTATGAATTTCCAAAGACAACAGGTAAATATAGAACTTGTTATAAATAAATCAAATTAAATGATAGTTTATCAACTGATACATCTGTTTATTATCCATGTGCTGATAATAAATAAGAAGATATTAAATATAAATGGTTACCTAATAATAAATTTGCTAAATAATTGTATGAAATATCTGTTTTATAAACTAAATGGGTTCCATCTGAATGGGTATTTGATATTGGATTAGGTCTCTTAAAGTAATTAATATATTTAAATATAGTTTCATTAATTTTACAGCAAGTGTTGAATAACCATTATTAAATACAGAATTAGATGTAATTATATTTAGTCATGGATTTTCATAACATAGAAATGCATATACAGCATTATGTTAATAATTAGCAAGTGAAGGATATGTTGTATTTTCATTATAACATTATGATTTAGTATATCCTTGGGATACTAAAGGAACTAAAATGTATAATACAGGTAATTATCCAGAAACAATTGAAAAATATTAAAAAGTTAGAGCAGCTCATTTAGAATGGAGAACTGAACAAGTTTAATAATTAATTAATACATTGAATTCAAATCAAATTAAAGATGTATTCTTTGATTTTAAACCATTATCAATTAATTTAATTGGTCATTCATTTGGAGGTGCAACTGTTCTTAGAGTTGCTTAAGAAGTCGATGTTAATACTGTTATTGCTTATGATCCATGGTTATTCCCATTTACTTAAGAATAAATGCATAAATAAGTGAAATCTAAGACTTTGATTCTTAGTAAAGATAAAATTAGAGTTAAATAAGAATGTTTTGATCCTAAATTACTAAAGGACTTTTTAGATTTTAATACATCTATTGAACATCATAAAATCAAAGGTTTAGATCATGCTTATCCAGTTGATCTTACTTATTTAATTGCTGCTGAAATGGTATTAATTGGTGAATTAAGAACTGATGACAATGTATTCAAAATCAATAGTCTAATCAACTCATTAACAACCAAGTTTTTACAATAAAAAATATTCAGTATTGAAGAAAATAAATTATTTTGTTGAAATTATTATTATTCAATCAATCAATTTAAGACTCAAAATTATTAATATCTCTTATATTTTATATATAATTATATACTTATCAGAAATATCTTTCCATTTATTATTTATATTTTTAATAAAAATCATAATATTCACTTATATTTTGGAGAATATTATCAGAAATTTAGATATTTTAGAGTAATAAGTAATTTAGCTGTTTTAAAAGCAATATTTATTAATTATTTATTCAATATAATCTAGGTTTTGGATTTAAAGAGATTATAATATCCAGAGCATTTACTATATCTAAAATAATTACACAAATTTACATGCAATATTATAAAACAAGAATATAAAATAATCAAGTTCTCTAAAATTTAGTTGAACTCCGTAGAATTGCAGTAAACAACAAAATTTTAGCATTTTTCTTTTGATTTTCAAAATTGTTGTATTAAATTTTACAATTTCTGTAAATTCATTTAATATTGTATATTTTGTGTATTTTAATTTTCTAATAACTAAATATACATTTCTCTTTATTCGAATTATTATTAAAAAAATTTAAAATTTCAATATATTGATTCATAAATGATTATATCTCAAGATCTTTGGCAATTAAGTCTTGATTCTCAAAATTCAAAAAAAAATCTAATATTATAATAGATAATATATATCTAATTGGATTTAATAACAGTGTCATTCGAAAACTAAACTTAATAGAATTTAAACTAAAAACTTTCTGAAATACAATCATTTTTTCTAATTTAACAGTCTATCAATCTAAAATTAATGCCTATATTTAATTAATACAGAAAAAAATTTAACTTTAAAAATATATATTACCATTAATTAGGATATTTAGTTATCTCAATAGCAATTTTAAATAAAGAAGTTGATTTTCTAATTTGTAATTCAAATCCTAAGGTGATCCACAGACTGTGGCGTTAGAAATAATCACAAAGCTAGTGAGAGGATAAATATAAGTATATATTGTTCATGAAACTTTGTAATTTAACTTTGATTCGATAAAATATTAAGACCCTCCTTAATATTTATCTATAAATTTGAATTTTAAGTGGGCTATGATTTATTATTATTATTTAGATATTAAATCAGAATGCTTTATTCTTCTCAAATAAGAGATTTATTAATTCGAGAAAAAGTATCTGTCTTTTTAAAATTCTTAGTCTAAACCAATAATTCAGTTGAATGAATTCTATTAGAATGATTCATAAGGCATATGTAGAAGAGATATTCTCGTTTAATGGATTGTTGCCGTATCTATATTCAATTATAATTAGTAAGCTTCGTAATTTAGACATTCTCTAAAAACTATAGAACTGGCAGTCATATATATTGATTCTTATCTTAATTATTTTAAGATAACTTAGGAATACCTACAGTTACTAGGAATTTCAGCCTATTCTTTAGCAACTAAAGTAAAAATGGAAACAATTTATAGTTTAATGAAACAGAAACTGTGAGTTAGATTAATTTATATGATTCTAATGGTCAGAATCTATACTAGAAGGGAGAGTACGATGAAATGGAAGAGTAGATAATCAAAGTTATGGGATTTCAACTAAACTACATTACCTCATCAGATTATCTATTGGCAATGAATATTGAAATAAATGAAAATGTCTAGAGTTTGTTAATATTTATTCTCCTAGGTAATGTTTATAATTAATGTAGATTTCGATATTTACAAACATTCTCATATAGAACTCGCACTAGCAATTGTTGCATATCTTCAGGAACATTCAATCTAATTTACAGAGTGTATTCTTAAACTATCCAAACATATACATAATAAAATACTCAAGGCTTAAGAAATTGAAATCGGTAAATAAGAAAATGAAGATTCTAAAAGTAAAATAAGAAATTAAAAAATAAACAAACACATTACCAAAAACAAAGGTTTAACTCATTAAAGGACTCCAAAACAAAAGATTTGAAGTTCTATTATATAAGTTTCGTTTCAATATATCTCTAAATAATAAAAAAAATAAGGTTTTTTGTAAATCCAAACATTGTAAAACTTATTCCTTTATAAAATCTAAGTGTGTGACTCAACTATTGGTTTTGGTATTGTGTAAATTCTTTGTAGGGAATACACATATACATTTATATCCTTCTATTAACTTTTTGTATTAATAAAAAATACTAATTTTTAAAAGAAATTTTATTATATTTATACAAAAGCTAAATGTAGTGTTATAAAGTAATTGCCAAAACTAGAAATTCTTAAAAGAAAAAAACTTCTATTGAAGTACTAATCATGATAATGTAACAATGTCGAGAGGAGAAACTTAAAAACCACAAATTTCATTTATAACCAAACATACATCTCTAAATATAATTTGATAGAATTGAGATTATGGTTAAAGAAAATAAAGAAAAACTTTAGGTTTTTATATGGCTGACACAAAATCAAAGAATTTAAATAACAATAATTAAGTATCAGTTCTTTTCACTCGAATTATTAGAGTGAAATGAAGTATTGTTGATTTTTTCATAAAGACTAGCTTCCAATCTGCTGAATTCTTTTTTTGTATCGCCTAACATATTCTCTAAAGTGTGTAACTAACTAATAAGGAACATCATTTTTTAATCAATTTTAGCATCCTAGACCATTTAATTTTTCAGTTTCATTTTTCCCCTCATTTACATTAGCTCTAAAGTATTATTAGAATGATACCCTAATTGAGTGATTCCAATTTAACCAAGATGATTAAATTTCTGCAGGAATGTATTCATAACCATTTAATTTTATTCAACTTCTTCTTCCTTGACTTTAGCACTTTTTGCAATTTGTCTTTTGGTTTTTTTTTTGCTTTCTTGTAATTATTATTGTTATTGTTATTATTATTATTATTATTATTGCTATTACTATTATTGTTAGTACTACTATTATATTTTATTATTATCATCAGAAGCGAGAATCATTTGCCATTTGGCTTATTATTTAGGATCGCCCATTTCAACATAAAATTTTTTCATTACTTCATTTAATTGTTGATTGAAGAATGCCAATAATTTTTCTTGGAATTCATTCATTTTATCAGAATCACCATTTTGGGATTGAGCATCTATTTTTTATTGAGAAAAATTAGCCAATTATTGTTCAAGATTTTATTAGAAGTCTAATTCTTTTTCTTCTGAGGAATTTTTATAATCCTCCTTTTTAAGTATCATCTTTCTTAGATTCTCAACTTTATCTGATAATTTTTTATCTTTCTTTTTTTGGTTGTACCTTTTTTTATATTTTTTATAGATTGTTGAATAATCCTTCATACAGGAAGTTCTTTTTATTGGTCCTCCTTATTGTTTAAGTAACCTATAAAGTAGGTTCTATTCTTAATATGTTTCTGCTTGCATTTTCTTTCTTGATTTACTATCATCATCATCTTCAGATTTAATTTCAGATTCTTCCACTTTTTCATCTTACATTGATTTATCTGACTCAGGCTCTTCTTATTCCATTTACATTTACATTTGCTATTCATATTTTTATAGATGCTCTTTTACAAAGGTCTGTAAAGCGGAAGTGCCATTTTCTCCTTGTGCCTCAAGCATCTAAAATAAATAAAATGGATTTACCTTTAGTGATATCCCATTTTTTTCTTAATCAGCCAATAATTTTCTAACAGTGGAATAAAACCTGTTCTTCACAGAATTTTCAGTTCTACCTGATAAGTTCTTAGCAATTTTTGACCAAGATGATGAGTACTGTAGATACCCTTTAAATATTTCATGATCCTCCTCTACGAATAGTGATTAGATAAAAACCAGATGTCCAGCCTCCTTTTTTAACATTTGGATTGAGATTATTGAACCATCGTTCTCTGCACTGCTTTCCTGACCTTCCGGCAATATTTTCAGCACATAAAGACCATTTACAAGGCCCATTATTCTTGACCCATTCCAATAGCTTCTCATCCTCATCATCTTGCCAAGGTCCTAAACTATAAACACACCAAAAGTACCTTTCTTCAGTCCTGGTTTAAGTATTTTAGTCCATCTGTGCAAACACTGTATGGCACTTCGACCTTCCATCATGTCACTTATGATTCGCCAACTCTTTTCTCCATATTCTACAAATAAAATTCAATAGAAAACCTTCAATCAATTTTTAAAGCTTCTCATCCTCTTCGGGTGTCCACCTGCCCACCTTTTTTTTATCATTTTCATAATCTGCGATTGGAGATTGCTGATTTTGTTTGCGTTTATCGTTTTTTCTTTTCGATTTGCTTTCGTACATATCTACCTCATATTTTATTATTTAACCTCTAGACATCTATTGTTTTTTTTGTTTAGTTTTCGTTTTTATTTAATTTATCCGTTTTTACATAATTCTAAAACGATTAGAGGCACTTCCAATTATACGTCATATCATTGTTGTTATTTTATATATAAATAAGTAGATAATCAATTGATAGAAGAGGTTATTTGTCAAACACTTTTTTTTGTTTACTTCATATTTAGTTACTTTAATTATTAATTATCACACTAAATTACATAAAAATAATTGAGATCTAGAAGGATCACTATTAGATTCTTATATATTATTGTAAGCTATGTCGCGCTTAAGGAAACATCATAATTAAAAAGTTCACTATTGCATTTCCTAAGAATTTAAACAACAATATTTTAGAGAATTTTTGGATTATATTACATAATTCTAAAAATATACTTTTGATTATAAAATAAAGAAATTCTTTTTATCCTTATGCATTTAATTTTAGTATAAAGTATTTATAAAAATATTATTTCAAATTTCTGAATAGTTAGTTGATGAACATAATAAAAATAAAAAATTTATAAATCAAATAAATAAATGAAAAAATATAAAAGTTTAACTTATTAGATTAGAAGTTATTTATTAATATTTAAAAATGAATAATTAATATATGCATCAGCTATAAACGAAAAATATGCACACAATTTAGACAATCACTATTTCAACTATCTTGTATGAAATCGTAAAGTGATTGAAGCTGAACTTTTGAATATTGCCTTATTATTAACTAATAACCTATTAGAATAGATAATATCAATATTGGAACATTGAAAAAATATTAGATATACATTAGAGGATTAGCTTTAAGTTTCTTTTTGTATTTTTATCTGATCTTATAAGGACTATAGTTTGAAGTTGTTATAATAACAATTTTTTTATTATTTTTAGACCTCATTCATATGATGGGTAAAGTGAAGTGGAGAGTGTATTAATGAGTCGACCCAGCATTAATTGAAGACGTTGAGTTTGAATTATAACTTAAAATTAATTAAATAATGGGCAATTGTAACATTACTGACAAGAAAGACTTTTCAGATTCATCAAGTACTTAAATAGACATATCCTAGTTCTTTCTGTCCACAATTTTGAGTTTATTGAAGTCTTAGGAAAAGGAGGATTTGGAAAAGTTTGGAAGGTGAAGAAAAGAAAAAACAAAAGTTATTTTGCATTGAAAATGATGTCAAAGGCAAAGTAAATTAGTGTTTTAAAACTTAGAATTATTGCAAAGAAAAGCGTACCTTCAGTAATGAATGAGAGGACACTTTTATGTCAACTTAGACATCCATCATTAATAAATATGGTTGCTGCATTCTAAGACAGAGAGAATTTATACTTAGTTATGGATTTATTAAGTGGAGGAGATCTGAGATATCATATTGGCAAAAATAAAAAATTTTCAGAAGAAGAAACAAGTAACATCAGTTTTTATTTTAGAATTTTTTTGTGCCTGCATCATAATAGCCCTAGAATATCTGCATTCACAAGGAATAATTCATAGAGATTTAAAGCCAGAGAATTTAGTATTTGACTCAGAAGGCTATTTGCGATTAACAGATTTGGGTATAGCCAGAATTTGGAGACCAGACAATTCAGCTGATACCAGTGGAACTCCAGGATATATGGCACCAGAAGTATTGTGCAGATAAAATCATGGGATTGCTGTAGATTATTTTGCCTTAGGAGTGATTGTCTATGAATGTATGTTGGGGAGAAGACCATATGTTGGGAGATCTAGACAAGAAATAAGAGATAGCGTGTTAGCAAAGTAAGTTTAAATTAAGAAAAATGAAGTGCCTACTTCATGGTCCTTAGACGCTGCTGATTTCGCAAATTAGGTAAATTTAAAATGATGATTAATTCAGTTAATCCAAAGAAAACCTGCTTAAAGATTAGGCTCCGATAATCCAGAAGCTGTTAAGAATCATTCATGGTTCAATGGATTTTAATGGAATAAATTACTCAATAAAGAATTACAGCCCCCATACTTGCCACGTAGTTATAGCAATTCGGGTGGATCAACATAGGATACTGAGCAGGATACAAAGGAAAATGATATTATGCTAAGGCGTAATTCTATTTAGGGTATATTTTACAGATCTATAAAGCCTAATTTGAGGGATATAGCCATGATTCAAATGAACCTGTGACAGCTGAACCATCAAAATTCTGATTAATATATTTTTAACTTATTTTTACCAATCATTTTCATTATATTTTTATTTCGAAATAATAAGTTCATATTAAATTGATAAATTGAAGTAAGTTGAATACTTTAATGATATATGTAATTAAATGAAATAACTAACAATACAATAGACTAAATAGATGATTCTAAATGCTATTAAATTATAAAATGTTATTAAATAGATCTAAAATTTCATTAGCAAACAAGTAAATTAATTTTAGCTTTATAATCACACATGATTCATCAGAAGAAAAAATTTAGAATTAATAACATAAATCATAAGTAAATTTTAGAAAATTAATAATAATAATAATTTTGGAATTAAAGAATCTAATCAAACTTAATATGTTATTCTGTTTTGGTTGATTAGTACTACTTTGATTAAAAAATTGTTTTTGAAAATTTGATTGATAGTACTTAGTAAATTTCAAATTATTAATATATATTAAATGAATATTATATATAGATTTATTTGGTTTGCAACGGCATCTAAATAATTCATCTTTTGTTCATTTATATAATATTATTATCAAATACTCATTTATTTATAAAGAATTCTATATCACCACTAATAAAATCAAATATTTCACCAAGGTGTAATACTAAAGTAATTCCTACTTATTACAAACTTAAAATTTTTTTAATTCTTCATTAATATTTTAATTGAAATTATACATTATATTAGCATGTATTCCTTCTTTGTCTAATACGATTGGTATTTATATAATTTGCATTTTAATAGCAAATAACTTGAATTTGTACCCTTATATTTCAGATCCTCTAAATAAACTTTGATACTTTTCATCAGACATCATATCCCAAAAGCTACCATTTTCCCTTTAAGAATTAATTTTTAAAGGTAAGATAAGTTGAACTGTTTTGATATAACTATCTCTCTCTGTATCAGCAAATGTATATGTAAAGTGAGACTCATTTTGATTATTATCTTAGATTTGATAATATTTATTTAGAGCTTCATAAAAGGCTTCATGAAAATAGATTTATCCTGCGATAACCTTAATGGGATTGCTATGACAATAATTGCATCTACATAAGATAAGTCCTTATTTTTCTAAATCAAAGTTTATTTTCGTTAATTCTTGATAAAATGATTTAAAATCAACAATTATTCTATAAGGACATTGTTAAAGGATTAAAGGTTATTGAATTCTCAATTCTTTATTAAAATTACAAAACAGTTGCCTAAATACAACCTATCTTTGATATAAATCTGAAACATAATCTTCTCTTTTAATTTTGTATCTATAATTAAATTCTTACCACAAATATTATTCTCCTTTATATTCAAAAATATTAATTCCATTAGTGTAAGACATGTCTTTAAACATATATGAAAGTATATTTGGATCTAAATATATGTAATTTTAAATTTTCATTGGTAGAATATATTATCCTAATTATTAATTACATAATGGACAAACATAACCTTTTGTTGGAAACATCTTTTTAAAATAAATAAATTGTGCAATATAACTTCTAATATCCATACAAACTTCTAGATTTGGACAAAGTTTACATCTAACTGGATATTCAATTGTAAGTTATGTTAATTTGTCTATCATATTTACTTGGAAATTTCTGTATTTATACAAAGCCAATTTTTTGCATATATCTCTATCCACCTATAAGAGATCTCCTTGATCCACTAAAATTATCTGTTGTAATATGATTTTTTGGAATTCTTAGTAGTGCATTTTTTTTTATAACTCTGGATGTTATTCGTAGAATTTTATAATGAATGGATCTACAACTTTGCCGTCTATTTTATTTATATCTTCTTCAATATTTTCGGTTTTTTTATTATAGTAAAATTTGAATGAGCTTGGATTACTCTTTTTAATGACATTTAATAAATCCAAATCAACAGATATGCCTGAAAATAATGTTTAGATATCAAGTATTTTTTATTGTTCATCTAATTCTTTACTGTTATAAGATTCAGATTATATAGAATAGTTTTTGTGTGCAATTCTTAATCGATTTGAACAAAATGGTTGTTTGCATTCTAAATATTGTATTGTTTTTCTATTTTAATCTTAAAAGTATAATAAACTAGTTAATTCATAACATTCATAATGTTGACATCCTCTTATTCTAACAGGGATATTTATTTTCACTTTATCTAACAAACAGAAACACAAGAAAATTATTTTATTATTATTGTTTTAAATCTATTATTATTATAAGTCTCTTCTGATTAATGATACTATTTACATATCATTCTCTACTCTTTCAAATATTTGTTTAAATTGCTTATCATATTTTGACTAAGTGAAAAAATTCAAATTTTTAGATTTATTTCTGCAGCATTTATTAAACATAATCCCTTTTATTATTGTTACTTCATCAACCTCTTCATAAAATTCTTTATAAGCTTCAACTCTCCAATCTTAAACTAAGTCATCTAGGTTAGTTGCTTATTAATCGCAATGTGGACATTAATAAAGTTTTTATTATTGAATTTATTATAAAGCTTCTTTGAATTCAAAGCATGTCTTTCGATGTAAACATTTTCTTGTTAAAGCCTATGTCATATAACAATCTTACTGGATTTTTATATCTAACTTTGGTCGCGTGATTCAATAATGAATATGTGTCAAAAATTACTGTTTCTATTACATTATTTTCATATGATAAATTATTAAAATATGATTCAAAAAAGTCACATTCAGATTATAATACATTATTATCGTTCTTCTATTTTATTAATTTTAATAATAAGAATTAGTCAATGTAAATGTATTTATTTAGATTGTCAATTGCCATTATTTAATTTTAAGTTTAATTACACAAAGGACATGAGTACTTTTATTTATTATCAATTTGTTTTTTAAAGACAAAATCAAAAACATATGTTAGCAAGTCAATTGAGTTGTTAAAATCTATACATTTAATACATCTTGTTGGTAATTCCATTTTTAATTTAGTAATTTAATCAACTAAATTATCTTATAATTATAATGATATTGTGCTTTATGATAAATTTTATTTTAACTATGGTTTATCAAGTAATAAATTACTTTGGGTAATTGATTATAAGACTTAATTAAATCTAGTTTAGAGTTCTAATTATTATAACTCTGTAAATTATTAATTGTATTTATTCGAGTATTAAGTTAAAATTTCAGAAAAAGGAAAATATGTATTCTAAATGATGGTTTTAGTTTCTTACTCAATATTAAATATAATTGAAGTTGGGTTATTTTTCTTGATTTCTTTTAGAAGTTCTTAATCAACAACAATTCCATCAAAAAAAGTATCTAAACTAGAAATATTTAAATGAATTTCGCATCCTGGATAAATACATTAAAAGATGTTCTAATTCTATTAATTATTTTATTAATAATATAGTAAACTTGTGAATTCATAGCATTCAAAATGCAAGCATCCTTTTATTCTAATAGGAATATTAATTTTTATAAAATCTAAAAGACAGTAAAGTTAAAATGCTTTTTATTAAAAGACATTCTTTTCAATTAGAGACTTTAAATTTGTCTAATAATCTCTTTACCTTATTAATTTCAAAAAATGTTCCTTAATGCCAAATTTAGTGAATAAGTCTATATATTTTTTATTTCTCTAATATTTATTGACCATACATCCATAAATGATGTGAATTTCATCAACAAATTCGTGAAATTCTTCATAAGCATGATTTCTAATATCCCACATTAGATCAGAATATTATTATGCATTTTAATTACAGATTTTACAAACAAATGGTTAATTATTGTTAATCTAAACTTCAAATTCCTTTAATTCAAAACATACTTTTAAATGCAAGCATTTATTAGTTATTACCTAAATAATATATAATCATTACAGGATTTTCATATTACAATCCATTGAGTTATTTTAATTTTATAGTATCTAGAGTGATTTTTTCAAGATTAGTATTCCCATTAATTTCAGGCCAATTGTTTATCCTTTCAAGCATTTTTAGCTTTATTTTTGTATTTTTAATAATTATATATTAAGGATATATATATTTCTAATAATTGAGCATAAATATAGAATTATATTGAAATTTTGTATAGCATTTAAAAAGAATCTAAGTATTCACTATTAGTATATTAGTTATTGAAGAGAATATATAGTATTTTATTATACATCACATAATTTAATTATGAGCCTACTACTTTTGTCCATTTAAGGGAATAAGATAGTTGCTGGATATAAATAGGCATATAAAATAACAATAAACAGAGATCTATGTGTGGATTTAATTTGCATACTTAACTTGGTCTTGAAAAAGGTGATTTAGACTAGGAATCAATTTGATTAAAGTTAATAATATAAAAAGAAATTAATTTGGTTACTTTCGTTCAACCACTTTGGTTTAACGTGATTATATTTAAAATTGGTTATTATTTAAAAAAATCTTTTATTGGTTATTTTAATATCTTATTCTCTAAGCTAACTCTAAATTTGAGAATAAAAATTTCTAATTTAATTTTAACTTTAAAATTCAAAGAAAAACTTAATTAAATTTAGAAACTTCCTATAAAAATTTATAATATTCATTTAACTTACCTTTATGCTTTTAAGACAACATGTGGGGCAAAAGTAATCTTAAGCAGGTATTTAAATTGATTATCAAAAATACAAAAGAAGTCACAATTATTAATTAAGCATTTATTTTTTTTATGATTTAAGATTTATCATTAACTAATGATTTCCTAATTAGCCTAAAAATCTTTATAGACCCAGCCGTGAGACTCCATCTTGATTAAAATTTGACCTGAAAATTTTGTTATTTTGCATTAGTCACAATAGGCTATTGTTTTATTTTAGAGTGATTCTTTTAAAATATTTTAAATTCTTTCTTCTTCTATATAATGTCCACATTCGTTTTACAATTCTTACTACTTTTCAATACTTTAGGATTTATTATTTAAAATAATTGAAGGGTACTACTTAAATTAATTATTTTTATTAGTTTAAACAGTAGGATACATCATTCTTAATCAAATATTTTTATAATTCATTTTCTAAAGTTTTATTCTTATGCTGCAATTCTTCATTATATTATTTTATCATATTGTATTCTTCTTATATTGTGTCATTTATGCACTTCAGATCTTAAATATTATATCTCAAATCATTGTTTTCATTTTCCAATTAATTATTTTTAAACTTCAACTCTTAAATATTATTTTCCATTCCTTTTTACAATTAATTGACTTAATTTTTAACTTCTTTATATTTTTATTGAATATGTTTGATTAAATTTGATAGAAAATAAGATTTCATTTATTTCTAATCATCCCCTTCAATTATATTTTGATTCGGGCTGGGCACTTCGTCTTTTTGTATTGATTAAGATTACTGTAATTTTTCAAAGGAATTTTGAATTATTATTTTTATTGAGATATGTCATAATTAAGTGCTAAAGCTTAAAATTTTTTTTAATTTAGTCTCCTTTGAGATTGAAGCGGTTGATGAGTTTTTGTATTCTATTATTGCGCCTAATGAATTCTATAACCAAAACATCTTTTTGGTGATAAATCAAGGTATTCATATATTAAGAAAAATGATAGATCATTTATTGGAATTTATTCAGTACAAAGTGATATTTTAGCAATTTTGTTTCTCTTTATTATATTAAATAAAATTATCTATTGCAGTCTCTTCTGAAGCTCTAAAGGATCAATGAGATTAAGTTGCTGGTTTATCTATGTCGTAAAAACTAACTAATTCTGTTCTTTTATTTGCTATAATAAGCCTTGTAGCTGGAGATGATCCTCCTCCCATAAATTGTATAATATAATAAAATTTAATCTCAGATAATAGAAAAACAAAATTCAATTTATTAATAAATTTTAATGCCAATGGAAGGTCAAAAATTTTATAAATCTAACTATTTTAAAGGAATCTGAACAAAATCCTATAAAATGATTATTTACTTTAACAATAATTGCAAAAAAATATCAAAATTAAAATTTCTAATTATCGATTTTTTTAAATGAATTCATTTTTTAAGAATTATTCGCCTTAAAAATAAACTTTAATAATGATATTCTATTTTCCAAAACTTTTTCCTGTCTCCGTTCTGAAATTTAGCTTTTAATTTTTTCTATGGTATTTTAGAGTACTATTCTCAACTATTCAAAATTGTAACTAATTGATAAATATTTGATCAAGAATCACTTTCACTAGGAGGATAATTATTAGCATTTGTCATCATTCCTTTTATTTCTTTCAATTTTCATATAACAAAGCTAAAAATTATTTTGAGACACATTACAAAGAATATTGTAATGTGTTGCTCCTACTTTATGTAAACTTAAAAGATATTATAATTCTATATATAATTATTGAAGATTAATTATTTTTCATAGAGTAAAACTTTTGATCTAGTTATCCTAACCTTCAAATCCTATTATATAATTCGGTTATTTCACACTAATCTAAAAGTACTCTTCTGTTTCAGTGATATTACTAACTTCTGAAATGAATAATAAACCAGTATCCCTAAAAATATATATAAAAATACATAATGAATTCTCTTAATGTTTATGGGATTGAAGTTAATTAAACTCTATATAATTTTTATTTTATTGATGAATCTATGCTAGTGTTTGACAAGGAGTCATCAGATATATTTGAAACCTAGATATTTTTTAGTAATAAAGGAACATAAACATCATTTTAAGCAGGAATGAAAATACTCTATTTGCCAATTTGAATTGTAGATAAATCAAATTAAAATTAGGGATCGGATAATTTGAGTTTTTATTGTACTTCAATAATATTCTCCGATTTCTGTTTTTGATTCAAATAGTCAATCTAACCTTTTAAGGATTGAATCTGAATTGTCATATCCAAATTTTCTTAAGTTAAAGAATTAATTTTATCCTCATATTATAGTTGTATTTCTTTAAAATCATCTTGTGCTTTCAATAATTGCAATTAATCGTGATTTTTCATCAAAATTAAATCATTATTTTTCTGTTGTAAGGCTAAATCCAAATTGTCTATTTTGTTTTAAAGAGCCTTTTGATCTTCTTCTAATTTCAAGTCCTTTTATACCTATTCATTTTAGTCTTAATTCAAATTATCCAATTAGGAATTCTTTTCTAGATAATCTTCTAATAATTCATTGTAGACTTATATTTGTTTTTCCAATTCAATTTATTTATTATCCCTTTCTAATTCGACCATCTTAAGTTTCGATTTCAACTTTTCACTCTCGTTTTAAAGAGTTTCTACTTAATCATAATAATCCTACACCTACTGTAAATATTATTTATTTAACAAGTCTAATTCATTAATTTGATCATTTTGAGTTTCGCATTATTATTAGATTGACTATTTGTGTTTAATTAAATCTTATTATATTTGTTTAGATTAAGTTAATTGATCATTGAGTTATTTCTACAATTATTGTAATTTAGAAATTTCACTATTCTTTTAAATTAAATTAATTTCTAAATTCTCACATTTACCTACATATTTATTTAAATCGTCCTTTAATTTTACAGTGTTATTTTAGAGGGATTCTATTTTCTACTAAAGTTCTGTAATGATATTATTTTTATTATCAATTTCCACTAATTTGGACTCAAAATCTTACTCTTACTTCTATAGTTTTATTTTCAATTTTTCTTATTCTTGTTTCTGATTATTTAATTATTCACTAAATTCATTCTTCAAGTTTATTAGTTTTGAATCATTTTCTCTTTAGGATTTATCAGTATTGATATCAATTGATGATAATGGTTTATTTTCAGCCCTTTAAATGAACATCTTCATTGAATTCTTGGCAGTCAATTAGAGTAAATCAATATAGGTTGAAGATTTCTTAGTGGTTTTCTCTTAATAAAAAAGATGAGTTTGCTTGCATTGCTAATTCAAGTCTTCTATTTATTATTTTAATTAATCAAGATCATTATCTTATCTTTTCTTAAATGTGTCAGTGTGTAAACCAGTTATGTTTGGCAATTCAGCATCCGCAAAGGCATTAATAATCTGGATTGATGGAGTCAAATTTTTTAGTTATCCAATAAAATCTTATGGCAATATCCTACCATACTACTATAAGAATTTTTTCCTTTTGTCCTTTTCTTGATCTATTAATGACATTAATGATTTTATTTTCTTATCGAAAATATCTCTAAATTCTTTCCTTCTGCTTGTTTCTATTAAAGCTTATTAGTAAGCTTATGGTAATAAAACAGGATTCAAAAGATACGAAAAGTCTTTCTCCATTTTTTCCACTTCCTCATCATATTATTTTATTTTTTCATTATGTTATTCAAATTCTTTGTCAAGAGCTCTTAAGTTTTAAAATACCTTCAAAATCTTAGACATATTCTATTATTTTAATTACGTGAATTACATAAATACTTATTTAGCTAAGATTATTTAAATATCAATACTTTTTTCTAAATGATCACCGATATGAGTAACTGCATCCTCAAATTATTTCATTTGCTCTTAAGATAATTCAAATTAAGATAAATAATACATAGCTGGTTCATCGTTAATGTCCTATGAAAAATCAATCATATATTGTCTTAAAGTATTGTATTCTAATTATTAAAAATACATTTACCATCAATAGTGGATTAGACTACAGATTGCAATAATGATTTATTTTCTTATATGAATTATTAGTATTATTGTTAATTTGCTTTGTAGCTTGATAAACATTGAGTCATGTTTTCTGTTTTTTCGTTCTTTATCTTTTATTTTGATTTGGAAATTGCTTAATTAAGTTTATCAATTTTTTGTTTTAAATTTTATTAAGTATTTAAACAACTATTTTTCCATTTAAGCATTGATTCTGGTTTGTAATAAATGTCACTTAAATATTTTTGTGAATTTGTTTGTAATGCAGCATGCAATTCTATTTTTTTTAGTTACTCTAAACTGTCGTCAAATTTCTTAACCGTTTACAGATTTCTTTCCAAAGATTCTTTTTATTTTTTTGTCAACTCCTCTTTCTTGGCTTTGGTGTTCTTATAAGTAGTTCTACTCATTTTTAATACAATATCAAAGGATTAAATTTGATTTTCCAAATCTTATCCAATCTTTTCCAATTGTTTGACCTTTTACTAATAAGGTATGTATTTATTCTTCAAATTTTGTAAATGCTAAAAGAATATTTTCTCATGATTAATTATGTTCGAGTTCAAATTAATAAGAGTTTCTTTTGCTTGTTCTGAAAGTAACAACTATTTAAGGTCCATTTTAGGTTCATATTTTGGAAATGGGTAAACAACTTGTTCAGGGTTTTCGCTTAGATCAAATAAATATATGGTCTATTCCAATATTATTTGTATATTACATAAAATTTTTTTTCATCTGGAAACTATTACACTGTTTATTGCAATTATTGATCAACATCAAATTAATTTAAATCTTCCAATTTGACTCCTTTCTTTGTTAAAAGTAATTAATTCTTCACTTCAACTTTTGTTTCAATCTAAATTTATTCTTACAGATATTGTAATCTAAAATCTTATGCAATTAATACCGTTTATTCTCTGCTTAAAGTGTTAAAAGGAATTGATGACCATCTATTCCAATTTTTATAATGAAGTCCATTTTTCTATTTTTTTGAATTTGAATTAATTAATTAAAAAGGTTGTTATATTAATAATAATCATAAGATTCTATATATATAAAATCCAACCATTTCGAATCAAACACAGTAAAAATACATTCAATAATTTATGAAAGCTAATCTTAAATGAATTAAAAAGTGAAATATTGTTTTGAGATTAATTTCGAATACAATTATATCTAATGATAATTGATTTGATTATTAAAAATAATAAATATTTAATATATGAGAAAGGTGTTTATATTCGAATTTATATTGGCTGCTCATGTTGTATTCTGTATTTTGATCGAAATGTAATCAGTGATATTTCCAATTCAATAAAAATTAGTGGATTTAGATAATGTTGGACCTGTGAAAAAGTATAATTAATAAATAAATTGAATAGAAATAGTCATGCTAATCATAATTCATATTTTGATTTATTTGGATTCTTTGGATTATGTATATGGTTAATATTGAAATACTTTTTTGAAGGATTTAGATTTAATTCAATTCTTATTATGGCAGCATATACATTCTTCTTTTTTGATAGAGTATTCGATCATTTTATATTAATAGGCATTGTAATTTGCAGATAAAATATTATGTTAAGTAGCAGCTGTATTAACTATTTTATATATTTGGACTTTAATAAGTTATCCTGTTTATGAATTTCCAAAGACAACAGGTAAATATAGAACTTGTTATAAATAAATCAAATTAAATGATAGTTTATCAACTGATACATCTGTTTATTATCCATGTGCTGATAATAAATAAGAAGATATTAAATATAAATGGTTACCTAATAATAAATTTGCTAAATAATTGTATGAAATATCTGTTTTATAAACTAAATGGGTTCCATCTGAATGGGTATTTGATATTGGATTAGGTTTCTTAAAGTAATTAATATATTTAAATATAGTTTCATTAATTTTACAGCAAGTGTTGAATAACCATTATTAAATACAGAATTAGATGTAATTATATTTAGTCATGGATTTTCATAACATAGAAATGCATATACAGCATTATGTTAATAATTAGCAAGTGAAGGATATGTTGTATTTTCATTATAACATTATGATTTAGTATATCCTTGGGATACTAAAGGAACTAAAATGTATAATACAGGTAATTATCCAGAAACAATTGAAAAATATTAAAAAGTTAGAGCAGCTCATTTAGAATGGAGAACTGAACAAGTTTAATAATTAATTAATACATTGAATTCAAATCAAATTAAAGATGTATTCTTTGATTTTAAACCATTATCAATTAATTTAATTGGTCATTCATTTGGAGGTGCAACTGTTCTTAGTGTTGCTTAAGAAGTCGATGTTAATAATGTTATTGCTTATGATCCATGGTTATTCCCATTTACTTAAGAATAAATGCATAAATAAGTGAAATCTAAGACTTTGATTCTTAGTAAAGATAAAATTAGAGTTAAATAAGAATGTTTTGATCCTAAATTACTAAAGGACTTTTTAGATTTTAATACATCTATTGAACATCATAAAATCAAAGGTTTAGATCATGCTTATCCAGTTGATCTTACTTATTTAATTGCTGCTGAAATGGTATTAATTGGTGAATTAAGAACTGATGACAATGTATTCAAAATCAATAGTCTAATCAACTCATTAACAACCAAGTTTTTACAATAAAAAATATTCAGTATTGAAGAAAATAAATTATTTTGTTGAAATTATTATTATTCAATCAATCAATTTAAGACTCAAAATTATTAATATCTCTTATATTTTATATATAATTATATATTCATCGTAGAAGCCTTTATTTATTAGTTTGAAAAAATAATTTATTGATTTTTCCTTAAACTATTTGCTCATTTTGAATCTTCAAATTAAATTATGAAAAATAGTAATATTTAAATATGTTGACAAGGTTGAAATTTGAAGATTCTTCAGATTGATATAAACTATCTAGTTTGTTCAAAAATTAACCTGTGAAAGAATAAAATCTGTCAATTGTCATAAAATGAATTTTGAGTATCATTATAAAATTTATTAAGAAGACTAGTGCATATTCATAATTCGAGTTTTAATCTTTGGTCATAATTCAAAGCATTTTACTTCTTCTAGAATTAAATTAGCAGAAAATATTTAATTTTTACTCTAAAACAGATTCACCATTTGATCTTTAAGAATATAATTCAAAATAATGATGGTATTATTTTAATATAAAAAAATTTAAAGGAATCAAAAAATTATAATTTAGATCACAGAATTTATTCTTTATGTTTTCTTCTACTTTTCATATCTAGTGAAAAATTCTAAAAATTTTTGACAAAAATTGATTAGAAAACTATTTTATATTAATTTAATAATGATATTTATTTAATTTAATTTTTGTAAAAAAAAAATGTATTATGATCAATCTATGCAAATTGGATTATCCATATTTTTTCCATTTTTATCCTCAAGGCTGGCACTGGGTTGAGGAGATTTTATTTTTTGTAAAGATTTTTCTTTCATTTTTTATTAAGGAACTTATTACTATTATTACTATTATTACTATTATTATTATTATTATTATTATTATTATTATTATTATTATTGTTATTATTGTTGTTGTTGTTGTTATTATTATTATTATGGTTATGGTTGTTATCCAACAAGGGTTGGATTCTAATTACTTAATACTTTTTAAATCTAAGCATTAGAATCGGATTATTTTTAATTGACTATTTATTATTAAAATACAGATTATGGATTAGTAAACCCTTAAGGGAGAAAAGCTTATAATGATTTTAATTACTCCTCCCCAAAAGATTTCAAATCTTCATGCTGTTTTTCAATTTGACCAGGATTTTGCATAATGATCTGATCAGCCAACATTTTTGTGAATTGAGTAGTAGTATTAATTTTAGGTTTCTCTTCAGAAAGTTTATAGATATATTTTTTAGTGGCACTTTATTATTATTATTATGTCTATTAAGGATTTTTAACATTGTTCTCAGCAGAAACATTTACATTGTTAGCAAAATTCTTTCTAATAAATTCAGAAAATTATTTTTTTATTACTCTAACCATTCTTTCTTTCAATCTATTAGATTTTTATGTTGGTTTATCATTTTCTTGATGTGTAGCTTATAATTGTTATTATTATTATTATTATTGTTATTATTGTTGTTGTTGTTGTTATTATTGCTATTATAATAATTATTATTATTGTTGTTATTAGATTGACTACTATTATTCGGATTGTAATTATTATTATTATTACTTTTCCAATTATTATGAATCTTATTATTATTAGGATTAATTTTGTTCTAAATTTTATTAATCTTCGTTTATTTGATCATTTATCTGTTTTTCTAAATTCTTTTAAGCAAGCTCTTATTAAGATACTTCATCTAACCAAGCTTCAAATTTTTTAAATTTTATGAATTTAGGCTTTGTAATTGTCTATTGAGACAATAATTATTGTAATGAATTTTACTTCCCTTCAATATTAGATAAATTTGATTCAACTAATTATTTTAACTATGACTTATTTTAATAAGTGTTGACATTTTCATTCTTCTCTTTATGCTACATCTGTTATTATTAAATTTGTTGTTGTTACTACAGGACCGAAATTTAGCCCATTTGTTTTTAATACAATTGCATCTAAATCAGAGTTGTAGGGTTCATCATAATGAGTCGTAGAAGCGTTGGATCTGCCAACTATTAAAGTGCTTGTTTTTGTTATTCTTCTAATTGATTCTGCTTATTGATACTAACTTATTCTTCTTCAGACTCTTCCAATTCTTCTTTGATCTCTTACACTATTTCACCCTAGAGATGGAATAAATAAAATACATTTTAATCAAAAACGACTTCCTTAATGTTTTCTTTGTTATTTCTATATTGTTCCAATAATTGCAATTAATACTAATCGATCATGATATCAAAAATCTTTTTCTTGCAAACAGGGCATTTCCACTTCTTTGATGTACCAGCATTAATAGTGATGGTATTTTCAAGAGAGAAACATTAGACATGTGCACAAAACTTTCCTCTAGCAGGAGTCTAGATCATTTGAGAATCAAATTGACACTTGAGTGAAACTTTGATGGTGATTTTATCAATTTGAACATCATTATCCGTCTTTTCAGCCACACATGCTTTTTAAATGAGTTGTATACACTCTTCCTTAGTTTTAAGACACTCTTTATTTTATTTAATCTGATTGATCAATTCTTAATGTGGTCTCTTCTTTGTCAAGTAAATGGCTTGTGCATAGACTCCACTAATATATTAATAATAAGGTTATACTCTTCGCACAATTTAAACTATGCTTTGGGTTCTTGGAAATTTTGTCCATCTTTGATTATGATTTGATTGTAGCCTTATTTGATGGAGAGAGTAATATTGTTATGCTGGAAGGGAATGATCTGAATTTCGTCCTTTCTTTTTTTTAGACTGCTATTTGATTTAAGTGGTTTTAGTTCCACAAGACGTTGCTGATTGATTGAGATTTCACAGAAATCAGGCCAAGTAATTTCATTCATGTATTTAGCATCAAGTCTAATTGATCTCAATTCTACTTAGTATTAAAATGAGCGATCTTATAATTGACTATGCATATATAAAAAGGTGATACTGGAATTCTTCAGCAGTAAGCATGAAACTGAGTGTGCTTGAATTAGCATTCATCAGGGTTGGTTTAGCAAGAACTTTTATAATTTGATTGAGTGGGTCAATTTTGCTGAGAATGCAAACTGGACATTCGAACATCTTGACATCGTTGGGCTACAATTTCATACAGGAAATATGAAGTTTGTTATCGCAATTAATGCATTTAACTTCCTCATTAGTAACTCTTTTGGCGGGAATGATTCTAGGAATAAATGAATTTTCTTACTTACATGGACACATGAGGAGTTGTTAAATTTCTGTTTATGGAATTGTAATGGATTCATTCCATTGATCTAAATAATGTAGAATGCATACTGTTATATTGATAGTAAAATTATTGTGGGGTATTTTATCTCATCTGTTATTGATAGAGATTCATATTCATTAATGGATTGTATTGTAATAATTGTTGCTATTGCTATGCTTATGGGAGGACCATCTTAAATTTTAAATGAATTCAATACATAGTTCATGTATGGATTTGCCAGGATTTATGGAATGGCTCGCTGCATTTGTGGTTGTTATGGGAATGATTGTGCTCTATTGATTATGCTTCCTTAAAATTTCTTTAAGATGGCCACTATGCTCTCGTTGTTTTGAAGGTTTGGTTGGTGTTGAAGAAGCTATTCCACAGGTCTTGAAGGATCAACTTATATCAAAAATTGTAGAAGTTGTGTAGGAATTGAGCTAATAATTTCTTCTTTTTTTTTTTTTTCAGGTATATTCAGTTCTTTTGCAATTTATTATAGTTGTTTTTTTCCTAATTTTTATAAATGCACACTATTCACAGCCTCTTTAATAGCCTTCTCGTACACTTAAGATATCTGAGTATTTTAAGGATTCAACATGCCAAAATTCGGCACATTCAGAAAACTAAATATTGGAATGCTTTCTTACTTGTAATGAGGTTGTCCAGACATTCTGCTTCTTTTATATTTAAATTTTGATCTTTAACTAAAAAGATTCGTCATTCCCAGCACACCTCCCCCTTCCTTAATTTAACTTTTTAACTTTATGGTATTTACAATTTAAGTATGTGTCGTATCTTTTTTAATTTTTTTTAAAAATCCCCTTATTTAGTGTTTCTTTTTGTTATTTTATTAATATATTTTATTCTATCCCCTTAAACTCGAAAATCAAAAATCTACACCTCTCCTCCCCTCTCTTAAATTTCAACTGCTCATATCCCAATTCAACATAAATTCCATAATATATATAGGTGCCTTCGCAAAAGTAACTCCTTAAATTGTAACTGTATAATTCCTTAATCTAATGAATTTAAATTGCCTTAGTTAAAAACATATTCAATTTTGCATTCCCAAATGCTTAGCCATTTCTTATTATTCTAAGATACCTTAGACAGCGTCTTAAACTTGATTAACAACAATCAGCTGTATAAAATTACTGTATCAAACTTATCAGTTCAAATATTCACCCTCAGATCTGCTCCAAGAACTCAATCTCAAACCATTTAATAATCATCAAATGGATTAAACTATGTGTTTAAGCTGGCAAATGAAGTTATAATTTAGACATCTATCAACTCTGATACAATAGCCAGTTAATATAAAACTATGCTTTACTACCCAATAAATTAAAACCTCACTTGGAAATGAACATTGACATGATGTATATCATGCAGTCAATCCTTATTTAAATATCAGTTTAATAATAAAAGAATTTGAAGGAGTACAAAAACTCTATTTAGAAAACAATTACTAGATTTATAATTTTTATTAAAATAGACCTGAAAATTGTAGAAATTAATATTCATAGCTAAATATAATACTAAAGCCAAGCTAATGGAGCATCTAGTAAAATATTGAATGAATATATAAAGTGCAAATTTTATAAATAAATCTACTTATAAATTATATATATATGTAAATATTAGAAGCAAAGCTAATGTCAAAAATAAATAAGAGGAAATGGGAGCATATAATGCAGAATTGAATAAAGAATATAAGGAAAACGATCAATTTTAAATATCAAATAATTTGATCACATTATTAAACAAAACTATGATAGATAATTATTTTAAGAGAATGCAAAAAGACAGATAATAAATGATTCTTAATTTATTAGCCAAACCCTCTGAGTTAAATATCTGATTCAATGTAAATAGCAAATATTATTAATGTTTTTATTCGATTAAATTATGAACTGTATTATTAATAGTTATATGTTTATTCATAGTAAAGAATTGTATGGTTGTTCATTGAAATAGTATGATTAAGAAACCGTGATTGCATTGTCTACATTTGGGGAAGGCACCTAAGAATTATTGGGTATGATTAATATTAAAAAAGTGTTGTCAAATAAGGATGATAATTTGTAGAAAAAATCTTAAATCAATCTTGATTCCAAATTTGTTATTCAATTAATGTTGCTTAATGAGTTAATAGTTGTTGCAGGTGAAAGTTTCCAAATCTTCAAGTATTCTAAAAACAAAATTGATCATCTTGTCGATCTTCAATCCAATGAAGTGACTTCTTGTTTCGACAACGTTGATAATCAAAAGATTATTTCTGGTTCCATCAATTCAATTCTAACTATATGGGACATCAACACTCAAAAGGTTCTCTCCCAAACCTAAGTCTTCCAGAATCAAGAAATCTATGACTTGAGTCTAAGTGCTGATGGGAATGTTGGATCGCTAATTACCAATAAGAATGGACTCTTTCGCTTTGATGTAAGACTTAATTAAATTTTCCCCTTCTAAACCAGACAATCACTAAAATATAGCAAAATCAATTATAATAAATTTGACAACTCTTATGTAATGGCCATCGATCAAGAAAACGGTATCATCGATTTATACGATACAAGGCAAATACAATAAACCTGCCAAAGAATTAGATGTTAAGACATTATATCAAATGCTGACTGGTTGATGAACTCACTTATTATTTCAGCTTGTCAAGAAGGCAATGTTGAAATCATTGAAATGGATACTCATTTAAAGCAATATTAAATTCGCAAAGAATACACCATAGACAATATGTAAATTTACGATAACATAGTTGGTTTGATATCTGCCAATCATTTTGGATTGATATACCTAAAAAAATGATAATTATATTAATTACTATAATCAAATTTATCAATTAGCCTTTTGTAATGGATCTATATAAAATTGTCCGTCTACTTAGCAAAGGGCTCCAAATTAGATAGATTTATGCATATATTCTTCTCTTTTTATATATAAAGCATTCTGACTTAACAACTATTAATAATGAGAGAAATATATCGATTTTCATTGAAAATCAATTAGGAAGGACATTAAATAACACTATTTTCATGAAGAAAGGAATAAACTATAAACACTAACTTGGATTAAACTCATATAAGCCAATATTTAATTAAAATTAATATTAATCTTTAATATAATGATTTTAGGTATAGATAATTTTTATAGAATGGCAATTTAATTTCTGCAATTTGTGGTTCTTCATCTAGAAATGCTTCCTGTATAATTTTAGTATGTATTTGCAATGAATTGGGATAGGTTTGTGTAAGTTCCCATTATTTTAAAGCCATTTGTAATCTGTGGTTTATTGTAAGAATATGTATTACTGATATTGTTTCATAATTAATAAAAAAAGAAAGTATTTTTAATTATGTTATGATGCGATGAAATGTAAATATGAAATCTATTTTAGTCAATATTTCTAATCTGTAGAGTACATTAACATTTCTTTGGCTGTTATTTTTACTTTCTCGACATTGGATAGAGACCAAGGCAATCTTTTAACTTCGAAAGAAAACTAGATTAAAAAAAATTTATACAATTTTATCGTCTGAAATTGTATTCTATATTTTATTACATAAGACAGCGATTTTTTTTTTGGAGTCTTTCTGAATTTATTCATCTAGACAATCTACGATATTAAGTTGTATTTTTACTTAAATATTGTTCATAATATCGAACAAAAGTTTTAGAAGAAAATATTTCTTTTAAGAATTCTGAATTCATAGTTTTATTCTTGCTATTTTTTCTAAATGGCAATATGATATTTTTCTTAGTCTCTTGTTCTATTATTTCAATGAATTTTTTCTATGCGGATTTCAAATTAATCTCTTAGAAATTAAGTCTAATAAATACTTGTTTTATCATTTTCTTCCTGTACCTTTCTGAAAATGAACTTTAATGCTTTTCTCAAGCAAAATTTAATGAGTTCCTCCCTACTCTTATGTTGTTGCTATTGCTTTTGGAATAGGATCTCAAGGACACTCGCCAAAGAAAGTTGGTTTTTGTTTTTTAACGAAGAAATCACTTAATTCACATCTTCATCCTCATTGACTATCATCAATATATATTTTTCTAACGTTTCCCTCGATTCAAAAGGTACAGCATCTTTAGTCTCGAAAAAAGATCTTCTTGTACCCTGTGTTGTACTAGCATCCTCCTTGCATTACGCTAAAAATAGGTTAGTTGAGCTTACCTTGTTCAGATTAGGCAGGGATTTATTGAAATGGTTAAGGATAGAGTTAAGTTTGATTTACATAAGGATAAGCATACGCATTAGAATAATAATAATGTTGCATATTCTAATACATATTCCAATAGTTGTGTTATTAGCTGAGTTAGAAGTCAAAGATGAGTTAGTTGGTCAAAAGGCTATACATTTAGTTGTAATTTAATTCGAAATATTATAATTGGAAACAAAAGAAAGATATACTATTTAAAATGCCTTATAATACATAATATTCATTAATTAAATTTATCCACGTTTAACTAAAGCTGAAACAAGCATTTACAGGGCTTTGTGATACTATTTAATGAATTGTAAAGAGAATTTTAAACGAGAACATGGTAATAACCTACTGAATATTCTTCATTAATGTTAAATTAAATTACTGATATTTTTTAAACATTTCTTCAATGTTAGTTCAGTGCTCATATAAGAAATAATTGATGAGAATAATCAATCAAAACTACAAAAACCCTGTTATTAACTCAAAGTAATTACAAATGTTCTCAAAAACTAATATAATTGTAGAACTCAAAAAATGATTTCCAAATTTTTCATAATTAATAATAACAAATTAACAATAAATTTGAATAAATTCATATATTCGCAATAAAGTTTAGTTATTTTAAACGAATAAATTATCCAAAATATTAGTAAAAAATAAATTTGTTGTCATTGTTCTGAAAATTATAAAAAACATTGTCCTAAATATAATTAGGGAAAGAATGTAAAAAATTTAATTTGTTGTTATATAATAAAGCATTTATATTAAATAAATTATAAATATAATAAAAAGTTGAAATGTAAAACGCAATGTCAAGAAGACTTTCAAAAGAATTAGAATAAATGCAAAAGTCATTTGCAAATGAATTCAATATAAAATTGCCCAATAATGAAATTTCACATTGGATTGTTGGATTTGAAGGTGCAAAAGGCACCCTATATGAAGGGGAGAAATTTGAGTAAGTATTGAGTCTGATATTTTAGATTGTAATTCAAGTTCCCAAATTCATATGTAGAAGTTTTTATTCTTATTTAGCTTCTTTTCCTCTGAAAATAGCCAATCGAATCCCCTGAAGTATTATAATAATTAAAATTAGGTCGTCTTTCTAGGTAAGCCACCTGAACATGAACATATCTATTCAAATGGATTCATTTGTTTATCAATATTATACGATGGTATTTACTTTTAGAATAATTATTTTAGAATGGTCTGCTGCTCACAATGTATCGTCTTTGTGTCTCTCAATCCAATCCATGATGTCGAGCGCAACCATAAAAGTGAGGATAATGTTATTATAATCAGATGAAACCTCCCAATGATGCAGATTTTGTCAAGTAAGCAACTGGAAGAGGTCCAAAGAGTTATAAATGGACTTTTCACGATACCAAGTGCTGAGCCTGTTGAAACAAATATATAAATTCAATACGAAGCATTCATAATCATTACTAAACAATATCCTAATCTGAAACATCGTCCAGAATTTTCTACAAGTCTGTATTACTTTGACTGCTCGATGGAACCTTCTACACATTTATACTATTTCTAAATCCATTATCTTAGAGGTTTGCACTATTTCTGTATCCATTGTCTGATATCTGATTCTAAGATACCAACACAGATCCCCTATTAGAACCCATTGACATTCTGGATTTGTTCATAAGCATCTTGGTTGTATCAATCATGCTGGTTTTCTTTGAGGATTGTCTTACAGGACTACTTTGACAACTTGATAAATTGCTTTCGATTATTAAAATCAAATCATTAAGATCCTAATCAGCTGCTGGAGTCAGTTTCAACATACTTTACAACTTCAACACCAAATCCTTTTATTATTACTTTAACTAATTATTAACAGCAGAGAATTGGGCAATTTATAGTTTGCTTAATCTAAGTTCATCATTGAGTCTATTGATCTACTCTTTATATTTATCATCTTATGATAGTTCTCTAACAGGTGAAAATTGCTTGATGTTTTCAGAACTTCTCATCAACTATTCCTACATTAATTTGAGCTCCTCCTTGTAACCCTCTGCAATTTTATCGCATTCTTCTTAGGATTATTGCTTTGCATTCTTAAATTTATCCTCAAGAACTAAGATAGTATATTAACTGTTACCTTTGTATTGATTTTCCAATTACTTTTAAAATTTTATCTATTCATCTCTTTACAGATCTTTACTACTGCTAATGCGAGTCAATTCCTCCATATTTTTTTTAAGCTAATCTATCTCTTCTAAGAGTTGCTGATTTTAAATTTTTGTTTCTAATTGGTATTAATAATTTTTACATTCAAGTTCCTTATTTAAAGCAGACTCTACTCCCTCCTTATTAATCTAGTAATCATGGAAATCCTATTTTATTTTCTAATATTGTGAGTTCACCTCTCCAATTTAAGATTCAAATTATTGTTTTTACTCATTTAAAACTTTAATCTCTTATGATTATTTAGTATTTTCCTATTCTAATACTTTGAATTTGATTTCAAATTCCTTCAACTATGAGGTCAAGTCTTAAACTTCTTTTGTTAAATTGGACTCATTTTAACTTAATTTTTAAAGAAGGAGATTTTACTCATTAAGATGTTAATCCTACTCCTATCTTTTTGAAGATAAGCTTTGAATTTCAGTTTCTAGATCCTATATTTTACTTGTAAATTCTGATTTTTATTCTAGTATATTTTATATTATAGTTACGTTCTTTCTCATTATTAAGTTACTCTATTTAATTGGTAAGCAACTACTTTTTTTAAATTAAACCTATTAAATTAATTATGGAAATGAATACTTTGATTATCATTCTACAATAATGAGTTCGATTAAATTTATTTATCCAAAGTATTCTGAGTTTCAATGACCTTTTCATTTAATGTCTCATTTGTTTTTTACTTTTCCACATTTAGATTCTGTTCATTTTCAAGATGTTATTTTAATTATTGAATTTCTCCATCTTTCTCGTTTATTACATTCTTATGGTGATCAACATCTTCTTTTAATTTGGGAATCAATTCAACTTATTATTCAAATTATTATATTTAAGACTTAAATTGTTCTTGTTCTCCATTCAATGTTGATATTAATAAATCCTTTTAATTCAATAATTATTAAGATTATGATAGATCTTCAGTAAGTTTTGCTATATTTTTAATTTCATTCTTCTAATCCTCAATCTAAGCCTAAAGTATTTACTCTTTAGCCAACAGATCTAAAAGAAATTAAATTATTTGTACCTTAATTTTATTAGATCAGATCATTTATTTGATTATGTAAATTTTTCTCATTGATTAAAATTTTTTATTTAAAGGATTCAAATTTAAGTTCATTTTCTTAAAGACTGTCTATCAGTTTTTATTTCTCTTATTGTAAATCTAGATAATGTTATTGATGATGAATACTTTGGATTTGTTCTTTTAATTCTTCAATTGTAAAATTTAATTCATAAATTTAATTTTGATTAGATTATTAGTCCTAAATTCTGATTGGGGATTGTAATTCTACAATTTAATATTGAGAGTGAATACCTTTAGACTCAGCACATTGATTTGATGATCCTAAAAGGATCTCTTCGTCGAAATTTTCACAAGTCTCTTGATATTTGACCTCTGAAGCCAAGGTTTCAAATTAGCATTGATCTAAGGATTCTGTGGTTTGATTGTTTTCTTGGCTTCCTACTTTCTTGATGTTCTATAACATTTATGAGTTCTGGGATACTCTTATGGAACCTTGAATAATACTAATTAATACTGTTATTAAATTATTGAGATTTAAATTCTTCGTTTTGATAGTGTTCCAAAACTAAAATGTCATTTAAAGGGATACTTTATTTTAATTCTGCGATTTATTTGTTTAAGTCTTCAATGAGATTGAGCAGTTACTGATTCTTTTGAGTCAAACTAAAAATTTACTCCTGATTATCTATTTGAATAAAGAATATGAATTACAATCTTTGACTTCTTCAATTTAGAGATTGAGATCATTTATCACTTGCTGCTATTGCTACAGTTTGCATTTATACTCCAGATCCATAGATTCAAGTTCTTGCTCAATCATATGAAACAAATACATAGTTCCTTTTCTTGAAGTTTTTGTTTTAGCATTAAACTACTTTAGTCCATCTGGCTTTGCAATTGGACATATGAGTTTCTAACAGTCTACTCAGCTTGATTTTTCCTTTCTTCCTTGATCTTTTGTCTGACAACATTGATTTGCTCAATAATTTCTGCTCCACAATTTCTTCGATCCAATTCGGAAAGACAATTCGTGAATCGTATCAATTTCTTCTCAGCTCTCTTCTTGATCTACATCGCATTATTATATAGTGACAACAATTCCTTAATATCTGTTTATTGCTGATCCATTAAATTTATTATCAATTATACCTAAGAGATTACGCCATGTTAATTAACTTATAATCATACAAACACAAAAATTGAAATCGATAAATCTTGTATTCACTTATTACTCTAATCTTACTTGCTGTTGTTGTACTTCTCTAAGGCCCTGCAGATTTCAGATTTAAACAATTCTCTACTCTATTCCTTATTCAACTCGGAATTCAAGGTCTATTTCCTTTGATCCAAGCTGCAATTGAGCATAGACACACTTGACTTTTACAGTTAATTAGACTTTCATCTCCAAAATCTACTATATTTTAGTCCATTACTTATTAAGTGAGATCATTAACTCTCGCTCTCTCCTATTCTAACTTGAGATTTAATTCTTATTTTAAGCAATAACGTTACCTTAGACCTTTTTATCGTGATCACTTTTTTATTATTTTATTATGGAATTGGCTTAATGGAGTTCTAGATATAAATTATACACTAACATTATTTGAGATCGTTTATCTCATCGACGTAGAGATTGTATATATCCTAATGCTTGTCGTCTGAGTAAATGGAATTCAGAGTTGGCTTCTCCTCCTTGACTATAATTATATTTGTCTTTTTTACAATTAAACATATGATTGCTTGTGAGACGAGGACTAACTTGAGGAGAGTTTTAAGTAGAAAATGCCACTCTATCAGATTTGATTATTGTTCTTAGAGAATTGACCTCGCTCAATAAATCTGGAGTCATGTCATTCTTATGCAATTTATAATATTAACTAGAAAATTTGATAAAATTCTTTTCAGCCTTTTTGTTAACCTATTTTGAAACAGTGTAGATCTTCATCATTTCCCTTAATTTTTATTCATTCATTAATTCAATTATAAATTATTCATTAACATTTAAAATAACAAAACATTTTTACACCTAAATAACACAAATAATTTTATTCACTAACATCCCGTTCTCCATCTCCTCTCCAAGTTCTCAAAACTGCAATCAAACACAGCTTTGCCAAGCAATTAATTCACGTCATTGTGTCTCTAACACAACCAAATTGACAGATCCTTCCTAGATGTCACTATAGGAGGATCTAAATTACAATCAACATTCCCTCTTACTTTTCAAAATGTCCTGTTGGAAATGAGCCTTACAATGTTTACAAGCATAGAACTCAGCAATGGCATCAAATAAATTTCTCATCTTCTATTGTTACTCCTGAGTAGGCTCATCTGGATAATAGATGGCTGTAGTATGCAACATGTTCCAAGTATAATTGCCATATGTACTCCTGTTGAGTGGACATTCCTGAGACGGTTATTCCTCTTCGAATTAGAGCTTAGATCGCTTCTTGGATTTGAAATTGAGAATGTCTTCCTTTTCACAAATTGGCTCAAAACAATTCTTATCACTCATAGATTAAATAATAATTCTATAAATACAATCACAAATATAAAGATGCAGCAAAAACAATACCTTTCTTAAGCTTCTTAGAACTTTCCTTAAACTTATTTTCCAATTCCTTATTACCAATCACTTTAGCAGCCTCCTCCAATTATTTTATTAATTCATCCAATCGTCTTAGACATCTGATGATAGATCCTTCGAATAAATCAGTCATCTTGCAAATTTACAAGAAAGACTATCCCTGACACCATGCCAGTGTTACTTCCATCATTTAACTCTTAAATGTTGCTAAGTACTCTTTCTAAAATTATGATATAATAAAGAATATTACCTCATCAATATTCATTTTAGATTCTGTATATACAGTATAAAGGTATTTAGCCTAATCAAGCACTTTTGTGTACAATTATTGCATTTTATCATTTTTTAATTAGAATTTTTCACTATTATTTTCATCATGTACAAAGACACTCAATACAGCACAAATTTCTTCTGAAGCCAAATCATTGAAGAGACCACTGACTAATAGTTCAGTTAACTAATAGAAAATATTTAGATTATAATAAATACCATAATTTCATCTCCTGCTGATATTTCACAAGCCACTTTGCCCTTCATTTACACAATTTCATCCTTGGATATATATTGCAATCTTCTTAGAATTCTTTTCATTCTCTTAAGATCTCCACTCAAAACCATTTGTGAACTTTCCTCAATTTACTTATTCAACAATTTAATTGTTTAACCCAGTTTGATTTTCTCATCATAGGTCTATAATTCCTATTCCAAATTCTAATTGTTTAGGTCCTTCTTCACTTATTCTACTTGCTCCAATAGTTATTGTCTCTATTCTAACAATTTATCCAATTAATCATCATTGATCTTCATGTCCTTAATTGGATGAATAAGAGGTGGCTACCCTTTAAATTCCTTGAGCAATTTAATCATGGTTTATTTAATTTGTTATTTGCTTTCATTGGTTCTGAGATCCTTGGGCAAATTCAATTTGATAGTGCTGATCTCATAGAGTTACTCAATAGACACTGGTACTATTTCAAACTCTCCCTCTTAATCAAGTGATAATTGAGGCTAGAGTGGTTCATTCTTAATGATATTTAGATATATATACCTTCTTTCTTTTTTGAACATACAACATCACATCTAAAATGATAGATTACTCTTGATCTTTATTCTTTTTATTGCCAAACTTCTTTTACATAAAATTGATTGATATACCCCATCCCCAATCTCCATCTGATCCTTTGATTCTAATGATTCTGCCAATATGCATAAATGGTAAGACTATTTATGGTTGATAGATAATCTTCCTTATTTTATTATAGACGTGTGTAGATTAAGAGATTAGATCATGATAATTACCCAATTTGTCTTCATTTTCTATTTATATTTAGTCTCGTTTTTGTTTGAAGTCCTGTAACTTCTCCTTCATTTCAGGTAATTACCTATCATTCTAGAATTGATGGAAAGACTTCTTGATAATGAATTCTGGATCTGTGTCTTCCATCCTCATAGAATTGATAAGCATATTGTATGATAACCTGAATGATGAATTCAAACAATCTGATTTTCCCTTGAGCATAGATTTAGCCACTTCTTAGTCCATCTTCTCATCACACATTAAAATGCACACTCCCTTATCATCTATACCTCTTCTACCAGCTCTACCACTCATTTGAATATACTCTCCTCCTTGAATCCATCTGAATTGTTCACCATCGAATTTTTCTGACTGAAGTGAAAACCACAGTTCTAGAAGGCATATTCAATCCCATTGAAAATGTTTCAGTTGAAAATAATGCCTTAAGATATCCTTCTTGAAAGAGAATTTCGATGATTTCCTTGACTATTGGTAATAATCCCCCGTGATGGATTCCTATTCCTTTCTTTAAAATTGGAAGCATTAATTGAATTTATGGTAGTTGTCTATCCTCTTCAGATAAGCAATTCATAGCATTTTTATAGATGGTTTCAATATTCTCTTTTTCTTTTGGAGTAGTCAAATCCAATTTCTACATTCCAATAGCATATCCTTCTACTTCTCTTTTAGAAAAGGAGAACACTATGGCTGGTGCTAATTCTCTCTCTTAGATCATCTTCATCAATTTAAATAGATCTGAACCCTCAGTAGCCTTTCTCTTCCTTGTATTTTCAACATTTTCCTCCAACTTTGCTACTGCCTCTTGAAATTTATCTTCTTTGAATTTTCCTGTTTCATCAACAACTAAATAGATTCCCTCAGCACCACTTGGAAATAGATAATGTTGTAAAGGTGTAGGTCTATAATCAGTATAGACGACATGACAAGGTTGGCGTTTGATTCTGCAAACCCATTCAGCAAATTCACTAGCATTAGGAATTGTAGCAGATAAAAAGACAAATCTAACCTAATGATTTAATATAGATGTGTACATTTTAATTCAATAAGATGATGGTCTCTTCCCAAACCACTCCTCTTTCTCTATCTCTCATATAATGTACTTCATCCATAATTACCCATGCTACTTCCCTCACAATTTCAGAGCCTCTATACAACATACTCCTTAAAATTTCTGTTGTCATTACCAAACAAAAGGCATTCTCATTCAATGTCACATCTCCTGTCACCAATCCCACATCTCCAAATTCCTATTACAATTCTCTGTATTTCTAATTTGATAAAGCCTTAATTGGAGAGGTATACACAACTCTTTGCTTGTCTCTCTTAGCCATAGCTATTGCATATTCTGCTACTGCTGTTTTGCCTGCACTTGTATGGGCAGCCACCAATACTGATTCATTGGATTCCAAAGTCTTCACTGCTACTTTTTGGAATGGATCCAAAGTAAACTTATATTATTTTGCATTTTGTTTCTTGTCTAAAAGTGGCTAGTAATCTTCAGGTGTGTACCACTCATGAATACACCCTTCATTCTCTTGGTTTTTTATTATCTTAAATGCTTCAACCTTCTCCTCTGCTTCTACATTCATTGACACTTCCTCCTCTACTTGGTTCTCCACTTGAATTCCATCGGCATTTGCCTTAGTTTCAAAAACACCAAATAAATCCATTAATTAATTAAAGTAATATATTGAGTTAAATATTTCCCATAAAATTAATTTATTTTTGTATTTTTTTTACACACTCTCTAATGATAGTCAAACATTACTCAATCAAAATCAACAATCTAATTGAGAATGGCAAGGTCCATTATTAAATCATAGTAACCAGCTTCACCAACCCTGCAGATACTAAAACAACTATGAACAGATATTCAGAACTTAAAGACTTTCATGAATAATTGATTAAAAACATCAACCTACTTAAACTCTAGTTATAATTGCCTGAATTCCCAAAAAGGTCTCTCTTCTCCAAAACCAACAAGAATCAAGAAAAGATTATACAAAGACAACAAGAATTAGAACTCTATTTCAATCAACTTTTCAGCATCGATAAAATTCTAAGCTTAGCACCTGTCCAATTGTATTTGCCCATCGAAACACCTTTAAATTAATAGTAACTATCCTCAGTCTAATCATAGAATGAAAATCAATGTCTCAATTGAAAGCTACACCGTTTATGATGATGTCGTAATCTACTCTATGCGATTTAAAAATAGAATCACAAAAGAAGAGTGGATCTACAAGTAGAGATACTCAGAAATCAAGAATATTCACGATGCATTGGTTGAGTAGGGATATAAGGGCAAATTACCTCCATTTCCCACTCGCAAGCTTTTTGGTTAAACTAATGAAAATCCAGGTATGCAATCTATTTTCATCCTTTCTAGAGACTATCGAAAAAAGAAGAGAAGATCTAGAGGTCTATCTTAATGCTATTTTTAGCACCCAAGAAATCTACGACAATGAGATAATCTAATTTTTGATTGCTGATTCCAAAAAGTATTTTGAAACCAATAAAAAATTGGAGGAATAGAAAAAAGTATAAACCTCTTGATTTACTAGAATACAACTCATCAAGTTACATCTATTCTACATTTTGTATATTTAATTTTTATAAATCAATTTTAACTACTTATGTAAGCAAGCAGCAGTGTTCATTCAACCAATCTTGATAAATAACCTAAATACTCGCAATTTGTAAATGCCTAACTTTTTAGTGGCTATCGAGTTCGTGGGAAGGATCACTCTAAACATTCCTTTAATTAATAACTGAGTCCAACAAATGATTAAAAAATAGCAAACAATTTATCAGCGTCTCAAAGTTATGTGAATGCAATGAAAGCATTACAAGACAAGATTAAATACTTAGAAACAGAAAACTAAAATCTACAATCCCTAATTGTATATCCATTCAATTACTATTCACAGAGTTCTGGGGGATTAATTAAATCATTCGAGGTTAAACAAAGACATGTAAGCGCTCATTAAAAACCCAATGAAAATCAGTAAATAAGAGATGTGGAATTAAAACTGGCTTAGGTGGAAGTTGAAAAATAATAAATCATAGAAGAGAGCGAATAAAAAATATAATAATTGCAAGACAATCTAATGAACATAGCTCAATAATCTGATTAAAGATATAGAGAATAATTGGAATAGATACAACAATTGTAATTAATTTATTTACTGTTTTTGTTAGATAGGATTAATTGGAATTGCAAGGAGAAAACAACTAAAACTACAGGATTAAAATTAACTCGTAAACTCAAGCAATTCAATAAGAAAAATTAGTATTTATATTGACTACATCTGTAGAACAACAATAACCTTGAATTTATTTTGGATTAGGAAAAGAGGGAGACCAAATTCTTAATTGAAAAGAATGAACAATTGTAAGAGGAAATGAGTAAATTAAAAGAACAATTCCTTGAGATACGAACTTATATGAATTGGTATACAAAGTAATATGATGAGAAGAAATTTCAAAGTATAATCCATGTGCTATTATAGAATTGCAGGAAGAAACTATGAAATAAAAAAATTAGATTCACGAATTAACTAGTTAAGTGGAATAGTATAAGGAATTAAATTTAAAGTTACAATTTGGTTTAGATCATAAAACACAAGAATTGGAGAAATCAGAATTGAAGAGAGTTTAGAAATTGTCAGAGTCTAATATCAAAATTGATTAACTGAAGCAATAATTAAATAATTTGTCTTCCAATTCCATAATGCATACTTAAAGTCCAAGAGAGACATTTAAGAAATGCAAATAAAGTGCAGAGATTGTTAAAAAAACATAAAATTTAAGGAACTATAGATAGCAGAATAATGATAGCAAATAACAATTACTTGAATAACCTTGCAATTCAATGTTTAATAGTCCGTAAGAATCATATAAAATACAATAAAATGACTCTTAAAGCAGTGTTTTCAGCAGATTGATAGTAAAGACTCAAGAAGAGAACTTTCTCACTCAATAGAAGAGTGAAGATAGGAATAATATTGGAAATCTTATCGATGAATAAATTCAAACTATTTAATTAAGTGCAAATAAATAAGAGAAATATCTCCAAATTTAACCTAGAATCTAAGAACTGAATGATTAATTGAAGATTCTAAATTAAAAATATGAAGAAATTGAAAGTGCGATTTCATAATTGACTGATTTGAAAATCAAAAGAGAAAAAAGACAACTTTTGCTTCAAATAATAGATAAAATACAAGACATAAATAAAGAATTAAATACTCTTGTAGCTAAACAAAAAGCTAGTTAGCAATTTTGAATCTTTCTTTAAATTTTATTATTCTTATTATAGACATATATGTTTTACTAATGTATGATACTTGAGTATTAATGATTTCTCATCAATATCTTATCTTAACATTGACAAGGAATGAAATCGAATTCACCAAATAGATTGAAAAATGTAAAATTAAGAATATTGTTGATTTATTATGAATATTAATCTATAGAAATCTGCCCTTATAGTCATAATTGATCGCGTGGTGTAGGGGTTATCACGCGTCCCTAACAAGGACGAGGCCGCCAGTTCGAGACTGGCCGTGATCATTTTTTTTAATTAATTTCTTAATGTAATAAATTTTTTGGTTTTTGGGATTGCTATTTACAATAGATTGTCAAGATCCTAATGATGCAGTATTTTCATAGTCAATAAATGTAGTCTTGAATGGTCAATTGAAACATTATTATGTGGGTAATGTGGTTGTACATGCATCAAGCAGATAAGAGAAAAACGAATATTTTCCTGAAGATTCTACCACATTTGATGAAGATGGGACACCAGAATTCATAGAGTATTTAGAACCTTACGATTATGATTAAGAAATAGATTTGAATGATTTAAGGGTTTCTAGAATATATCCAGATGTAAATAGAAATTAAGTCTTGCCCTACAATATCCAACAAGGCAATATGAGTGATTATGTTGTAAAAAAGTACCTTGGAGATGGTACATTTGCTTTTGTTTAAAGCGCAATTAGAATGAGTGATGGATTGCCCGTTGTATTAAAGCAAATTAAAAAAGAATATACATGGTGGGCAAAGATGGAAGCCTAAGTTTTAAACACACTGAATGAGGAAAGCAATCCAAACATTGTTAGATTGGTTGATGCATTCTTCAATGATTCCAGTCCAGTTCTAGTCTTTTAAGAACTTTAAAATTGCACGACTTTTGATTACAGAATCTATAATTATTATCATGACTTAACCCCTGAAGATATCAAAAATCTATACTTTAAGTTATTTCAAGCTTTGGCAACTAGTCACGCTAAAGGAATCATGCATTTAGACATAAAACCTGCAAATATCATAGTAAATAATGATCAAATTTAATTGATTGACTGGGGAGTAAGTGATTTCTACTTTCCTATGAAAGAATATAGAACAAGAGTAGGCACTCGTCATTATCGAGCTCCAGAATAATTGATTCATTATAAATATTATGATTACGCAGTTGATGTTTGGGCATTAGGTTCTATTTTTGCAACAGCTGTTTTTAAGAAATATCCATTCTTTAATGGAAGGAATAATGATGATTAACTCTTAAAAGTGGTTAAAGTATTAGGATCTAAAGATTTCTTTAAGTTTTGTGATAAGTACAGTATTTCAATTCCAGATGATCTCCATAGTAAGTTAATTGGTCATGAGAAGATACCATTAGAAACATTTATAAATGATGAGAATAGAGAATTAGTAACACCCTAAGCCATTGACTTACTAAATAAAATATTTGTTTATGATCATGCATTTAGAATAACTGCAGAGGATATTTTGCAACATGAATATTTTACAGATTTATGATTGATATAGATAATCTTAATTTAATCTATACTTATGAACATTTCATTATGTTTAACTCTTTTATAAAATTAATATTATAACTGATATTTTTAGTTTTAAAGGATTACAATTATTGGATTAAAAAATGCTACAATTACAAGTTTTTAGTTATTAATAATATTTATAAAAAGTAATTGTAAATGAGTTAAAAGAAATAGGAAATCTCAACTTGGATATTGGCTCATACATAATTGGCATAAGCTTTGGAAGATGCTTGGTAGGAGTTTTGCAAGTAAAAAAGCTTAGAAGATGATTGTAATGATGAGCAAGAAATCAAGAGATAATAATATGAGAAAGAGAAAAATATTGGATAAATTGTGTAGGAGGTTTGGGAAGCCACTTTAGATAAGTTGAAGCAAAATTAAAATTAACATAAAAATTCCAGGTCCAACCTTTTTGATGCTGAATGCACCAGCTATAACATTCATTAAGAGAAGAATTTTGGACTCAAAGATATTACAAGATGGAGATTATCATTACGGGATTGCAAATTAGAATAAAATAAAATTGGCAATGGAATCGTTGAAATTCAAGCATTAGAATTCAATGAAGATCCCAAAAAGAAGAAAAAATAAAAATGAATTATTAAATCTAATAAATTGCTTCTAGATATATTACTTATAAGTGCAATATAGGAATATAAAATAGTATTTATTTATTGAAAGAATAAATAATTATTATAATTTATTAACAATTCTTTAATTAATTATAAGATTTAAATCAAGTTTGTACCAAGTTCTAATAAATTCTGAAAATTCTATGTTTGCTTATTAAGATCTTAAAGAAATGGACAATACTAAAGAATTAAATAGAATTTTTTAAATTTTAATTATAATTAGAATTAATCTAGATGAAATATTATTCTTGTCTAAGCAGAACAGCCTTAGGATTATAAAATTGCATAAGTCAAGTTTGACAAAAATGTATCCTAATTAAAATAGTATACTTCTATAAAAGATTCAAGAAGTGCAGAAGATATGAATATTATCTTTGAAATGTATAGATAAACATGATTATAAATATAATTTTTAAATAAATATTGGCAATTAAACTTAATGAAATTCTTTAAGTTGTCTTGAAAGTAATACCTTGAAAATAGAAGTATCAATGGATTTCATAAATTATTATAAAGATACCCTTAATGATATTTTTATTGATTAGCATATTTTATAAGCAAGATAAATTAATTAAAAACATCATAATTTAAGAAAGTTATCATAAATATCATTCTTCCCTGATATTAATTTCTCCAATAATATCAAGTAATCATTGATATCTAGATCTCCTCAGAATACAACAGGTATTAAAAAGATCAAAATAATATTCAATTCTTTATAGCATACAATTTTTGAGATGATTTTCCTCCAATTACCCTTGAATTCTGTCTTGTTCAATAAGGACTAGATAATAATGCAATATATTGATTTCTTACAGAGCCTTATTATCGAATTTCTTTTGAATAATTGGTTCTTAAGTTCTATGAATTTGTAGAAATATAAGAATGAATGAAATTCTACGTTGTGTTCTTCAATATTTAGAATGAGAATTCATTTATTAATAAATCAAATGAATGAATTTAACGATTTCAAATAATTGCGTTAAAATTACTCAAATGCTTTGGAGAAAAATATTCAAAAACTTCAAGGCAGACTAAAGGCTCTGAATAATAATATCATAAACTCTACATCAGCTTAAAAAATAACAATGACGAAGAATCCGACAGAAGTGAAATCATTAAGATCATCTTGCTTATTTACAGACAATAATTTGGCATCACCAACCGACAGATTCGAGAGTAGTCAAGTTTTTGCTAATTTTAATCGATACAATAGTCTGGATGTCCCTTAAGCAAGTCAAGGGGTTTAATAAGGCAAACAATCACCAGATGTTTTTGAAAATATTTTTTTGAAATAATCGTATATCCCTTACGAATAGAAATAAATAAAATAGGCAAATAAAACAAAGCAAAAAAACACACAGAGTAATACTTTGAAGATAACAAAAAAAGCAGAAAAAAATCATTATCTGAGCAATTAGATGAATAGTTAATCATTGTAAAATATTAAGAAAAAAGATGATATCTCGTAAGATAAAACCCTGAAAAGGAATCCAGAGAAAAAGAAAGCCCTAATTCCTGCTGCTGCTTAACAAAAGACAAAAAATACATCGCGTTCCCCATAAAAACAAAGAGTAAAACAGAATAAGTAACAAACTCCGTAACAAAATCTACAGAAACCATTGCTTAATGAAATTTTGAAAAAGTTTGTTTCATCAAAGACTAGTTTAAGCAGAACAGTATCTAAATCCAAGTCTAAATCTAAGTCAAAATCGAAATCTCCTGAAAAAGAATCTACTTCTTTTAAAAAGAAACACAAATCTAGATCCAGAGAGCAAGCCATTCATCATTATAATGAGCAAATCACATCTTAGTTTAGTCCAACACAAGAGAAATTTTAGATGGGGAACATCGAGTACTCTCCCAGTCTTCTTCGGTAAGTGAGAACACTGAGTAAAAAGAAGGGAAGGAGCAAATAGAAACATTTGCAACAACAACAATAATAATAATAAATTACTAATCCTAGTCCTAATAAGGTGTCAGAGATTCACACTTTAAGATTGAAGCATCTATTGAGAGACAAATCAAACAAGCAGGACAAAAAAATAAGAACGCAAATACGGACTACCGAATCTCCTATTCCAATAAAGAATTACAAATTAGATGTATTACAATAGTGTTTATCCTTAGGTACCTTAAATTAAAAGTCTTGAAGATCAGCCAAAGGATGACTCAAAGCCAAGTTCTGTAAGACTCAATACTTTGTCAATTTAAAGATCTGATGAAAAGGATAGCAGTGTGTTGATGAATATCTTTCATGAATTAAAGAATTTATCAGAGGATCAAATTCAATAATTTTAACAAATATTAAAGCAGATTAGAGTTGAAAGGAGGGATGAGGAATTATAGACTTCAATTTCTGATTTGAATTAAGCTGTGGAAAATTTAAAAGCAAACAATCAATCAAATTAAAAGAATAACATTACAGAAACTCATTTGAAGATGGCATTGGAGGAGTTCCCTAAGAAATCACATGCATCATCACCGATGTCAAACAGCAGTTTCATTTTTAAGAAAGAGTTCTTGACTAATTCTTAAATAGAGGAGATATGTCAACAAAGGGAGAAGGTATTTAAGAATCATATCAATTAGAGCATAAAATTAAGAGTTAATAGTTAGATGTAGGCATTTTAGACCTTGTTGCAGCAATAGAAAATATCTCCGAGATCGTTTCATCACAATAAACAATTGGTTTAATCTTGGTTCTCAAAGCAAGCCGATTAATTGTAGAAATTCAAATCGGAATTGCAGAAAGTGTAAAAACAATCGAATACTTTGTTGAAGAAGACTGAACAGGATGTGAATATTGTTAAGGACTTGAAAAAAGACTAGATGCTCGTTTTGTCTTAGTTATGTATGTATTGGCACTTTAATAGTTAGAATAAATTTCATTTGATTAATCTGAAATTAAAGACGAGAGTTTCTTGGATCAATCGGATCTCTAATTCAGTATTCCCAATTCTCCAAAAATAGTAACTCCAAATACTAAATTTTTGAATTAGATTTACGATAAAAATGAAATGAAATTAGCTTAATAATAACCAATATCGTAATAGAAGTAGAATTAATTTTCAAAACCATTTTAGTAAGAAACAAAAAAAAAGGATTTTGAAATTTCAACATTTAATGAAGAACTCTTTTTTGGAAATTAAATTGCAAGACCTTTATAGGTATCACCTAATAATGAATCCAAATAAGTAATAACAGATTATCGAGAACCGTAGGTGTAAATCTATGGTTTGAATTCAGCTTTGAGAGTGGAGGAGGAGACAGAAAAGATCATCGAGCAATTAGTCAATGAAGCATCGAACAGTTTGAATAAAATAGAATTGATTCAGTAGTATGCTTATCAAACCAATGCTGGAATCCTTACAAACTTGGGAGTTATAAACAACTTCATCAATTTGATGTGCTTTGCTATTTTAGGTACACAATTGAAATCTAAGGATATAGAAAGCAATCAGGAGGAATTTCTGAAGAGAATGAACACTCCCTATGGTAGGAAACCCATAAGCAGATTGAGATAATTACATGGTTAGGATGATTTCGAAGATCATCATGAAGTTCAACCACTCTACTAAATAAGTTATAAAAGAAATCTATCATAGAACAAGTTATGGAAACTCAAAATTAGTATGAAAAAATTCACAACTAGGCCATATTTGATGCTTTCAATGAAGCCTTGAATATTCTGAGACCCTTCTACCAAGACGAAGGAATTCCCTACCCTTGGTGCACTGAGACCAATATTTCTCAGAGAGTCTGTTATGGAATAGAGGACATAACGATTATTTTAGAGAGGGCAAGATAGAAAGTGTTTGATTGGTCGAAGACTTTATGTGGTATGAAATGAGCATTTAAGAATGATTAGGATTGTTATCTGATGAGATTCCTGTGATATCGGTTAGACAACTGAATTATGAGTAACTCATAATTATGCAGGAATGCCAAGGAAATGATTCATTGGCCTACATCAATGAGGAGAGGATACAGAGTTGTCTTTAGATAGAAGTATGATACTAAATAGATGTGATTAGTTGTAAGAGGGCGAAAGAAAGTGGTCTCAGATGACACAGGAGTACTCTGAGGTTCTGATGGAGATAGCAGATTACCTATTTGAAGAGTTGACTGAAGAGATGGTCGTTGAGGTTTTTATGAAATGAAATTTAATTACTTTTTTGTATTCTAGTTAAAGAAATCAATTTTAAATTAAAATTTAAAAATATAAAGCAATATATAACACAAAATCATTTAGCAATTCCTTATTCAAGTCTATAGAAAGCGCCTTTAAGGCCAACCAATTTTTAGTAATTTCCTTCTTCAACGATTTTACCGTCTTCGAAGACATAGATGGCATCAGAGTCCTAATGGATATTAAAAATGAATTACTTTGATTGTTGAGATTCTATGAGCAATGGCAACAGTGGTCTTTCCTTCCATCAGTTTATTTAGACTGTCTTGCACTAATTATTCACTTGCAGCATCTAGAGCACTTGTGGCTTCATCAAGTAATAAGAGATTTGAATCTCTAAGGATGGCTCTGGCAATGGCAATTCTTTATTTTTGACCACCTGAAATTTAGGCTCCTTTTGGTCCTACTTATCTATCGAATCCTGTTCCCCTCTGTTGTTCAGTTCCTTTTTGTTCTGCTTAGGTTTCTTCAAATTAATTTTTAGTAACGAAATCATAAGCATTGGCTTTCTTGGATGCGTTTTCTATTTACTCCATAGTAATCGCTTGTAGATTATATTGGATGTTCTCTTTTATGGTACCATTGAATAACACTGGTTCTTGTGAAACAATTCCAAATTGTCTCCTAATATATCTGATATCATAATCTGTTATGTCGATGCCATTGATAGTGATAACACCTTGATCAGGTTCATAAAATCTCATCAACATTTACATCAAAGTAGACTTGCCACAACCAGAAGGACCAACAAAGGCTACCTTCTATCCTTGTTTAACAGTCAAACTCAAATTCTCAAAAACATTCTTTTCTCTTCCAAAATACTTGAATGTAAGATTGTTAAAATGGATATCTCCTTAAACTGGTACAGTGAGTTTCTACTTTTTCAATCTTTGTTCTCTCTAGAATTCATCTTCACTGTCAAGAATTTCAAAAATGTTCTTGCTTGCATTCTTAGCTGCTCCAATATCACCTGCAAAGGCAGCGTTATTCCCTGCACTCATAGTGGCGAAAGTGATGGCAAGAATGGATTTGAACATGTCTTCAATTGTGAGGACTCCATCTCTGCAAAGAATGGCTCCAACATAAAAGACTATAGCATTTATGATGAACATTTGCATTTAAGAAAATCCAAAAGCCAAACCAGCATAGACTCCTCTTTGTTTAGCCTTCATCAATGGAAGTTAGACCTTTTTTGAATAAATTCCAAGAATAATTTCCTCATTTCCAAAAGATACAACAGTTCTAACATTGGTGACAGCCTCCATAATCAAATTACCTGAATCTTTATATGCTTCATCAGTGAGATCTGAGAACCCTTACAAAAATTGAGTTTGCAATATTCCTCCGATATATGACATAGGAGCCAATCCAAGCATAATCAAAGTCATTTACCAACTGGCAATAAATGAGATAACTATTCCACAAATCAAGGCACCAACATTAGCTATATTGATACCCAAAATTGATGAAGTGAGTCCATTAATCAATTTACAATCGACTGACAATCTGCTTGTCAAAGTACCTGCATTATTTTTTGGGATGTCAAAATAAGCAATGGGCATTCTTAACAATTTTCTATAAGTGTCTAATCTTAATTTGCAGGTGAGTTTCTCTCCCACATAAGCCAAGAAGTACATTTGGAATGTCCACAATATTTAAGCAGCCACTCCAATTAAGAAGAACCAAAGGGCAAGTCTATCTGCTTTGGTTCTTACTTCATCCTTTAAATCATCTTTGAAAAGTTAGCACATTTCTGGTGTTGGATTATCGTAAGTCGTTGAGCATTTTTAATCAGCAAATGATGGGTTAGATTCAACTAAAACAGTGATCATTTCTGCTAAGAATAAAGAGAAAACTGGGAAAGTGCATCCATTTGCTAAGGCTGCTATGATACCAATAAAAAATTGTGCCTTCTCATCAGAATTGTAAGTGAACAATCTACCCATTTGTGCATCTACTTCTTTTTTCTTTTCTACTTCTTCAGTCTTAGGTAATGGTTAGGCTTCTATGTCAGTATCAATTTTCTTATGATGATGGTGATGATGATGATGATGACCTTATCCAGAAACCTTCTTTACTAGTTCAGGTACTCCCAAGTCCTAAAATCTATCAATCTCCTATTTAACAGCAACAACTATGTTTTGTTGATCAATCATATTCATCTTTATTTAGACGGATCTTTAAGAACTAGCTTTTTAATCTTAGATATTCTTTTCTGAAGGACTAGAAATTGAAGAACTGGATTCATCTTCATGCTTCTAAGCTTGGATTTAATTCTTAGCCAAAATCTCATATTTTCCATGCAAGTTCATTAACTCTTAATGAGATCCCATTTCAATGACTACACCTTTATCAACCACATAGATTAAGTCAGCATTTTAGATTGTGCTTAATCTGTGAGCAATGACAATGGTAGTAATACCCTTTGACACTTCATCCAAAGTTTCTTAAATCAATCTTTCATTGGTTCTGTCCAAAGCACTGGTAGCTTCATCAAGTAACAATATCTATGGTTTCTTCAAGATGGCTCTGGCAATTGCAATTCTCTACTTCTATCCACCACTCAATTGACCTCCTCCAATTCCAACATAAGTCTCCAATCCCTTATCCATTTTTGATACAAAGTCCCAAGCATTAGCCTTCTTCAATGCATCAATCATCTCAGATTCAGTTGCATCAGTTTTACCATACAATAAGTTCTCTTTGATGCTGGTAGCAAATAACACTGGCTCTTATCCGACAAGACCAATTCTACTTCTCAAATCAACCAGATCTAAGTCTTTCACATTGATTCCATCAGTTCCGCCAAATAACACCTCTCCTTCTTCACAATCATAGAATCTTTCAATCAATTACATCACAGTAGATTTACCACAACCACTCTCTCCTACCAAAGCTACCTTCTTACCAGCTGGGATATTTAAGGTCAATCCTTTCAATATTTTTTAGTCTGGTCTGTTTGGATAGCAAAATTAAATATTTTTCAATAAAATTGTTCCATTAAAAGATGTTAACTTTTTTGGGTTAACAGGGTTGACAATTCTTGGATGTCTATCTAAAACAGCGAACATTTTAACTGCTGCCTGTCTACCTTTAGCAAAATTCTATACACAAGGACCTGCCTATCCTAATGAGAATCCACCAGTCAAAATGGCAAAAAAGATAATCATCACATCTCCTACTGTATAAACTTCTCCCATGTTGTGATTAAGAGTCTTTTGATATTAATATATTCAATACTTAATCAGATATTAATTTAGCTCCATACCAGAAACCAAGTGCATAAGCCCAAAGCATGGCTGCCCATAAAAATCCAAAAGCTAAACCAACACCAAATTGATAGCTGATTGTTGTTGCAGTTGCTTAAAGTAGATGCTTTTTGTATTTCTCAACTTCGAAGTCCTCACCATCCAACATCTTCACTGTCTTAATTGCATTGATTGCTTATTCTGCTAATGCTCCAGCATCAGAATATGACTTTTGGGTTGCATTCTCAGAAGTTTGGATAATAATAGCAAATATGGCTGTGGCTATTGAAATTGCTGGTAGAGTGGCTGTTACAACTAAGGCTAATTACCAACCACTAAAATATTATTATAAAAATTTACTAAATGTAACCAATTAAAAATCCAAAGAATGACATAGAAAAAGTCATAATAAATGTGGGAACTTTCTCTCCTATGGCTCCCTATACGGCAAAGGTCTCATTTGCCACTTTGCTATTCAATTCATTTGGATTAATTGTATCAAACCAGCCAATCTCTTATTTTAAAATTGCAGCAAAATATCTTTTTCTAAATTCTATACTCTGATTTTCACCAGTTATCATCCATGTTGCAAACATTATAAAGGACATCAGCATTGTCCCAGCAGCAACAATAATGAAATAACTATACATATTTTTATAATAATTACATTGCATTTAACCCTGCTTATCGAACCATTTCGTCGCCTGTTTACGAAAAAGAATCAGTCATATCTCCAAAAATGATTGAAAAACTTGGAAATGAAGCTCCATTGAGAAAAGCTGCAATCCCACCTATGATCATCAATAGTTTGTCTTTTGGACTCGCATACCTGAGAAGCTCAAAATATGGAACCATTGGTTCTTCTTTAGGCTAACTATTGGCTCCATTCCCATTTGTCAAAACCTAATTTTCTTATTAGTTTTCTGTTTTCATTATTTATATTTTTTTATGAAGAAATGAAATTCCTAAAAAGCTTTATACTATAAATAATGGAATTTCTGATAATTCATTTTAATCAAGTTAAATCGTACTATCTATAAATTATTCCACATTATTTATAAAGATTTTATTAACTTCTACGTTCATTACGAAATTCTAAACACTAGTCTACCTACCTAAACAACTGGCAATTTGTGAATTCAGGAAATTTTTGTAAAAATCCAACATTATATACTCCATGTCTATATTTTGACTAAACAAAATTATAACTTAAACTATTATATTCATACATAAAAATCATCAGTCATCAACATACTTCAATCTATAAGTACTCATTTAGAAGGATGAAAATTTAATGAGTTAATGACCAGAAAAATAAACAATTAGAAAAGAATAAATGGAGAATTAAAGTGGGAATGAGAGGAATTTGAAATGAGGAGGTTAGTAATTAGAGAAGCTAAAAATAAAAGAGATGCCATAACTTTTAACTAGTTTTTATGTCTTTTTCTAAAATAATAATTCTAAATTCCTAAAATTAAAAAATCTAAATTCTAATGATGTTGTATTATTTTTTCGATTTGTGATATATATGAATGATTTATATGAAAATTCATGCAACTTGATCACTTTCTAAGAGCCACAATTGAAAAATAACATAGATTAAATAATTTTTTTAAATAATGAGTAAAAGTCATTCCATTGAAAGAAAGAACAAGAATAGAATAAAATGCGCTCAAATGAGTTCTGAAATACATTCTATGAAAGAAATAACAATATAGAAGTTGTTTTATATTTCATTAAAAATGACAATGATCTTAGACATCTTATTAATTTGATATCAGAATTGGTCATTTTTAGCTGTTTCTTGTTTCAATTGGTTGCAATAAATTTAATTTTATTTATTTTAAACAATGCATTCTTTCTTCTTTTGCAATTTAGATTTTTATGTTTCTTTTATTTATTATTATAAGACTTATTAGAATTCCTGAAAATTTATTTTATAGCTTAAATATTAGTGATCAGGTAATAAATAATTAGTTTAACCAAGTATCTGATCTCATAAAATAATTTGATAAAATTATTAGCATAATTTTTTTTCTCTAAAACTTTATGTAATTAACTAGGAATAGACAAAGGAAAAATAGTTTTTACCTTCACTATGATTTTTTAAATTTTAATGTTTAGGCACTCACAAATAATATTATTCAGGAAAAGTATTAGAATTCTTTCTTACTCATAAATATCAAAAATCATTAATGTATAATTTTTACTATATTAATCATTTTTTTCTTGCAAAAATGGTTGCGCTTAAAATTTTTGTTCCACTATTCTAGAATTCGTTTAACTCTTCCTAAGAAACATACTTTAACATCAGTTCATCTGGGAAATCAATTACCTTTTCTTTTTTAATTTAGATATCAATAAATCCTAGGTCTTCTAGAGTTTTTAAATAAATGTCTTTTCTAAGAGCGCCTGAAACTCCACCTATATGCAATTCCTAAGCTTTTCTAATCGCTAAAGGCAAATCACCAGTAGAAAGAACATCACTTATAGAGAAGTGACCATTTTATTTCAAGACTCTATGGATTTCTGAAAATACTTTTCTTTTATCAGGTACCAAATTGATTACACAATTGCTAATGACAACATCAACATAGTTATCCAAAACAGGTATATCTGTAATATCACCCTATCTGAATTCAACATTTCTAATATTATATTTATCTGAATTCAATTAAGCTTTTCGTATCATACTAGGTGTCATATCAACACCAATAACTCTTCCACTTTCCCCAACTTATGCTTTTGCTATGAAACAATCATTTCCAGCTCCTGAACCTAAATCAAGGACAACATCTCCTTTTTTAAGCTCTGCGAATTCAGTTGGAATCCCGCATCCTAAGCCTAAATCAGCTTCTGGAATATATCCTTGAAGATTTTAATATTTTTCAGCGAAAATAGCATAATCTATGGTTCCACAACCTTATGTACTGCAACACCCTAAATTTACTTTTTGTTCCAAGATTTCTCCATATCGTAGTTTGACATTATTGATGATTGATTCTTCGGCTAGTTCGTTTTCTGACTCTATTGTTATTTAATATTTTACTTTTAAATTAACTATTCTATTGTTCGCAAAATTGATTTTAATTAGAATTTTATTTAACACAACTATCCATTTAAATCAATTTAATAATAATAATTTGATTTTTCAAATTTATTTTTAAATATGCAATTCAAATTCAATTAATTATATTCATGAATCACCATAATTAATTAATGAATCACTAAAATGCTAATTTAATATTAATGCTCCAGGAACTTAGAATAAAGTTCAATATGATTACTGATTATCATATAAGGTTTTTTGCTCACATTCTCAGGATTAAATTTTAAATAAACAACCTTATCTAGTTAACGTAATAAGACAGTAATTGAAATCCATAACCTTCTAAAATTGCGATTATCTATCTAATTGATTGGTAAGTCTTTATCAAAATTTATATTTTCTTGAATTTCAAAATATTTTATAAATTTGAATCACTTTTCAAATAACTTCGAGAATTGGATATAAATGAAAACAGAAATTTTGAGTGGAATTATTAAATACCTCTAAAAATTAAAATCTTTCAAATAAGAGCAATCAACATTAGTTTTTCATTTAAGTAATTCCTTTATCTCCTGGTTGTCTTTCAAAATATATTGATCAATTAAAAATCTAACTAGGGTAACATAATTTTATAAAGGTACATTTACAATTAGAAGTGCAAATCAATCAAAAAAATCCACTCTTAAAATAAGATCCATTTTTTGATCCCTGTGGTGAAAGCAGACCTAAGTTGGCATTATTTCTCGATCTAAATAGCAAAGATAGTTATGAAAGATAACTGACTTATATTTTTATTTATTAAATGCTATTCCTTCCAAACAAGATGAATTAATTTAGGTCAATTATATTTTTTGGTTAATATACTCTAAATTGATTTTATAATATTTCGTCATTATTTTAAGGAAATTTAAGAATTAAAAATGCAAATCTAATAATTTATATGCTCAGAAAAGTGTAAGGTATATAATTACTATTGGATTTTTGCATATTTATATTTCCATCTTTAATAGGAGACATTATATATATAAAAAACTTAAAGGAACAATTTAATCAAAAATTTAAATCAATAATACTATCTGAAAATCTAATATTTATTATATATTTGTATCATTTTCAATTGAACTTTTTAAGGGCTTTTTTCCAATCATCAACTGTGGCATATTGAATTTCCTCATAAAACTTACTAAAGTCATAATTGTAATCTGTAAAAATCATCTTGGGATTCAAACAAATGTTTAAATAGAACTTTAGCTTCATTAATTCTACTGTTTCAGAAGTCAGCTTGTCCAAGACCAATTTTACTGTTCCATAATAAACTTATTAAAATTGATCAGTCAAGTTCAAATTGTTATCTAAGATGCTTAAATATTATTAATAGAATTCTTTAGTTTGTTCGTTGAGGACAATTTATTTGGCTTGATTTTGAAGGCTCAAACATTTCCTTAAAATTTCAACAAAAAATTTCATGGCTTGATCAATATCCATAGAGAGATGTTTGCACATCTATTTAAATTCTTAAGATCTCATATAGATTTCATACTCTGGATTTCGAGACTTGCTTATTTCTCTATAGAGTTCCTCCATTTTAATAAGTTGATTTTTGGAGATACAAAAAATAAGCTGGAAGCATAACTCTATGGATATGGGCATAACCTTTTGTTACAACATAGAAAACAAGCCTTGGATGAGGAAACTGTAAAAGAATGCCAAGTTTCTTTCGTATTTGCAAATGGTGTTTAATTTTTGGATGGTTTTTGCCTCTTCAGACTCGGCATTATATTGTTAGAAGATGTCAGTATAGGTCGCTTATTGAATGCCTTACTTAGCATCAAATTGCTCTTCTTCAATTTTGTTTACATCCTTCATGTATCCAAGAATCAAGTTTTGATTGATATAAATTTTATTGAGACTTATCGATCTCATTAATCGATCCTTTTCTTTTTCCATCTATTGCATATTGTAATGAATTTGTTTTTCATCGATGACAATGATCTCATTCGTAAACAGGTCTTCCCAGTTGATGCGATCAGCCTCATTCACAGTCAACATACATTTTAATAGATTCTTGACTTTCTAACTTCTAACAGGAATCTCTGGAAATTAAAGAGGTTAAGTTGTAATTTTTTCTAATAATTCGCATTGTCCATTGGCGATCCAAGGAGTTACTCCATAAAGCAATTCATAAAACATAACTCCTATAGACCATATATCACATTTGGAAGTGAAATAGGTTCCTTCCAAAATTTAAGGAGCCATGTATATGGGAGAGCCAACTCGACTGAGGTTCATTTTATCAATTTCAGATTCAATAATTCTTGCGAATCCAAAATCAGCAATTTTGGCTACCCCATCATTCAAAAGGATGTTTGAAGGTTTGATGTCTCGATGGATTACTTTCTCTTGGTGCAGGATCTGGAATCCTTTAATGACATGTTTAAAGAAGATGACGGCCTCCAATTCGGATAATCGCTTATCTTACTTCTTGTTTAGATATTCGGCCAAGTCTCCATCCTTGCAGAATTCTAAGATCATATACAAATTGGAGGAGGTCTTTGTAACATGGATCAATTTCACAATATTGGGATGATCTATTTTTGTGAGAATAGCAATCTCTCTTTTGATATGTTACTGCAATTGTTCACTATTCTGCACAACCTAGAGTATATAGTGAATAGATGATTACATGCATGGGGATAGTCTTGATTGCTACTTGCTTAGTTTGATCATCCTTATAATGACCACGATATACTGTTCCGAATTGTCCCTTTCCCAATTTCATATTCACAACTACAAAACTATCTACTTTTTTTGTCTTCCAATCTTACGAACTTTGTCCCTGCATTATTTAATAAAAAATAATAAACCTTCTATAAGCTAAAATAAATAAAATAAATTCAAGAATCCAGACTCTCTATTCAACTTTAAAGACCCTTTTTGCTTTTTCTTAAGTAATCAATCTTCTCCTTTTTTAATTGATATCTTCTGAACACAAAGATTATAGCCAAGAAAAGTCCCATAATTATTGACAAAGCGAGAATACATAAGTAAACGTAAAGATCTTCCTCCTATTGAGACATCAGGACATTATGAACATCAAATACGTATTCCAGTCTGCTTTGGCAATAATTGAATGCATCAGATTAATTTTTATTGAGACAATTGGTACTATTCAAATGAATCTGCCAATTATTTTATATGAAAATATACTGTGACTCTATTTTGCTAACTCAATCTAGCCTAACAAGAAATTTTGGCTGTTCTTTCCTATGCAAAATAAATTGCTGCACCATATCTGTAGATTCCCACTACATACTCCTCATCCAATTTATCCATTCCCAAAAACTCCATCTAATGCAAATTAGAACTAAATTAATTCAACTTTCATAATTACCCTTTAGAAAGATAGGGATCACTAAAATTGTCTAGCAGATGTTTTTAATACATGTTGTTGGTCGGATTACTAATGAGCAAGGCAAAGTTATTGAATTATTGGATATTTCTGATGATTTACTTTGCTACTGTCTTCATTCTGGTCATCCCCCATCCATTATCCACTATTCTGCCTTCATATACCTCTGAATGCAATAACTACTATTGGATTAACATGATCTGATTGTGTCTCACAGATATTATGCTGCATCCCTTTTGGGCAATAAAGAATCTCTTATCCAATTGCAATGATGTGAGATTAAAGCGAAAGACTCCGTTTTCAAAATCTAACAAATACAACCAATCTCCTTCAATTGCATAATCTACTAAATTCAAATCTTAGTGAAAGTCCTAATTTTAAATTTAATATACTTCAATCACAAATTTATTCACTTAAATTATGAAATTATTTTACAATTCTAAAATACGCATTCCTTTGCTCCCATTTATCAAATATACAAATCCTCTATTTATAAACATTTTGAAATGTCCATTCACCTTCTTCCAATTTTGGATTTTTGTCTGTTCTAACATTTTATCCTTGATTGTGAATCTTATCAATTGCTGATGATCAACATAATAATAATTCTCATTATCGGTAAAAATTTATTAATTTTCATTTCCATTTTGGAGAATTATTAATTAATGAGTAGATTAATTTGTAAACTTTGCACCAATATTATAATACATATGATGAATTGTTCCTTTTTTTTCCAATAAGATCAAATTCCTATTAGAGATTGCGTATGACACCAATTCATGTGAAAATCCTTACTGGATTTCTTCTGTACTCATAGTGTCAATGTCGATCTGCTGCATGTCACTTACCAAAGCAATCAGACTCTCAGGCTGTCTGTCCAAAGTAATGGATTAATAATCGAATTTACAGATGGATTCCTCCATGTCCCCATCGTATTCTATAGAGATGTTCCTAAAAAATGTTAAAATATGGTGAGTACAATATCTAGCCAAATTCCTCCAGCGATCTTGAGAAAACAGTCTTTTCAGCCACCAATGGAACAAATTATGGGAAAGTAAAGGAATAATTAGTCCAGGTAATTTCGTTAGAAAGAACAAATAGAAATTAGGTAATTATAAACATAATTAATGATTTATGTATTATGAGATATTCTGTATGTTTTGAAGATCAGCACTCAATCTATTACAATAAATTCATGATTTCTTCGATTGGTTTTTCGTTCAAAATCAAGTTCAAGGCTACTGATGAGAAAGGATCCTCAGTTTACGTTTATAACCATTCTACTTAATTAATTACTTATGGTTGTGTCTTGGGATTGGATGGATTGGCTTTGAACTATAAGATTTAGGCCAAACAAAATCCTAAGTCTTGAAAATTCGATCGATTATTTCCAACGGTAGCATCAGTGTAATCATTCAGTTTAAATGATTTGGAATCTTCAAAGTATAATATAGACTCCAAGGTGATCTATTTCAAGACTAATTAGTGTTCTTGGGCAGAGATCAACCCCTAAATCAGATCTAAGAATATAGTTTTAATTTGCTTATTTGTCAATTCATCTAGGAAATTGAGAATTGTTTTTCGACAATATTAATACAATATTAACTGGAAGGAAATGTGGACAATTTCTCTATTGAATCAAATACAAATACTTATTTCTTTAGCCAAATCGTCAATCTTTTGAGTCTGTGCCTAATAGTTGTAAACCTTTTCAGGTGTCAGTATAAATTTGTTGTTTAAAGAATATAATTTCTAAATAATACTTAGTCCAAATAAATACTTCTATTATGTCAGATTTAATTGAAATTGGTTTAATTTGATATTTTTTTTTTGACTTAATATCTTCAATCTACACATCTATAGGTATATTTACAATGATGGGACATTTTTTGGATAACAAATCTTAATCTAATTTTAGATAATCGAATTCGTAGATAGTCTAATCTCTCAAATTGATTTCGTTATTTTCAGAAATATCCAGCTTGCAACTTGATATCTTCTAAATCGAAAACCATTTCTACTAAACATCCTGAGGTTGTCTTTTGTGGATTTTTTTTGATCTTTTCATACTATATTAACAATTGGTTTACCTTTCCAAAATCTATTCGCTGCTCTAATGGACCTTACTCCAACTGATTTAACTCAAATTGTCCGGCGATGGAATTTAATCCTATTGGCTGCAAGAATATATATTCATTTCAATTATTTATTATTAAATAATTGCCAATTTACAATCGGCTGAATAGATATTGCAAATTATGTTTCAGTTTGGATTCTTAAAAAAAATTACAAATACTTATGCAACCAAAATAATAAACAAACAACTTCTTTTTATTTTAATATTTAAATTATAGATTCAAAATTAGATCCCTTTAATTTCTCATCTGTCCTTGATTTAATAAAGGAGTATCTAAAATATTCGCAGTTGATTTAGTAACAGAGTGTTTCATTATAAATTAAATATTTCTCTTTATTGTATAGATTAGAATTAATGATTCCAAATTCACCTGAAGCTGAAAAACTTAAAGAACTAGGAAATGAACAATTTAAATCGAGTAACTTCCAAAGAGCAATCGAATTCTACACTGCTGCTGCTGATAAAGCCAATGGTAATCATCAATTGTAATTCATCTCTAGGCAATCAAAGACTTGTTTGTCTGTCAAATAGAGCATTTGCACACATCAAAATGGAAAACTACGGACTCGCTATTATAGATGCCGACGAGATTTTAAAAGAGGATTCTGGATTCATTAAGGCTTATTACAGAAAAGGTTCTGCTTATTTACTATTGGGAAAGTTCGACGATGCTCGAAAAGAGTTCAAAAGAGTAAACAATTCATAATAATTTTGCATAGGCTGACACTCTCACCCAAGGAAAAGATGCCGACATTTAGGCAAAACTCAAATAAATCAAGTAGGCAATCTACGAACGAGAATTTGCAAAATCCATTGAAAGACCAGATGAAGCGAGTGAGCCAATCGATATCCAGGACATCAATGTTGAACAAGGGTACGATGGACCCAGAATCGACAACGATATCAGTGAAGTTACACCAGAATGGTAACACTTAATACATTATGACAAGGTGTGAGAAATTGATGAATCATTTTAAAGATCAGAAGAAATTACACAAAAAATACGCAGTTATGATATTACAAAAGGTGGGAGAAATATTGAAATCTCAACAGAACGTTGTGGAATACGATGTTCCTAAGTAAATATTTATTCATATATTTTCTAGAGATCTTGAGTTTACTGTTTGTGGAGATACACATGGACAATTCTTTGATCTCGTAAACATTTTTAAAATAAATGGCAACCCCTCAGTCAATAGACCTTACCTATTCAATGGGGACTTTGTGGACAGAGGGTCTTGGAGTGTTGAAGTCATGATGACTCTGTTTGCATGGAAAGTATGCAACCCAGACATCATGCATTTGACAAGAGGCAATCATGAAAGCAGAAACATGAACAAGCTATATGGATTTGAAGGGGAAGTCAAACACAAGTACGATGACAAGGTTTATGAATTGTTCTAAACTGTTTTCAACTATTTACCATTGGCTTACACTCTATCCAAATAAGTGATGGTTGTTCACGGAGTAAGATGATCTCTTTTACCATTTTAGGGATTGTTCTCCAATGATGGTGTCACCATCAGTGAATTACAGAAATTAAATCGTTTCAGAGAGATCCCTGAAGGTGGTCCCATGGCTGATATGTTGTGGAGTGATCCCATCAAGTAGAATGGAAGACATCCAAGTAAGAGGGGCATTTCAATATCCTTTGGACCTGATGTTGCTCATAAATTCTTAAATGAAAATGGCTTATGTAGGTTTAGTGCTATATTAAAGCTCTGTTGGTGAGATCCCATGAGATGAAGGACCAAGGGTATGAAGTGGAGGCTGATGGCAGAGTCATCACCATTTTCTCAGCTCCTAATTATTGTGATCAAATGAAGAATAAGGGGGCATTTATCATATTTAAGGGAGGCGAAATGAAACCCAAGTTCATTCAATTTGATGCTGTGGTATTTGCTATGGTCTATAAATCTTTTAGGAACATCCGAAGTTACCACCCATGGCTTATGCTAGAAATTACGGAATGTTTATGTGAAAACACAATTAAATTTATGTTTTTGTGCAAAGAATAATTTACAATATGTAAGTTTTAAATAAATTCTTCATTTCCTTTGATCTCAGGAAAACCAGAAATATGCACATTCCAAATTGCGCATATAAAGTAATAGTTTAGATTAAGATTATTCTTAGAAATTCTAACAATCACTTGATTTATCGAAATTTCTAAAAATCATATTTAATTATTTTTTATGGATAGAGCAAAAGAAGAACATAATATTAAATAAAAGGCTTCGACTCCTTCTTTTTTAATTAAAACCTACGACATTTTGGAAGTAAACAAATTATGTCTACATATTAATTAGAATCCCGATTACAATGAAATCATATCTTGGAATGAGGAGGGCACAGCATTCGTTGTAAAAAATGTCAATGAATTAGCTGAGAAAGTACTATTGCATAAATAGTTTAGGTGTTGCCTAATCACTTTAAGCACAATAATTACGCTTCTTTTGTAAGATAATTGAATATGTATGATTTTCATAAAATGAAAAATGAAGGGGGAGATAACGAATTTAGACATAAATATTTTTAGAGAGGGAATAAGTAATCATTAATTCCTATGTCAAAAAGGCATTTGCTGTGTGAGATCAAGAGAAAGCAAGGAGAGTAGGTCGAGTAGTTTGACGAAAGAAATTAAAATTCAAGTTAGAATTGTAACATTATATGTCATTTATAATAGCCAATAATTCCATGGAAGTAGATATGTCCAAACTAAAAAATGATTATTAATTTTTTCTTAACGAAATGCTCGGCATTAAGGGAAAGTAACACGAATTACAGAAGGCATTGATTTTAATCATGACCCAAAATGATCATCTGATCAATGAAAATAAATTATTATGGCAAGTAATCTATTCTAAATCCATAATTTTCTAAAGGAAATCAAAAGAATCAGAGAAACTGATGAAAGAAAAATAGATACCTTGTCATACCTTTTAGCCACCTTGATCACCAACATGAACCAATCACAAAACCAATAAACAGTCCAATAACTAGTGGGAGTGTAGGTGCCTCCCTAGACTCCAATTCCCCCCCAAGAACCAAGTAATAATTTAAATTTAAAAAAAGATAATCATATTGATTAACAATTTAATAATCTCTTAAATCTTTAACAATTAAACCAAAACAGTATGATATTTAATAACCAATTTAGAACCTGGATAGTAGAAGGATCAAAAGCAACTCCAAGAGCATAACTCATTTCTAGAAAAAATTATGAAAACCTAATAGCAACAGGAACAGCAATTGCAATCAAGTATGAATCTAACCTCTAAGTGATTAGTCAAGCAAGACATTTCTTAATATGATAATGGTTTTATGAAGAAACAATGCAATAATCAATTTTAGAGATAACCATAACACATGGATTCTAATTTCATGGTCCAACAGAACAGTTAGGCCCTGATTTAATGTAGGTTATTATCTATAAAGTAGAACTAATGAGTTTATCTTAATAACAACAATCACAGTAACAGTAACAATAGGGACAACAATTCTAGAACAACTTTTAGAATTATTTTGGATAGAATAAGGGAAATGAAAATTTTAGAGGATTTCCATTCTTATGAACTTTATATTTGATTATTATATAAGTTATTATTTAAAGATAGGCAGATTAAATAAAATATTAATTAGAAAGTAAAATAACAGAAATGTTTTCTATTACCATTTTCAAATAAGATTTGGATATCTCTCGGATGCAGAACACGCTATGACCATTCTTTCCTGACTCCAGAACTCCTAGATGATCAATAATACTTATGACAGTGTGGAGATTTATAAAACGGATAGCTAAATTAAGGTAGATAATGAACCAATTGTCGTTTTTAAGTTAATAATATTTATATAAATATTTTATTAAATGACTCAGGTAGCTTCAATTTAGAACTTACTCATCAATGATGATAATTCGACTTAAAAACAATAATAGGGATTGGGCGTTGCTAAAAAAATAAAAAAGAAGGAGAAAGGATGCCATTGTAGATAATAGAAACAGAGAAAAATATATAAATTTATTTCACCAGAGGAATCCTCTTATGAATGTGACGGATGGGAAGAGGAAGATTTATTTAATCGATAGTCCGAAAATCGTAGATAGAACAAGGAAATAACAGATCTTAAATGCGTTGCTTGGAACCTCGAACTCTTCATCAAAAATGCAAAAGAAAAACTTGCATATTTGGAGGGAACTATGCAGTTAAATCTTGCAAGAAATTGATTTTCACTTTTTTCTTTATTATAATTTTATCAACTACACCCTTCCATACTTCTTATAATGGCTTAAATTTAATCACCATGCCCTTTTTCATTCTCCAAATAAAATTACATGCTTCATCCAAAAACTATAAAAATGCTGGTATCTCGTGATGCATTTAATGATCTCTCATTGAGTAACAACTGACCAGGAATATGAGAATTTTTAAATGGCCTTATTTGCACGTGGATTTTTAAATTTCATTTTCCTTTATGAATTTTCTCAATTACTAAAAATCAAGAATTCCTTGAAGTAATTTCAACAAATATATCTAAATAACCCACTTTGTAGACCAATTTATAACAATCTCTTCAATACAAAGGTTAATATTAAATTTTACTTGTTGCGGATAAACGTAAATAGTATAAAACAGAATTTGTAAAATTTACCTTTTAAATGTTACACAAATGACTTTGTTATATATATATATATCATGTAATGTATCTTATAAAAAGTTGAATAGTTTCTACGATTAACACATAAATTGTATGTTTAAAAATATACTTTTATATTCCAATATAAAATTTTGCATTTAATAAAAATTACTGAATAATGTGAATTGAGTTAATTCTGTTACTAAAAATAGACAAATGAAATCATAAATTGCAGAACTATGTAAAATTCATAATAAATTCAACAAAAATGACAAAGTAATCAAAGATTAAATGAGAAAACTAAGTAAAGAAGAAAAACATTGTGCCGGTTAGATTTTTTTAAATTATGAAACTTAGAAAAATCAGTATTTCTCAAATTAATTAAAATATGCAAATAACCAAAAAAAGGTTTAGAGTGTAATTTTGATGATCCATTTTAATTGTAATAAATAAATAAGCTTAAACCATATTTTATTTATATTATATAATTATTTCTAAATTAATTAATTAATTATGACTGATGCTGACAATCAATTTCTTTAGCTTTCATTGGTTGTAGGAAATATATATGAAAATTCAATATTATAGAGGTTTATTAGATACTAATTTAATATAATAATCACATATTCACATCATCCAATCACATTCACTTAATCTTTACGATGTTTTATTTTCTGATGGTCTATATTCTGCTATGAACTTATCTCTCTTATTTTGTAATTCTTAGATAATTTTGATAGCTGAATGAAAAAGTCCATCAGTAGCTTTACCACATTCAGGACACTTTTTTGCAGTAATTATGCATTTTTCACAAAAGAAATGTTGACATTTAGTTTGAACAGGTTTATTTAACTATGATTAGCAAACGCTACACGTTTCAGGAACATAAAATTCATCGAGTTTCTATTTAAATTCAAGATCTTCTTTTTCTTACTTACCCATTCTTCTTGTTTTTTATTAATCTTGATACTCCTTTTCTTGTTCCCAACCTGATTTATAGTCTCCTCTATCATGAATGTAAATGCAAGAATCACCAAAAGTGCAATATCCTGTGTCATGATAATCTTTACATAACATTGGATTGAAATCAAAAGTGCAAGAAAATTTAACATTTGATGGCATGGCAATGGGAGCATTCAACGAAGTATTTTTCTTGGGAGGCAAGACTTGTCCTTTTTTGACATCATCGATTGAATGAATAGATTTTAATCTTTGAAGGGTTTCAGCAATTTCATTTTGATAGGGTTTTGCTTCAGGTGCAATTTTTTCAACTGCGAAGTTATTCTAATGTTATAGTACGAAGCCAGCCTTAAATTTGGTTTCTTCTAAGACAGGCAATATAATTTATTTCTCAGTTTGTTCATTTTTGATTTTCTTTTAAACTTCAGGTTCTTTTGTTTCTTGCTCATTGATTTAAATGCCATTCAATACATCCTCCTTTTTTTAGATTTTCCTTTTATTAAACATGTACTTTACTTTATTATAATTTATATTAATGTTTTAATATTTAAATTGAGTTCCAATTCAGAAAACATATTTAGATGAGAATATTGTATTTATGATTTGAATGGATTTGTAAACGGGATGGGAAGTATTTAGAAATTAAATAAGAAGGGATGAATAAAATAGAATTTTGTATTTTGTTTTATTTATTATCTGGAATGCAATAAATCAATGATTTTTTGATGGTGTATCATCGAAATCTAAGGATATGTGTGAAAAGTCTTACCTGATGGGAATGATTCATTCATGTTCCACCATGACTCGTTGTATGGGTAATCTCTGAAATAGGGCAGGTGGGGATCAAATTTACCATCATTAACTGGTCTTGATTTGTAGAAGCCCAAGGGATCGAAATTCAATTATTTATCTGTGTAAACAATATATCTGGTCGAGGTGCTTGAATATGGTCGACACTCATCGATGTATAAAAATGCATCATAATTGGTCTCTAACCAATTGACCCACTTGCTTTCCAATTATGTAAATTCAACCTTCTACTCTTGATTCAAATCTAAATAGTTTTGCAGAGTTAATGTACTTGCATAATTATTATTCAATTCCTATAATCTATTAAAATCTTTTTGGGCCACTTGCATCTCGTTATAGAATCTAATTTGATCGCCCTTGAAATTCTCCAATTGGGAAGTGTAATGTCTCCTTATGGTTGCCCTAAGAATAGAATGTGAGACGCACCTGTATAATCTGGTAATTCTTTGAGTCTATGAGAGAGTGTCAGGATGCTTCACTCCATAAGCAAGCAAATTAACCATCTCGGACCACTTAAAATTCTTCACAGCCAAATAAGCTTTGCTCATTAAAATCTTTATATTAAATATATTATTTTATATGCAGCTTTCTTTTACTATTAACCCATCCTGCTTTGGATTGTTTGTCCGACCCAAATCGAATGCCCAAGGCAAACAATCCGATAAACAAGATTCAGATGACGAACCCAAAGTAAGTATCGCGATTCCTACTAAGTAACGCGATGATCAATCTCATCCAAATAATAACAATTAGTTGATAATGAAAAACAGGTCAATAACAATATGTTCTAACACATCCACATTGCCCGAGACTCTCTCCACCTCCTTCCACAACCAAGAACTCAACCAATCTGCGTTAGATTAAAATAAAGAAGATATATTTTACAAAACCATGCCTACCTCCTTTCAGTAATTCCAGTTCAAAAACAAGAGAAGATATGAACCCTAAGCACAAATCACCCAATATCAAATTAAATTGGACCAAGTATTTACTTCCCTCCTATCTAGATTCCTGGAGATTAGAGAACCACCTTAATGATAAGGAACATTCCAAACAAATATACTCAGCCCATGTTGTTGGAGAACTTTGATATCAATCATAAAGACAATTATGACTTTTTTTATCTCCCCATAGATTTTACTGTAAATTTTCTATGTAACATAGAACAAATGTAATGTTGGGTATGCCTTCATCAATTTCTTGGATTCCAAATTCATCCCCAAATTCTTTCTAGAGTTTCATGGAAAAAAGTGGAAGCTCTTCAACTCAGACAAAGTAAAATGTGAATTAATTTAGATATGTGAAATAACCTATGGTAGAATCTAGGGAGTGGAGCAATTGCAAGGGCACTTCCAATATTCAACCATTATGTAAGAGAAGGTATTCCATTTAATCTACCTGTAGGACAAGAGACTTAAGCCGATTTTCAAAAAATATCAATCAGATCAACAATTTAAACGAAAATGATTTCAATAAAACTATCTTATATTCTAATTATAAATTACTTTTAATTCAATTTAATTATATTACGTTGCAGCCCTCTATAATACTATTTTTTTGTATCAAATATCCAATAAACACAAGCAGCTACAAACTCTCCACTCCTTGGTGTCTACATTGCTGAACCATTTGTATCAAGTAGCCGCCAAAAACTAAATTCAAATAATGTGGTAATTTATGCGATTTTTAAATTTTAATTATAAAAATTGGAGTATTTAAGTTCACAAATACAGAGTTCAGATTAATAAAATAATTATATGAAAGCTCTCCTTCTTCTTGCAATCAGCTATGTAGTCTAGTGTTGGTGGGATGTTGGCCACATGATGACTGCACAGATAGCAAAGAATTACCTAAAAGACAATCGTCCAGACACCTTGGCTTGGGCTGATTCGTTGGTCTAAGATTTGAACTCACTCACTGATGGGAAGTCTAACACATTTGCAGAGGCTGCTGTGTGGATGGACGACATCAAGGAAACAGGAACTTCATTTATGAACGATTGGCATTATACAGACAGACCCATAAATCCAGATGGCTTACTGATTAAGATAGAAGATTAAAACAGAAACATAAATTCTATTTATGCAATTAACCAAGCAGTTTCAGTGCTCACTAACTCAAAAACTGCTAGGAATAGACATACGGTGTTCAAAGCCTAGATGTTAAGGGTGCTTCTCCATGTCATCGGAGACTTGCATCAACCATTACATGATACTACATTTTGGAATTCAAGTTATCCAAATGGTGATTAAGGTGGAAATTTCATGAAAGTGCAGGTAAAAAATTGAAAAATAAGTTTAGTTGGAGAATGGAACCTTAGTGAATTTGCATTCATTTTGGGATGCAGGAGCATTTGCTTTCAGTCCCAATAACTCTTTTCTGGTTAGACCTCTGAGTTAAAGTGATCAGGAATATTTAAATAAGTGGTCTTTAGACGTAATTAAAAAGTATCAGTTTACGAAATATATTAATTTGGACATGACGTATTATACGCATTAATATTTAAATAGCAATCCATCAGTTTGGACATATGTTGGATATAGATAAGCTATTCAGTTTGTATACCCAATGATTGCTGGATCAAATAACTACAACAAGGACTATGTCAAATAAGCATAAGAGTTCTGCGAAGAGAATTTAGCAATAGGAGGATATCGTTTGGCTTAGAAATTAATCGACATCTATGACCAAATACTTTCAAACGAAGCCAAATTATCCTTGGTGGATTGATTTTTTTGTGATTTTTTGTATTTACCTCATTCTCTTCTGTTATATTTTTATATTGTTCAATATCATACATATTATATATATATTTTCAACTCACTCTTGTTATCTTATTTCTAATTGTTTAGTATTGTTATTCCACAAGGCTATGTATTCTCCATTGTCAGTCAAACTGCCACCTCTGTAATTGTCTGCAATCTTCTATTGAACTCCATACCTCCCTGTTGTTTATTGGAATAGTATGTAGATGCAATCGAGATGGCGACAGAAAATGGATTGCAATTACTGATTGTAGAACATGTGAAAGAAATCGAAGTAACTCATCTTCGATTTGCTTAGTTCCAACTCTTGAATCTACTCGAATGATTCAGCTAATTCCACATATTGATAAAGCAGAATGATTCCATTATATAACTTAGTTGCAATCAACTTATCATTGATCACACAAACGGAATGCACCCAGTTTTCATAATCATTTTATATCACTTACTTGAGTCTCCATTACTGCTATTCATCCAAATCATAGATAATTATAGTTTTATCATAAGACCCAGACACTAACAAGGTGCCTGGCTAGTTTAAACTTAAAGAGTACACATCCTTCTTGTGATCCTGTAGAGTCTAATAGCATTTCCATTGTGGCTATTATGATGTCAGTAAGGATTCCTACATCCACACTTTGATTTTATTATCGTCTCTACTAGAAAAGATCTGATCTTCATATTAGTTCAAGATAACACAATTGATGCAAAAACTATTGCCTTCCAAAATCTATATACATCCCCATTCGCTGTTACTAAACTCCTTCCATAATCTAAGGGTCTTGTCTCGACTTCCAGAAATGAACCAATTATTTTTGCGACTGAAACAGAGACAGGTGACTTCTTTGTCATGTCCCTTTAAAGTTTGGAACAAGTCCAATTTCCCATTGTCGAAAGTCCATACCTTAATTAGCTCCTCTGACGTGCTAATCATTATGGAATTGTCTTTGTTGAAGGCTGTGGCTAAGCATTTTTCCTTCTGGGCAGCCTTCCCTACGATTTCCTCATTGATAATAAGATTGGTAGTTAGTGATTCTTTGAGTGTCTCCATATTACTTTGTATTGACTTAATGTTGTTCTAATAGTTGGAAAGAGTAGTCTGCAATTGTTGCTCCTTCTTCATTTGAACCACAGAATAACCAGCCTTAATTAGCGAAAACTCATTCCCTTACTAACTTAATTGTAATCCTACATTCTGCAATCCACTGATGGTCAAATACTCATTAATATCAAATTGCCATTGCACTGATTGGGCTTGTTGAATGACTCCGACAATCTTCTCAATTCTCTCATTGATCTATTTACTAATTTCGTTGAGAGACTGCGAGATGGATTCTGAAAGTTGATGAATAACCTTCTTGAATTCCAAGAAGTCATAAATCTTGTTTTTTCTATAAGTTCTAATCTATTATTTTTCATCTTCCTTCAATTTCTTGAATTTCTCTAAAGCATTCTTTAAAGGAACTGCATCATTCAAAGGAGTGCAATTCAAACACTTGGCCCTATTGTTAAGGGGTGTGTCCTTCTTGGTGTCAATGTAACTGATGGGTTAATTATGATTAGGACAACTCACATTGCCGGCAAATGATTACAACATTTATAATACAACAACAATGAATTAATTAATTCTAAGAAGGAAAATTCGAAATATCATTTTATTATAAATTCAATTAACCTCAACAGAGCCTGTCATAATTCATTCCAAAAACAAGATGGCCAAATAAAATTAAGAGGAAAGAGAGTATTATATATACTCTTTCCCTTATTATCAAATTGCAAGGATATTTTGAAAAAACACGTTAGCTCCATACCTCATCAATTTTCTATGATAATAGCAAGAAATATTATCACTATTAATTATTCCAACTCTCATTTTCGAGTTGCTCTATTACACAGCATTAGTCAAGAGATTATTTTAATATTTGATCATTTGTAAAACAGACATAATTTGAAAAAATCAAAATGCATACATTAATAATATACAATGATTATTCTAAATCAATATAAATAATTATCTACAATTACAAGATAGCAAGAATAATGGAGATTTTAATTAGACATCATAATTAATACTTTGAATGATTGTAACATTTTTAGAGTAGGTGGTGCTTTATTATATCAAATTATTTCTATTTAAAATTAAACAAAAAGATACCATAAAACTATTAAGATTGAAATCAAGATTTCTAAGTGTTTATGATAATTAATAGACATATTAACTAAATGCAAAATTTCCAATTTTTAAATTAGTAATGCTCATTGATTAGCAAATAGATCTATGTGGAATCACTATTAATAGGACATAAGTATCAATTATTTTAGAAATTGATGCTCATATATATTAATATATACAAACATATACTAATATATAATATTAAGACACACTTACAGAAAGAGATCATTTTTAACAGTTTAAAGTAATGAAATTTATGTCTTCAGTTCTTTTTATGATTTTTAACTAATAAATTGATTCAAAATAAGGATCGATTCAGCCTAGATTTATTAAATCTGTTTTGAAATATGCATGATGATTTCAGAATATAGTGTCAAAGCATTCAATCTATTATTATTTTAATACAAAATATGTTGTTGAATCTAATATATTTAATAGTAAGTCAATTGCTATTTGATTTATTGGAACATTATTTGCAATATAATAATTATAATTAAAAATAAATGGGAAAGAAGAAACCAGATAGTTTTTTAAGTTAAATGTCTAAGTTGTTTAATGGTGAGAAAATCGTTAAATTAACAATTAAGAGAAGTATGGAACTTATCGATAATTTTTAGATTTGAAAGAACAATATCCACAACTTCGAAAGAGATTGAGAAGAAAATAGAAGTAGCAATTATTAAATGAAATCAAAACTGCCAATGATGTTAATGAAATCATCATTAGGTCATAAACCCAGAAATTAACAATTTCCACATCTTCAAATAAATAGTAAATCAATAAATTTGCAGATTCGTTGTCGAACATATATCGCTTATATTGCCATGATCAATAGAAATAAACTAAAGTAAGTCCATGTCTATTTAGAAAAAACCTGTGCCATTGGCAACTCAACCCAATCAAAAATCTAAGACTCAATAGAGATTGAAAGCCAAGAAACTGAGAAACAAAGAAAGAAGATAAAAAAGAAATGAATTATCAAAATTAAAGAAAAAGGATTTGCAGAGACAAAAAACATTTGCAAGCAAAAAAAGAGAGGATTAATAATAATGATATATATATATATACGATTTAGTACGTGTTTAATTAATATTGTATGTTTTAGAATATATATAATAATAAAGAGACTAATTAATCAAATTTAAGACTTCTTTGTTACTCTCCTCAGCGTAAGTCTAGAGTGCCTAAACTTCTATTTCTATTAAACCTATGAGTCATTAGTTGAATTCTCAGATTCATCAATCAGAGTTGCATATTTACTTACCAACATATGAAAATACTTCTCAACATCAACATGCATAAATAGTTGGTTCTTCATATGCATAGCATAAATATCATTTGTTAATCTAAAGATTTCTCCCCTCAAGGTATCAGCTTCTGTAAAATCTCTACAAACTCTCAATTTCTATTTGTAATATTTCAGATCCATTCTATATTTCTTAATTTGTTGCTGATCTTTCATATGCTATCTAATCCTATCCCTCATTAATTCAAATATAAAGTATTTCCTCATTTATTAAGCCAAATCTTTATCTTTCAACACTTAAAACCAAGTAACTAATCCTTTATTTCTCAAAGCAGCCTATTTCCATTTGATTTCTTCATCCTTTATCTTTTCATTCAAATTATCCCATTTGATAATCATATCATTTTTGTATTTAGTGTAATTTTCTTCAAACTAAATTAAATGCTTCTTGATAATTTGGAGCTTGTTTCCTAATTTTAGCATTTGCACTTTTAGACAGTAAATCTTAGATCTTTATTATAAAATTGGTAATATTATTAGAGCTTGATGATTTCTAAGAGTATTCTTGATTGTTTTTGTTTTGGCCTTGAGTGACATAAAACTGTCAACCAAAATTCGTGTATCCATGGATTCTCCTTTTGTACGCATCATTGTTTTTTTCATTTATCTTAACAAGGATTTGATTCGAAAAGCTACTAATCGGTTCTTCTTCATTCTTTCCTTTTTATGAGAAAATGCATCAAAAATTTTTGAGCTCATTTTAATTAGATTAATAATGATGGCCCATTATTATTCAAAAATGTCTTTTTGGCTTTTCTTGTCATTTATAATTTTGGTTAGAATTTTTTCTTGATTAGAGAGTTTCTTGGCCTTTATTTGATATTGCTTTTAGATTTTAGCTTGTGTGTTAGATTGTCTTTAAAAGTTCCTTGTTGATAATACTTTGAGGAATCTGTCTGATCGTGATATTTCATCTTAATATCTATTTTTTTTAATTCCTGCCTGTTCTTTATTGGAATTGACTATATACTAAAAAGATTTGGAATGAGAAAAATTAAACATTTATAAGAGCGATGGTGGTGTATCTTAAACAGTTTTAACTCTCTAAATTTCTTCAGATTGCTCATTAGTTAAGAGATTGAATTAAAGTTCTGAATCTTTTCGAGTAATGGCTGAGATATAAATAAATTCACCTTTGATTACTGAAACAACAAATCCTCTGTTATTAATCATTTACTCACAATTTTAATTAGTGGGGAAGGGATGAACTTATGAAATCATCAATTAGAATTCACTGGAACAATGAACTTAACAACCAAAAGGTGCCATTAAATTCTCGCAAGAAATTCTTAAGTACTAGTACTCCATTGCTTTTGTGAAGTAAGTCTTTCCACATAAGATGGTATTGTTGTGTTCATTTTAAATAATTGTGTCATTTCTGTAGAGGATTTGAGTTTAGAAATGAGAGACTCTTTGGTTCTGACTGGTTTTGTGATAAAGAGATAATTTGGTTGGAGGTATCCGGTTATCGAAATAGAATTGAGAGCTGCAAATTTATTTTAATGAACGGGAGGCTTCTCTTTTAAAAATGGTATCACTTGTGTCAGTTTTAAGATTTTCTTTCATGTATTATGATATTTAATTTATATATTTGTTATATATAATATTTCATAAAATCATAATGTTTTTTACTTTTTATTACTTAAAGCAATCACTCCCAAGGCAGTGGAAGCTAGTGCCAACAAAGACATCGATGATAAGTATGTGAATGCCTTTTGATAGATTCTTCGTGATGATTTCGACAAATACATCTGAATCCCAATGCAAAGGATTGATCCAATCAATAAGGATTTAGTTTTGTTTGATAATCTACAAAATAGTTGAAATCATAATACTTTCTTAGATTCACTTTATGGCTTTCCTTATGCACTATTGGTTTATGCAACAACAACGAAACGACGTGCAATAAGGTTTGTGAGTTATTTTTCCTCTTTCTTTGTGTATATTCTTCATAATCTCCATATCTATCCCAATGTTCAACCTTGACTGGTTGCTGTATTATTTATTAATGCATTTGCTTGTCCTGATTAATCTATAATTCATCCTCTTCTTGTATATAGTTCTCCACCAATTCCCTTTTGATTGGTTCTGGAAACAAATTGATAGTTCCCTTTCTCAGAATTGCTTCCTTCAATTAAGGATTGATATCTTCAAATGATTCTATGATCTCTTCTGGGGATTTTTTAATAAGGAATGGACTTAGGAATACTCGTACATGTCTCTTTATTGTCTCAAAATACCATATGTCGCACAAGATGTCAAATAAGGATCTCTCCAATAGAATTTTTCTGAGCTTATCGGAGATGTTATTTAGGAATCCTGTTCTCTTGATTCTAGTCCATCTGATTTTCAACAATACCAAAAGGGAACAAAATGTAAGAGCAATAATGATTGTGAACTTAAGTGAAATAAATGTGAACCATAGGTATGTGAAGCAACTGAATAAAAGCAGAGCAGATAACACTTCTATGGTTTTGAGATCAATTTATGTCATTTGCATATAATTTATCATTAAAAATATATATTGTGAATAAAGATGACTAAATTTAATTATTATAATAGATGATGGTTCAGTTCACAAATTTAGCACTTCCTGCTTTGTTCTATTGGGATGCTCCTTGTCCCTGTTCTGCTGGCTTCAAAATTTAAAAAGAACACATGAGCGATTCATCCACAGTCATCATGGACCCTAATTTTATTACGGATATTCATCACCTGCATTGTCGAATTCGCCACAATAATTGGGAGCTGAAAATAATGTGACCAATTGTCTTTTACTGAAAAACTCATATCCATCTTCGACTACCTATATGTAATATACACAATATATTTCTACTTGATGAGCTCTGCATATCAAATCCAATTCATGCTTCTTCAGAAAGACCTGAACGATCTCTTGACTGAATACGTATGAAACTCCTCGTTCATTGTCAGCCCATCCTTGCACATCCTTATCAGGATCAGACCATAATAAATCACAGAGCAACCCTGTATCTGGAACGTCAGTTGGTCTCATAATTCTTCTGATTTGTTCCAAGTTGGATAATTCAGGCGACAATCCCCCATGCATGCACAAAATCTTTTCGTCAATTAATGCAGCCACTGGCAGACAATTGAAGCAATCAGTAAAGGTCTTCCATAATTTTATAGTATATCTTCTCTTGCCTATATTGGACAATTGATCTATTTACATTCATCGTAGAATCCATAAATTCTGTTAATGGATGCACATTCATGATTGCCTCTCAACAAAAAGAAATTCTCAGGGTATTTTATTTTGTATGCTAAAAGCAGACAGATCGTTTCCAAGGATTATTTTCCTATCAAATAGATCATTTGATTTACCTCTGTCAACATAATCCCCAAGGAACAGATAATTACTCTCAGGAGGGTATCCTCCATATTCAAATAATCTAAGCAAATCGAAATATTAACCATGCACATCCCCTACAAACTCATACTATCATAAACGTACCGCATATTTTTAATGGAGCCTCAAGTTCCAATAAAATTGGTTGAGAAATAAAGATGTCTCTCGCTTTTATACACAACCCCCTGACTTCTGCCTCTGTTAAGTTTACATTTTTCCCTGGCTTGCTTCCTCTCACACTCAACAGTCTTTCAATGATACTATCTACATCGATTTCACCCTTATTATCCTTGCTCATATATTATAATTTAAAATTTAAATCAATATATATATTTCCAGATGCAATCATTATCCTAATCACACAAGCACGCCATCATAGAGGACATGCTTTGGAAATATTCCTCTCCTGATTTGTTCATCCAGGGCTCAGAACCAATCGACTTTGATTCCCATTTCATTTGCTACTCTTTCACAGAATTCGACCAAGAAGCCCAACAAATAACCCAATAAACAGACACCTTGAGAACAGTGGTGCTGTTCGAGAATTCAAACTCAATACCACTTGCCCTGTCCAGTGCTCTCAGAACCATGTTGAAAGGAGAATAAGCATTTTTCGAACTTAGCGAAGTGTACGCTCTCACCTAGAAAGAGATCGACTGCCTAATGGAAGATTTGACACCCTTGAAAATGTAGAGGAGACAATATTGGCTAATAAAAATAGAGAATTCCTTTGAGTATCTGGGAATCAATTCATTGAACTAGCAATAAATAGAATAATACATAGAGGAAGTTAGGAAGTATGCTGGATCGATATTTCAACAATCCAATTATCGTTCAGCAATCTCCATCTACGAATTGATTGGTAGGATAAAAGTGGGAGAGCATTCGAAAAAGATTTTGAAGGAAATAAGCAAGTCCTTCTCAAACAGAGCAGTTTGCTACATTAAATTAAAGGAGTGGGGTATGGCAGATTAGATGTGCGACGAGGCTTTTAGCTTTGATAATGAAAACGAAAAAGGTAGGGCATCTGAAGTAAAGTAGCTCTGTTGATAAAAGGAAGAGCAAATTATGAATTGCAAGATTACCAATCTGCTCTTTAATTGTTTAAGGCTATTTTGATCTAATTTCCTAATACGGACAACAAAAAAGAAGTCCATTAGTATATATAGAATTGCGAGAAAAAGCTCTAAGTGAATAAGGTTGATTTTGAATGATATTTAATTTAATTGCATATAAAGACTGTGGTGTCCACATTATATATATTTGATTGATATTGTGTAATAAATTAATAAATTATGTATTTGATTTTGTCAGCATTAACAATTTGCTCTTACGCAATCGCTCCTCATGTGCTGACGTAAGGACCATTTACAGAAACTAAAGAGACTTTTCAATTCACATAGCTCTTGGATCACAGCGACCCAGCCAATACTCAGACATGGCAATAGAGATACCATGTGTATTCCCAATATTTTAATCCCACTAAAGGTGGAGTTATCTTATACATTTGTGGAGAATGGAATTGCTAAGGTGTAGGGGACAACTCATTATCCTTCTAATTGGCAAAGGATTTAGGTGCAATTGTTATAGCATTGGAACACAGATTCTATGGACAATCTCAACCCTTCGGAGCAGATTCATGGAGTTTGGAGAACCTATCTTATTTAAATGTCCATCAAGCCTTGGATGATCTCGCCTATTTTATATTGCAAATGAAGAGACTTAAACTTCATAACATCGATTCTACATTGCCTTGGTACATCATATATCCCTACATAGGTATGCAATCGGAGGCTCATACCCAGGGGCTTTATCAGCTTGGTTCAGATACAAATACCCTCATTTGACTGTCGGTAATTTGGCTAGCAGTGGAGTCATCAACACAATCCTTGACTATTGGTAATTCGATGATCAAATTAGAAAGAGTACAAGCAAGAGTGGTGAATAGTACATATATCTAACTTAACAACAACTAGATGTCCTCTCTACTTACAGTTGCTGAATGGTTATGTCGATAAGAAACTAAAGAACTTCAATACCAAATAGGCATTCAAAGAATCCTACAATTGTGAAAAGATGACAGACAACGAATTCAGATGGTTCTGGGCTGATACCATTGTCTAAATGATCCAATCAGGATAGAGAACCAGGTTCTGTCAAACTCTAGAGTCCTTGCCATCCATTGAGGCTATGGCTGAATACATAAAAGAGATTGCTCTAGATCAAGGAGATAGTTATAAACAATACGGTGCTTACTATTTAAGAGACGAAACCGTCGACTAGAACTCCGTAATCCGTTAATGGTATTTCTAATGTTGCTCCGAACTTGCCTATTTATAAACACCCCCACAGGTAATGTCCAATTGATGTGTATGATAGAATAAAGAATCCTTAAGATCCTATGAATTGACATTAGATTGGTGGAGAGTATGGTGCAATGATGCTTACTCACAAGGGGAAGTAATTTGGCCAGATGTAAGAGCAACTGAAGCCTATTTTGGAGGATTAAACTTGAATGTTGATCACTTGATCATGACCAATGGTGGGGAAGATCCTTGGCAAACAGCCTCCTTGACTAAGGCCACTAAAGCAAATAGCAAAGTTATCACCTACTTAATCGATTGTGATGATTGTGCTCATTGTGTAGATTTGGGTGCTCCCAGTGCTAAAGAACCAGCAGTTCTTACATCAACTAGATAAGCTATCAAGAATACATTTAAATAATGGCATGATTAATTTTGGAGTAAAACTATGGTTGAATGAATATTAATATTAAAGAAATATATATATATAATCAGTTATTATGGTTTTCATACCATTCACAAAATTTTAACAATTGATTGGCGTTCATTTATTCGGCATAAAGCTTAATTTTAGCCAGAGTTGTGTTGTCAATTAAGAGGGATAGTGATTTCTCACACAATGACTTCAAATCTGGTATCAGGTAATAATCAGCCATTTACAACAATTGTCTGTAGAATTCTACCGATTATTAATTTTGATCACATTATAACTAAAATAAAAACCATTTCTTACGTCTCCTGAGTAAATGAAGTATAACAACTATTCAAATATAATGAAGGAACAATCATTGATATAGACTTTCTATTATTGATTTTTGTACTCCCACTCAAACATCTTATTGAACATTTCGTATCGAGATAAAATAATTTTGTGTGCATATAATTGTTTGTCCTCTACAACAAAAATGATATCACTGTATTTAGACTAATTGAAAAAACCTCTAAAATACTGGTTAATAGAGATATTGTTGAAATCAGTCACAGAAATATTAGGAGGAGGATCAGTATCAATAATGAAGAAGTCTTTAAAGTAATGTGATCCACAAGACCCCCCGAAAATGTAAATAAGATTACCAATTGCAGTCATACTATGACCAGCTCTGGCCTTATCAAATTATTCATCATCCTGAAGTTCGATGATGCTCCAGGCATTCTTCACTGGATCATAACATTACAAATCTCCAAAACAGGTAGTTTAAGGGCCACTGCCACCAAATAAGTATATCTTATTGTCTATAGTAGTCATGCACATTCCCGCTCTGGCACTGGGAGATTGAATCGGTTTTAATTCGCTCCATCTGTTCGTTGTCACATCATAGCAATGCAAATCATTTAGTCTTTTTGAACCATCCCAACCTCCAAAGATAAACAACTTGTTTTGCCAGACAGCTGAACTGTGATTGGCTCTTGGTGGAGGTCTCTGATTCTCAGCTGTCTATACTAGTTTCCACATATTAGTTTTGGTATTGAAACTATGCAGATCATTCAGATAGTCCTTCCCATCTCCTCCTCTGAAGATATATATCAACTAACCAATTAAATCAGCACTGTGCATATTGCATGGGCCTGGAACCTTAAATTGTATTTTGAAATCATACTTCTCCCATAGTATTGACAAGTGTCCAAAACAAACAATCCAGATCTAATACATACACATCTCGACTGGCATAAGTTCCACTTCCCAACCATCCACCAATCACATACATCTTATTCTCTACCACAGTGGCTGTGTGTCCATTTCTACTCTCAGGAATTCTACCATTTGCTTTACACTTCGTCCAATTCCCATCCTTATAGATGTGTATGTCGTTGTGATTCTTTTTGGAGTCATACCCACCAAATATAAATATCTGTTTCTTGTAATGTATGGATGTATGATTTTTAATAGCAGGACATTGATTTGCATTACTGCGAATTACCTTCACTGCTTGTCTCTCATATGAACACCAATTGGGCGACTAGCCATTGCCGTCATTCTAAAACATTTATTTATAAAATATAATATATAAATTATAAATTATAAACAAAAATATTCATTGCTTTTTTATTTATTTAGACTTACTTTTAATGTCCCCACTTGGCCTATCTCCACCCTTCCTATTCTTAGCGTCTCCCCCTTACTTATTTACTCCACTCTCCTACAAATTCTTAAAGAAAGTGCTCGTCTTATCAAATTTAACACTCTCCTTATTTTTTTGTTGCTTAATGAAACTCATCTGCTTCTTCCCTTGTTGATGTTGATTGTACATGAACTTAGTCTCACCTCTACTCTCCAATTTCTTAACTAACCCACTTCTCTTCCTTTCTCGCTCCCTATTTCGCTTTCTCTATTTGGCCATTCTCCTACCCTTCTTATTCAATTGATGATCGGCCTCTTCCTTAGACAAAAACCCAGCCTTCTTAATCTTCTCCACATCCTCCATCTATTCGCCCCTAGCTGTTATTGGCACCTTCTCCTCTCTCTAAACCACGTTGTTATCCAACACCTGCACTTCTGCTTGCTTCACATATCCTCTTGGCTCGAAGTTCAAATTAGTCAACGAATCCAATTTGTAACATAAGTCTCTAAACTATTCGAACAACTCTTGTTTCAATTTCTACTCGCTCGTGTTTGTTGGCAATCCCAAAGCCTGCTTAAATTGTCTTTCGTATAATTCAGCTAATCCAAACTGTGACTTATTTGTGTCCACCTAATCCACTGGTTTCTCAAGAGAATGCAAATTGATCTACACTTTCTGTCTATCATCAAACAATTCATCTTGTACTCTCTTTCTATAATTGAATTGATATACTAATTTACTTTATCATTTCTATCAACTTATTTTACTGCTCTGGAGTTGTTTCCTCTAAAACCTTTCTATTCACATCGAAATCCAAATCCTATTCAATCAACGAATTCAATGGTCTTTATCTGGCGTGCACTTCACCCACAAATTGCCAATCCTTTTTCTTCAACCTCTGTTCTTCTAAATTCTTGATTTCGTCATCCTCTTCTCCCACTTCTCCTTCTTCTGCTTCAACCACATTGTTATCTTATTCTAACTCCTCCTCTCTCATATCATCAAATACAGAGTCCTCACTATCATTGTATTTTATATATATTACCCCTCGTTCTCTGGTTCCTCATTTCCTTCTTCATTTTCTTCATTTTCTTCAAATTCTTCATCTTCCTCTTCTTCCTCCTCTTATTCATCATCCAAATCTATTTTACCCATCTTGCCATCATCATAATCTTGCATGTATTTTTCAAACTCATCAAAATCATCCTTTTATTTTTACTTTTTCTCAAATCTAAAGTTTCCACCCTCCTCATCAAATTCCTACTCCATCTCTTGATGTTCTTCTTCCTCCTCATTCACTTCCTCTTCCTCACCCTCTTATTGCTCGTCTTCCTCTCCCGCATCCTCGTCCTTCTCGGACTATTATTCCTGTTCTTCAGTCTAAACATCCTCCTCCTACTCCTCTACGACTTGACCTGCTATTTTGGCTGCTCTCTCTTCTATTTACTTTAACTTTTTCAGGCTCTTCTGATTGAGAGTTTCGATTGCCCTCTAGATTTAAGTCCACATTTATTCTTCGTCATTTAAAAGTAACAGAGGCTAATTCAAGGATTCGTCCATCAATTATTTGATTAAAGGCATAGCATCAAAGTCTTTTCTTAAGATCAATCCAATCTACTACTTTAACTTCAGACCTTACATTAAATTATAAAATTAAATTATAAATACTTTGAAAAGCAAAATAATATTTTTTAACAAGTACATATAACTATATTAAATTAAATAATTCTTCCAATATCCTTGAATTGTCATCCTCACAGAGCAGGAACTCTTCCAGCATTATGTTTAATTCATACGAAATCAGTAAAACTATTAAAAACTCAATTTAATATAAAAATTATAAGTCTAATTAATAGGCATGTAATAATTCTCCAAAAAAGGCCAAATTAGCAATAGTTTTTGTGTAATAATAAGATAAATTGCAAAAACATTGGAAAAAGGATTTATATATATCCTTTAGTGAAATGATATTCAGCTGATTCATTTCTTCAAATTGTGCAGATTTTTAAATAGCCAATGACCTAATTAAAGGGCAATAAAGTATATTCAGAATGTCACCTCATAGTAAGATGTGATTTAAGCTTCTTATAGTGGTAATCCTTATCGTATTAATTTGTTTTAAACAATTTCAACTAGATTATAAACTTTTAGAATAAAGTTCAAGTAATCTTAAACAAAAAAAAATCAGGAATATTTTTAATGGAAAATGGATTGAATTACATGTCCTTAAGTGTTTTTGTAAATTTAAATCAAATCATAGTTTGAGAATATTGTTTTTATCTTTTTTCGATTAATATATTAATAAATAATTTATTTTACTCCTTGGTATCAACAGAATAAACATATTAATGAATCATTTTATTGTATTAATGTTCTGACACTTTGAAGAATTTCCAAAAAGTATTGTGAAGTAATTTAATGATAGTGATTAATTCCTTATACAAAAAATAAGTATGACAATCTAACAATATAATCCAACACTTGTATTGATAATATTTAATTGTAATTATAAAAATGGATGAGAATAAAATTGCAATTATATAATTTTGTCATAGTCTTTTTTTTCCACAAGAACCACAGTACTTATGGTTATTAGCGAATCTGCTTCCACAATTAGTACAGAATACACTTCTCTGAAATTTGTTGCCACTGCTCATACGAAAGCATAGTTGAATATGCTTTTCAGCTGCCTTCTGTTCAAATGTCTTCTGACAAGAAGGACACTTAACAATGGGTACAGAGCGAGAGAGCAGGTTTTCAGGGCGTTGTTTGATTTTGGGTAAAAAAGTGGGCTGGCTGGAGGATAGTTCTTGGAGTAGGGTTTCTTCTGCTTCTTCTTCCTCATTTATAGATGCGATGACTCTATATTTGTCTAAGGCTTTTGGTCTAGCAGGACATTTGAGAGCATGGATTTGAGGATTCCTCAATTTCTTATGACAATGGGGACAAGGCTGGATGGTTGGTTATGTAAGAGGTAATTATGTTTTTTGCTTATTAGATTTTTTGAGAAAAGGGCGATCAGCAGTGCAACTACGCAGATGCAGAGCCAATTTGCCCTGAAAGAATTGGCGTTTGCAAAATTTACACTATTCTTTGGGTATCGACTCAACTTGTGCATCCAGAGGTGTAAATGGTCTTTCAATCTGTTCATCTAATTGTTCCTTATCGAAGGAATTGTTAAGTGCCTAGATGGTTGATTTCGAAATGGCATCCTCTTCGAAGAACTCATTGTCCTTGGTATCCATAGGCAATGATAATTTGATCATGTAAATTATAAATATATATTTATGCTTATAAGGAGATTAAGCAATGCTTTGCTAAAGTATCGATTTTCCAAAGAAGCAGCAGAGCCTCAGCAAGTTTAGAGAGTGAAGGCACCTTTCGGGTTCACCCAAGTCAACTGCTTGGTGATTCATCCGATCTTTTACCCTAATAAAGGTCCTGAATTGGAATTGTACTTGGCAGAGGAAGCAGTGGGATTGTCGAAATCTTTAAATTGGACACTTGAGAAGGGGCCTTTTTGGAAGGAGGAATACTCATAGAAAATACGTATTAGTCAGGGAAGGAACCCCCTCTAGGTAAAGGTGGAGAATAATGAAGATGAGTTGAAAGAAGAGGGATGGGAGCTTTCTAGCAAAGCGCATTTAAGGAATGGAGAATATATATACCTTCCATTTTTAAATGGAACATATGACGATGGTCAAATGTTAGTTGATTTATCCTCGGAGAGTGATGATGACTTAGGTCACGAATGGAAGAATAAAATTATACGGAATTCAATTGCTAAATCTTCCTTAGTTAAAGTAAAAAGGATCCATTCATCCACTTTTTTCACAAAAGGCAAAGTGGCCATGTTGGGGGAACATATTTATGATAAGAAAATAAATGCAGTCTTTATTAATCATGAGTTAACTCCTCTATAAACTAGGAATTTGGAGAAGGTGTGGACTCAATATGCTAAAGGAGAGATCGCCACTTTTAGAAGAAGTGAAAATCCTGATGATAGCGATATGGCAACTGATGCAGAGACAGACATTGAGTATGAGGACGCTTATGTAAAGGTGTTTGATCGATTCACTATGATTCTGCAAATCTTCGCAAAGAGATCTACACAAGGCGTAGCAAGATAATAGATAGAGTTATCATTTCTGAAATTTGCCAAGACTAAACTTGTGAGAAGTGGCAGTGCATTTGCATCTTTGTCTTCGATATTCTTGGGGGATTTGATGATGGCAAAGGAAGTCTATTTGGAGGTTGTGTCTGCGAAATAGAGAAGAGCTTTGGGGAAGATGAGTGGTTCAGGAGAGAGTGAAATCTAAATTTAAAGGAGATAAATAGATGAGAGAATAGCAAAAGTGCGTAGACAAATAGAGGAGGAGGGTCTATAAAGAGGTAAATTAAAGTAGAAGAAATTAATACACACAGTCCCAAGGATTGCATTGATTGGGTACACTAATGCTGGGAAATCATAACTATTAAATTGTATTTTACAAAAGGAGGTTGTTGAGAGTAAGGATTTGTTATTCCAGACTTTGAGTACTACATCCAAACAAATCCGATTGGCATCAGGACAGAAGGCTATAATGTTAGATACCATAGGATTTATCACAGATCTTCCACATGATTTGGTGGAGTCATTTAAATGCACTCTAGAGGAAGTGGCTGATGCTGATATTGTGTTGCATATAAGAGACATCTCTCATCCTTGTTCGGAACAGTAGAAGTAGGTTGTACTTGAGGTGTTGTAGCAATTAGGGTTCAATGAAGAGTTTTATAGTAAAAAGATGGTATGATACTAATTTAATAATAGATTGAAGTTTGGAACAAGATCGATTTGATGAGAACCCCTATTGATTTCAAATAGATTCAACAGGAGACTTATCCTATTGTGCCTATCAGTGCTCTATTCAATACCAATGTTAAGTAATTGTTGTAGATCATGGAGGACAAATCAAATCTGATTATGAATAAAAGACCATATAAGTTGAGATACAACATCGATGAACATTAGTAGAGATTGAAGTGGCTCTTTGACAATGGAAATATCTCAGGAATCAAAAATGAAATTCACATCACTCCTGTAAAGAAAGGAAATCCTACAGAAATTGAGTATGAAGTCATTTTGGACGAGATCACTTACAATCGATATATTGCAACATTCACTCCTGAGTTGAGAATCAAAAAAAACAAGGGAATGCCTCCTCCTAATTGGTGATCAAATTTGTTTATAATATATATATATATAATATGGATACATCAATCATTTCCTATAGTAACCAACATTTCAATGATTTCATCAAGGGCGACTTCATTCACTTGTATAATTTTGATTTTCCTGGTTTTGATTTCAAGTGCATTTTCCAATGGAGTGTTTCCCCATCTGTCTCTGTTGCTAAAGTCGAATTTAGCTTTGAATCTCAAGAATTTGATGATTTTGGAATTCATAGACATAACTGCCATATGAGCTATATTTCTATTATCAACATTAACAAAATGATTCAGATTCTTGATTCCCCCATGGAATATAAGTTCTAACATCTACAAGTCTCCACTCAAACCAGATGACAAGATTAAATCCACTAATATATGATGAGGTGCTGAGATTGTGCCTCCATTCTAATAAAAGTAAAGTAACAAGTCTTTATCTCTACTAATCAACACTTCGTACATGGGAGAATATCCTAAATAATCGATCGGATTGATTTCAATATGAACCTCTTCGACTAAATATTTTATGATTTCAATCTGTTTGTTTGCAGCTGCCAAATGAAGTATGGTTCTACCATCAAAATCAGGAATATTGAGATTTCCTTCATTCCTCCTCAAATCCTTGATCAATTCCAACTGCCCAGTCGTAGCAAGAAAGCATCCCAAATTAGGTATTATATATTTATTCATAATGTCCATATTCTGACTAATCTATTCATCCCCAGAAGTCTTTTGCAGAGTCTCCAATATTGTTTGGATGAAATGCTACTTTTGCACTTCAAATTTCTCAAACTACCTGACTGACTCAGTCTCACCCTACAAATTCTATGGAAACTTTTCATAGATTTCATGATTGCTGTATCCCTTGCCCAATAAATAGGCTATTTTGGCCTAAGCACTTTCCGGAGTGATATCATATTAGACTAGAATGCCATTGACCACTTTCTTGAAGTTCGCAATTGGCTAACCCTTGATGCATTGAGATATCTGAATCAATATAATCCCCAATTGTTATTGAGCATGCTACAATACATTGTACAATTCCTAACTATGAGGCATTTCTCCAAAGTGATAGCATTCTAAGATGCAACATCTCAACTTTGGAGTGTTCAGAATATGTCTAATGTGCTCAACACTCGTGTAAGGAGTGATCTTTATTATTATGACATCAGTCACAAATGGAGGTGCCAATTCCAAGGTGCTTTCATCACTTGTGAACATTTATTCTCCTCTTCTTAAGACCAGTTGCCACTTGATTTCAACATTGATTCCGAATTCTACCAAATGAGGAAAGTTTGGACTCTCTATGCAATCCAAGGAATCACATTTTAATTGTCTGCATCTATTGGCTCTATAGGCTTTGTGATCCATGGCGATTAAGACCTCAGGAATCAAGAAATGCCCAGCTAAAATTAATGAATCCAAGATATTTTGAAATGCGTCATTTCTCATAAATGACAATGGTAGCAATGATCCAGTGATCACTACAGTTTTTTATAAGTTTTCTAACATGAAGGAGAGGTTTGTTCCAAGATAAGTGATTGTTGCAATTCCACTCAAAATAACAAAAGCACTATATTTCTCATAATTCTCCTTAATAACTTCTGCTATATGTCTGATATCAGCATAAGACTACATAATGATATAAACTTACTGTTTGTCTAGAGTTGGTTATTTATTCCAATTCCATTACTTTGTAGATTATTCTTCTCCCAAATTCAGATATTGGAGTAGCAAGACATCCATCTTGACTATGGTACTTTATAATATTATTTAGTAAATACTTAAGTGTATTCGAGGTCACAAAGAAATGAAATGTTTTTCAATCTCTGTTCTAATCTTCCTTTGACTACTTTCATATGAGATTCATTCACTTCTCCCTCTGCAGCAGCAGCTCCGGATGCATATATCAAAAGCACCTTCCGATCATTCAAAACTTATAAATTTTATCGACCTCCTTCATTATCTATCAATGATTAGATCATCTACTCATGTCTTGAAGATGTTGATTTTATTATTTTAGGAATATCCTCATCTGAACTCATTCCTAATTTATTAAAAAGTAAATAATGAAAACATGAAATACTATATGTCCTCAATTAATGTATAAAACATATTTAATGCAAAGTCTAAAATATGAAGACTTGTTCAAATTGCTAATAAGAAGATTTATTCAAAGCAATTATATCTAGGGTGTTCTTTTAGATGATGTGCTAAATTTAGAGATTTATTTTTGGATCCTGTGCAATCAAATTTCGATCCTTTTTAAACAATTGTATTAAAATTAAAAATTGCAAGAATTTAGATGGTAGAATACTCTTTTATTTTAGAAATAGAGGGGTGAACAAGATTGTCAGTACCACTAAGTACGATTGACTAATTAATAAAGAATACTAAGTAATTATTAGTTTCAACTGACAGGTAACAAAATGGAAATGCTACTGTTAAATTGAATTTGGCTTCTGGTTTATCATTAAGATTAAATATTGTTAATTCTACACAAATAGAGATTATATTTTATGAGAAATTATTAATTTATTTTATTTCTCTAAGATTTCATTTGTATACCAGACAAACGCTAAATGGTAACACATCAACATTTGACAATGATTAAAGTGTCAAATAATGAAATGTATTCTTTTATCATAAATTAGTGACATCAATGGTTCAAAACATATGATTAAACAGAATTAAAAAAGGTGAGTGATTTCATAGAGATGAATTATTTATCATCAATTAAGTTTGAATTTTATAGACAGTAGTTTAGGTAGTGGTTCTATATTAGATTCATCTAATGATGGTTAAGTGGAGTGTCTCTAATTTAAGCATTTTCTTAAAATTGAGTATTCCTTTTGTCTAGACTTAATAATATATTTTGATAACATACTTAATTGCTCGATTCCTTTCTAACTTCCAATGATTTACCTTCAATTTTACGCAATTTCTATTTGAGTCGCGATACTTCTATTTCCTTAGTAGAATTTGCGATTTACCCAGCTTTAAGCATTTCTCTTAGCATTGCATTCTCTGAGAATAGTTTAGTGTTATCGTTCTTCATCTTGAAGTACGACTGAAACTGCCCATTTGACATGATCTCTTTATACTTTTTAATTTCATCTTAAATGGCTTCCATCTATGAAACGTGAACATACTTACCTCTTTTAATTAATCAGCTCTAATTTATTTGATTGCATTTTCGTGGTTCTATCTCCCTTGTTCAATTTACTAATTGAGTGAGTCTATTTGCCTCAACATAGCTTAACGAGTGACACTTCTAGGGTACATACTTTTTTGTTAAATTACTTATTAATAACATAGTAAAATTATCTGGTTTGAAACAAGGAATATGAATCAATCTTAAAATAGGTATAAAAACTACTCAAAAGAAGAATCATAGAAACATTATGGATATTTTTACATCTATAAATCATTACTATCTAGATTTTTATAGATCAAACAATTAAACTTAATAAGAAATTGTATATTAATGATATTCTCACTATTCTTAAATATTATATAAGACATCTCATCATTAAATATTAGTCTCTGTATCATTTTTAAAAATCTATGAATTTTATATTTTGAGCTATTCTACTTAGATTTGACTTAAGTTGAGATCATTTGTTGGTTGATTCAGATATGCTAATGTTTATACACCCACAGTATGGGGCTAAGAGTGAATCTTTTTTGGATGAGAATTTGGTTGTTTTAGCGAATAATTAAATTAATCATAGGAAAAAGTGAATGTCCACATACAAGTACTTATTCAAATTTATCATAATTGGGGATTCATGTAAAACAATAGTATTTTGATTAAGATGTTGGGAAATCATGTCTTGTTTAGTAGTTTTTACATGAGAGGCCTAGACAAGAGCATGAAGCAACAGTGGGAATTGAATTTGGTGTTAAGGACATCAATCTCTCTGGCTCGATTATACGTCTCTCTATATGGGATACTGCGGGACAGGAGACATTTCGATCTCTCATTCGTGCATACTACCGATCTGCTATAGGGGTGCTCCTTTGTTACGATTGTTCTAGCACGCAATCATTTAATGGAGTCGAAAAGTGGGTGCAAGAAGTGAATGACAATGGCAATGAGAGTAGAAGCTTCAATAATTAAAGATGTTGTAATTGCACTCGTCTGCAATAAAATTGATTTACAAGAGTATGCAGGTCCCCTTCAATTAATTTTAGTCGATAAGTGTCATCCGTCCAAGGGAGACAATATGCAGTTGACCATGGTTTCCTCTATGCTGAAGTTTCTGCTCTCAATGGAGTTGGCGTTTAACAACTCTTCCGAGATTTGTCCCTCGAAATCATAAGGCGAATAGACAGTGCAGCCATCGTCTTGGGAAAGCATGTAAAATTAAAATTAACCCTCACCTCTAGCTATAAGGGATTGTGATTGGAGAGGCAAACCTGTCTCCTACAAAACATATAATCACTTTGGAATTGGATGAGGCTCAATAATAGAAGAGTCAGAAGAAAAAGACCTGTTGTTGAGCAGTTTATAAATAAGAATAGAATAATAATATCAACTCTTAGGCACAAAGTTTTTATAAAAATTGATCAATTTTTGCTTCTAAATGATAGCAGTTGATTCTGGCGTTTCTGCTATGTAGACTGCTGGTCTCCCTCCATATACACTATTCGCTGGTACAACCGTATCAGGTGGCAATATGGAATCATCAAGAATTATAGAGTTTTCTCCGATTATACATCTATGTGACTATGCATAATATAAGTTCAGAATTACAATGTAACAGTTTTTTCCGATTGACGTGCAAGTACCGATCTTGGTCGCTTGTATAATTGAACTTGACTCGATTTCTACGTAATCGCTTATCATCAAGGGGAGGAATTTAATGATCTTTTTGGTAGGTGATTCCTTGGTGTAGCCATATGTGTAGGAGGGCTTTAGAGTGACCTTCTCATGGACAACCAAATATTTGCCAATGGACACTTTGGCTAGATCACCTCTCAAAATGACATCATTAAAAAAGATGCATCTGCCACTCACATTGATTTGCTCAGTGCCTTTGATTATGGATTTCTTGGATATTTTGATGCCTGATGAGGTCTCATGAAATTCGGATTTGTCATATTGGACAATCGCATCCATTGTTTAGTATATAATATAATAATATAAATATATATAATTGGAATCAACAAAACCTACTCATTTATATGTCCTCCACTTCTATTGTGAATAGCAAGGTTGTGCCAATGATCAAGTAAATTAGTTAGAGTGCCAATGCAGCATAAGAGATGAGTTATCCCCTTTGGAAATCAAATTTTTGAAAGAAGATTCCCATCAATAGAGTGGAGAGGATGGCGCCAAAGATGCACGCGATATCGATTTGATTGATTGAGATGATGGGAACAAAATTGATGCAGAATACCAAAAAGTATATGCCTATAATCAATTTCTTGTATTATCCCAATTATTTCTATTAAATGATTATAAACCCGTAGAGTGTCAGCACTCCAAATACAATCCCGTAACTCCCCACGGTTAGACTGTAGGGGTATACGAGTGAGCTCATCAGGTTGCTTGAGTAGCCGGCCAGGAACAGGACGAGGCTGTACTTCAATCTGCCGTACTTGTACTCTGAAATGTATCCGTACATCTATATGGTGACGAACCCTATGATGATGTGGCTGATTCCCCCGAATTGAGGGATGGAGATCAACATCCGATAAAATTAACTCCTGTGTTGAATGTCTGGCCGAAATTTGGCGCCGCAGTTGTAGAGCACACAACTAAATAGTTCTTCATTGACTTATTAGTAAATAAACAAAATCCAAAAGTAGAGCAGAAGCACAATCGACAATGGGAATGTGACACTGCAAATATTGAATTATTTAAATAAAATAGAACCTATACTTACATTCTTGTGCTTGACTCTTAAATTTTTATTACTCTAAGGTTGACTTTAATTTATATGCTATTAATCAATACTTAAATCTAATTAATTTATAGTTGGGATTTCCATTTCTAATTTTTTAATTTTATTTATAAATGTTTTTGTTTCTCTAATTCTATATTGTCTCTTCCATGTATCCAGTTTCCTATAGAGACGAACGCCCCTACTTGACCTTGGACTCCGACTTCCAGGTTCAACTGAAATTGGATGAAGTTTTGTCTGAATTCTTGTAAAGACACTCCCAGAATGATAAATGTCCAGACTTTGAATTGCACGAATGCTACGAAGAAGTATAACAGAATGGACAAACCACTAAAGTCAAGCTCGAAAAGGAGAACTTCTACCTTTACGACATCACATCAGATGAAAAGATCGAGTAAACCATCATTTACTCTGACCAACAATTATTGGAAGATGTCAAGAATACAATTAGTTTCCTTGCTCTGGCTCCATTTCAGAGCCACCAAAACTCCTTTTATCAGAACGGATTTAGTTTGTGTCTCTCTGACACTGAAGGATACATTATCACAGATTTCAATTCAATATCTGAGAACTATTAACCTTCAAATACTGAAGGCATCTCTACCAGATTGAAGGAAGAGCAGTATATTGCCTATAGTCTTCATCTTCAAAATATGGAAATTGCCTTCAAAGTTTATGATATTGCTTCATTTCCAGTCTATATTGTTTCAGAAGATGTCATTTCACTACCCAAACAAATCTTCCCCAAAAAGTACTTTGAATCCAAAGGTTTCACCCTTGACTCCAATGGATTCTACTTTAGAGATCGCAAGGACAGGAGTGACGACTTGGATTCCCTGTTATTTTATAATAATGCCAATCAAGCCAATCCCTTGATAGTAGATCCCATCAACTATGTCATCAATTATGAAAATGAATAAGAAGTATTGAAAATATACACAGAAGAACGATATGAGGATGCTATCATATTGGGATTGCCATTCTTAAAAAATAAGATCTTCAATGTTCAAACTGAAGAAAATTACGTGTTTGTCTAATAGCTCAAGACCAGTCTATGCATACAGGATAAACAACAATCAATCGGAGTTTTAGAAATAATATTTATTGTACTCCAAGTGATCCTTCTACCATTATTAGTTTATTTCACATTCAAAAAATTGAGAAAGAATCAACAACAGAAACAATAACAATAAAAGTTAGCTCAATAGTTCATAACTGAATTGCAATGATTGCTTTTTCGTTTTTATTATTCTATAAAGTAATATAGTCATATATATATGTAAAATTCAATTCCACAAAGATTATTCAATATAGATACCAAATATGTAGATAATTAATTCATTTGGGTTATTTGAATAACAAACCATGAAGAGAATCGAAATCCTGAGCTTCCAATTGCAAGAGAGCTGTTTTGGTAGAGTCAAATATAAACCCAGCTTTCGTACATTTGATTTCTGCAGTCAAAGGCACTCTGGTCTTTTGTACAATATGTGAAGAGTCGCAATAGAATTTGCCTTTGAACTCATTGTTCTCCTTCAAGTAGATAAGAATGTTGTTATCAATTGTAGCAATAATTTGACAAGGCTTCCAAGTTTTCAGGACATTACCACAATCAATTTATGCACTTTTAATTCTTAATTTAACCAAGGAATGATTCTCCTGAACACTACTCAATTTTATATAGGCATCAGGGTAATTGCAGAGGAAATCCTGCAATTGTGGAAGGGTCAATTGTTGTTTCCCAAGCATCTTCTATACAATCCTCACAATGTCAGGGCCTAAGAAATTCAATACTTCAAATGATTCTATTACTTATTCAGATTCCAATTAATTGATAAGCTAGACTATATAAAAATGGAAATGATACTCCATATATCAATTCTTCTTAGGCTGAGATCTATTGTTATTTGCTCTGACTTAATTGGACATGCTTATCAAGATACATCCTAAGAGAAGTGATGACAATTTGATATCTGTGGACTTCTTGTTTCTTGACTTCATCAAATAGTCTTGTTACTGCCTATCCCATATTCTTCTACAATTTAGCCATCTCAAGAAAGGAGTTGATCAATTTGCGTTCAGTATGATAGAGATCCTTCCCTTTGGATTCTCCCTGCATCTGTCTAAGATACAATCCTTAGTGTCTCCTGCGATATTTTGTGAGTTTGGAAGAACTGGAGGCGAAATTACTAAAGGCCTTCCGATATTGATCTCTATGAATTGAGATGCCAGTTTCAAACATCTCTATGTTGAAGTCCAGCTTCTCTTTTATGAATTTGTCAATCCCATCGAGGAGATTCAAGATTTTGATAGCATTACCTTGATCGTAATTACAAATTTCTTTGATGGTTTCATCCAATTTAGGGTAGTAGAATGTCTATCCGTCTTGAAACAGCTTATTGATATCATTATTCTTAGTTCTCAAATACTCTACATTTTATTTTTCATGTTACACAAATGTCTTGATGAAATGAATGAGATTTTGAATGCTTCTGTTTGAAATTGCAATTCGCTTATCTAAAAGACGATACACATCCTTAATAATTTGTCTGTGTTGCTACATATCGATTCCCACTTGTTCCATCCAAGCTTGTAATTGATTGTACGATTGATGTCTATGAAATTTCACAGAAGTTGGGTCATCCTAATGATTGACTGTTCTTTGAGCAGCTGATTGTCGAATAGACTCTCTGAGACGATCCTCTACAAGTTGTTCTGGATTATAACTAGGCATATTGACAAACTTGAACGATTGATCCTCTGCTTAAACGTATTCTGATTTAACTACTTCCTCTTAGAAATCACTTTGCATATTTAAAATATATATGTATATAAATATATATAAAATCAGAATCAAATATCATTACTTTAGCCTTTCTAACTCTGTCAATTTAACATCAATCCTTTTCAAGATCAAATCCAGATGATCCACTTATGATTCCATTCCTTCGATAGAATTCTGTATTTGATTGATTTTCTGAATATTCTCATCCAATTTATTCTCTGCCGTCTTGATAAAAGATTGGATAACTTACAAATGCTTTTGGTTTCCTCAAATTCTTCTCGTATTTAGTTGATCTTGTCCAAGTTCTTTTAGTAATGCACAATAGTCACCTCATTCAGTTTCTAAATGGTTGCAGTCTTCAATTAGACCACTATAGCTAATACTGTATAGACATACTCTTTTATTGGGTGTCTACGTAACTAACGATGGATTGAGCGTATTGATCTATGACATCAACTTGTTCCTTGGCTATCATTGATAATATTAATTTTAATATTATATCATTTTTGTTTCTTATCATTTCTGAACTGTTTGACACTGTTCTCAATCTAAATCTAACAAGCCTTATGGATCTGTGGTTTGTAACCCAAAAAGAACAATATTTCCAAGAACACAAAGTCAGGAGCCACAAAGATTTACAGGATATTGTCCAACAGGGCAGGTGCTCGCTCTAGGAAAATTAGAAGAATTTTTGCATAGAATTACTTTCAAACACTCCATGTCCAATAAATTACAAAATCCAGCAAGTCACTTGGAAAGTAATGGCCACACACAGGTGATGACTCCATTAAGCCTCATCTGCATTGGCAAAGTGTTGGTTGAGTAGAAGAGTGACTGATATGTAAAATGAAGAAGCAAGAATCTTAGTGTATCATATATAACAAATATCTTACTCCACTCAAAAAGTCGACAGCCATATACACCAGAGCGAGGACTAAGAGCATGATTAAACCAATGTTAAGCTTACAACAGCCTGTGTCGATGGTGAATGTGTAATGGTTCAAAATTTAGACAGCAGAGAGCAAAATGAGTGGAATGCAAACTAAGTGAATGGCTTTGTTCCTACGTTGTTACGAACTAAACTTACACTAAATTGCTGTGATAACTACCATAACTGCTATAGAAGTTGACAATGTCTATTCCCATATTAATAAATTTAATGATTGATAAAGATATCAAAATCAAATCTCTTGAATTCGAACTGGAAAGTCGACAAACATAAGTATTATAACTAGAAACAAAGGTAGCTACTCTAGAAACTCGAATCAATTAGAATGCTGATGTATTTGAAAAACAACATTTTTATATTCTAGGTCTTAGAATTGCAGGAGAAGATCAAAATGCTTGAGAGCCAAAATTTAAAACTTATAGAAAAAAACTAGAGTGATGTTGTGGAGTGGAAAACCAAGGAAAGAGAATTTAAAGTATAAGTTACATCTAAAATTAAGCAATTACTCAAGTTGCATCAGGATGACCTTGCAACTGTCAAAGCAGAATTGGAATTAGCCAATCAATAGTTGTCCAATCAATAGCATAAAGATGGCAGTACATCTGGAATGGAGTAAACGATTAGAGATCTCTAGTTGGATTGCAATGATTTGAAATCAATCAATGAGAAGTTGGTGTATACCGAGCACTTACTGAACTTGGAGAAGGAGAAACTAACAAATCAGATAAAAGACTTGGAGGTAGTCTAGAAATAGATGCAAGATAGTTAAGAGGATTAGAGAGCACAACACAATAAAGAATTATAAACATTGAGAGAACAATTGCTAAGTTATCAAAGTCAGATATTTGAGAGAGAGAAAATGCATGAGGAATAGTTGAGGAATTTAACTATATTGGAATAGTAGATGGAAGGCAAGGCTTAAAGCAATAAGGAGGAAATTGAACAAGCAAATAGAAAGAAGGATATATTGTAATGTGAAAATGATAGTCTCAAAAAGGTGAATGAGAAACAATTACAGGAAATGCAATACTTGAACCAACAACTCAATTGTTATTCAGAGTAAGTCTCTGAGAAAGAGAAATAGTTACAAGAGTTATAAAATTAAATAAATGCTGAGAATGCTAAATTTATACATATGCAATCTAGCAATTCAGTACTTCAAGCATAGTTGAAGGATGTAGGATTGACTTATGAAAAGAGACTCTAAGATAAGGATGCACAAATCTAGAATGCAAAGAGGGATTACGAGAACAGGATATCGTAATTGGAGATGTATCACAATTGTTATTATCATCTAATAGTGAAAATGCTACCATTTTAGAATAATTGCAATTAGTTAATGATCAGAATAGGGAGTTGTTAATGAAGCAAAGGGAATTGCAGATCATTCAGAAGGAAAGTACGAGCAAATAGCTTGAGAAGGACAAGAAATTAATAGAATAATTTGATAAGATGAGAAAACTAGATTAAGAAGTATAGAGTGCTCTTTTCTATAGGTAAAAGCCTTGATGAAATTGAGTAAATCTTAAAGGGAATAAATAATAATACTGGAGGGGGATCTCAGTAAAGCGAAGGAGTAAGTGAGGATGTTATAAAGAGATAAATCTGAATTAAAGTAGTAGTTAGATTTCTTGATTGCTTAATAGAATAAAAAAGGTAAGTTGAGTGAAATCGAGTTATTGAAAAAGCAAGTCCAAGAATAGTAGACCGAATTGGTGTTATTAAAGTAATCTCACAAGGCAGCGTAGAGTTCGTTGAAATCTACGATGGAATCAGCAGGCTATTTTAAAGAGAAATCGAAGAGGTTGGACTTTGAAAACCAAACCTTATTGGATTCGAAGACAAGATTAGAGAGTTTATTTTAAGAGTTGCTGGAAACAACGAAAGCCAAGAAAATGCAAAGGAACTATTCAGAAGTGTAGATCAAAGGTTATCAAGGGAAGCTGATAACAGAGAATAATTCGACTTATTTGGAACCGATGACTGAGAGACAAACAGCTAAGACCAGTACTAATTAGGCGTAGAAGAATGGAGATGTTCGTTCTCTTTTCAAACGACCAATCTAAGTAGTTAAGATTAGATAATCGAGTAAAAAGAGAAATCAGGAGAATTAAAGCAAGAATGGGGAGGAACAATAAACCATCAGAGATACGAAGGTGGAGAACGATGTTGCTGAGGGGGAATAGTAAGTCAATTAGGGAAGGAATAAATAGGACGATGATGAATAGAAGGAGAATTCATAAGTTTTAGATAATGAAGTGTTGTGATTATATATTATATATAATTAAATAGATAATTCATCACAAGTTTAAATTATCTATTTCCATAATTCGCCATTCATATTATTTGCCTATAAAATGATTTCGGAGATATTTCATTCTTTTTTTTGAACTCAGGAGCAATACTTTAATTAAATCTGGAGTGGTCTTGGCTGCTTATGTCAGTTTCAATTCAAACATCACCTAAAGGTTAAGAGTGTTTAAATACTCTGTGATAAATTGATTCAAAATGGGCTTCAGGAGTTGGATACAACATTAACTAGGACAGTATGTAGCACTCAATTCGAAAGGTGACACTAAATATTGTATGGATGTACTTTTCAATTTCAGATCGTTCATGATCATTACCATATATGTCTAAATTCACACAGTCAAAAAGAGACATCTTTACACACTATTGTGATTTATCACCAAGTGACAACCTATTTTTATTATGAGACCATACGTTAAATCAGAATAGATAATATCTTTTGTTCCATTCTAGAGATTTAACAATTGAAAATTATATTTCTCCAAAGATCTTTCTAGACTTGCATTAGCTATTGTTGAGATGAACTTGTAATCCTTCTCACTGAGTGCTTGAATGAATTGTCTATTTATTTAAAGCAATAAGTACTCGTAAGCCATGTGAAATCCTTCGTCAATTCTGTTGTCCCAAATTTCAGAGAGTAAAGATCGCAATCTATAACTTTTGGAGGTATCGATGTCATCGTACTTGTACCCTGTGAAAGGTACAGCAGCATGCAATGCAACTGTCGAGAATTTCCCTGCTATTGATTTAATTAGAGTATTCATGCATATATTATAATTACTGTTTTTAATTTACTTCATCCAAACTTATTAATCCCAATTTTATTCGATTAGTTGCAAATACATTCATCAACTTTTTCTGGGTTCTCAAATTTGATTCCCAATTCTCATGAATTCAATCTATTTGTTAATCCTTAAATTAGGATAATTTAATTATATAATCTGTAGATTCTTTATTATTAAACCATTCCTTTATGTTGGTTCTTGATGCAAGAATTAAATAAACATGACACACATATATTATAATATTGCGTATCATTAAAATTATTTAGGATATTGTGGTTATAATGATAACATTTTGATTAAAAAACAACACTTTAATTAATAATATGAATATTTGAATGAAGAAGATATTCAATTTGACTTACTAATAATAGATGCTTTTTATGAAAGTATTCCTTTAAAAATTCACTCATTTTCTGCTTTAAGTAAATTCATTGTAATACTCACTTTCTTTCCCTTGATTATGTTCTTTAAATACTGGACTATATATGATTCCTACTCTCACTTTTTCTATTATAACTAATAAGAAGAATCAAAGATCAACACCTTATGTTGATCTCCAGTCTGTTTAGAAAGTCTTATAACCCTGGAACTCTTTTAGAAATTGAATATTCTATTATTTATTGTTAACACCTGAAAATAATAAATTTATTATAATTTTTTAACTGCTAGTTAATTAATGGGAAATCAGCAGTTTGAGGCTAATGAGTCTGAAACCAACATTACACAGTATTACCAAAACATGCTCAATTAAAACAAAGAAAACATCCCTTATCAGTATCAGAACACTCCTAAATTGTTGAGTGCAGAGAGTCGTAATAAATTGAGACCGACATCGAAAATCAATTTGGACATGAAACTGTGTTCCAAATCTTCAGAAAAGTAGTTTAATGGTATATAATAAGTATGGTTTTGTGATTTAAGTTAGAAAATGTTTTAAGAAACACCCGTCGTAAGAAATCCCTTGGAGAAATTACATAGAAAGCGAAGTAGTACTAAAATAGTTTAGGAGAATGATGAATCCCATATTCAATTACTGGATCTGCTAAAGAATATGGTCAGACATCAAGATTCAACAATGCAAAGTAGTCAGGTCAAGGCTACAGAACAGTCATGTCAAGAATATGACAAAAAGAAACCTATGATGGATGTAGATCAATATTATAGACCCTAAATGGAGGATAGACCATTATAGTTCAATAACAGAAGGAGATCAAAAACATTTGAAGAATCATTTAGAACACTGATATCTAATGAAGATAGATGTCAACCATTAAAGTTGAACAGGAGGGAAAGTAAAGAAGAAGAAGCTCTTTAATTTATATTACAGAACTGCACTTAAACTCAATCAAGAATAGATCAACAAATATCAAATAGTATAACTTTTGAATCTTTGGAAAGTGATTGGCAAGCATTGACCAAAAAGAATTCCAAATAGTTAGAAACCCCTGGAACTGCTTAATTTCAAGGGTTAAATAAGGACGATAAGATATTTGAACTCTCAACATCCAATTTTATAGAATAAAACAATGAGGAGTATTAACAAGGTTCCAGAAGACCATCCTGTCTGGAATCTACTTTTCTAATCCCAATGGTGTTGCATTCATAAAACAGTCTGGAATTCGATGACTCTAAAGATGTCTATTAGAATTCTAAGCCTGCTCACCCATATGAGTATAAGAGAACCTAAGTGCCAAAGGTGACTATGAATGGGTTGCTGTCCAAATAATAATCACAACATCATTTCCATAAATTGGATTGCAAAATCAATTCTACAAGCAGAGATCTAACTCAGCCAATGAAGAAGATTATCTAGACTTAAGCAACAGGAATGCCAAACAAAGCACCTTTGAAACATAAATCACTTCATTAACAATCGCAAAATGCTCTGTCTTTGCCTTTATAGATGATCAATTCAAAAGGGAATCTGGGATTTAGATCTAATTTGAGTTTGGTTTAGAATGTCCCTCAATCTTCTTTGTCTTCGAAGAATGGAAGAAATCAATATGATTCAAAAACATTTAAGACAAAACCTACAGTCACCCACCCTGAGGAGGAGTGGTTTGATAATTCAAAATTGGAGTATAAGAAGATCATGATGATTTTGGATGAGTAATAATAATAGATTCAGAATTTCAGCATTTAGAATAAAAGTGAAATGATCTCAAACACTTTTAATAGTTCAGATATCAATTGTTCATAGAGATTCTAGTTTGAAGATTTTAAAATCAAACCACATCTTGAGGACAAGAACACTTAAACTCAATTAAAGGACTTATAGAAGAACTTCATCAATAGATTGTCCTAGCCCAAAAGCAAGTGTAGTTCTAGGACAAGTGAAAGCAACCCCTATTGGAAATTAAGAGAACTTGATCAATCAAGGCGATCCAAAAGGAAATGAGTTGATATTAATTATTTTATACTTCTTTATGATTTAATAGATTTGTCTCATAATTTGACCTATCCTTCTTCCCAGTTTTCGAATTGTCTTAGGGTAGCAACCAACTCTGGATTGGAGTCTTCTGGAGAGTTTTCTTTCTACAAATATGCACTATTGTAAGGTAAATATTCGTAATCGTGTTCTCTGGCTATAGCAAATTGATTGCCGATCACATAAGATAATTGACTCAAGTCTTTCTATATTGTTATCATATATTCGGTTTACATCTTCTATATCTCTCACATATTGAGCTGGATTGCCTGCCCACAATTAATTACTGGGAATGAGTCTTCCAGGTGGTACAACAGTTCCTGGTGCTAAGACTGCTCCGTCTTCTAGTTTGGCTCCTTCAAGGATGATGGATCTATAGCCAATGAAACAATTATCGCCAATAGTGCAGGAGTAGAGAGTGCAATCATTTTGGACCATGACATTATTTCCGATGCTTAACACAGCTGGCATGCCATTTGGTAATGATGCTGCGGTGTGCAATACTGATCTTTCGCCTATGATGACTCGATTCAAGATTCTAGGCTATTTGGACTCATTTACCTGATTCCATTGAGATCTCCTCTTAGGACTGCACCATACCAAACCACGCATTGAGATGCCAATTCTACGTCACCGATTACTGTGGCTGTAGATGCAATGAAGTGTTGACTCCCTATTTCAGGAGTCAAATCATATAATGCCATGATATTTCTGTGCTTTGAAATGATGAATGGTTGTGTTCCCACGAATGGCACAGCTAAGCGAAATCAATTAATCATCTTTACGTTATGCTGCCTATTAAAAGGATCTCTGAATCAAACCAACCAATGGTCTTATTATTTTTTTCATTTTTATTAATAAATATATTTATTTATTATGGATCGATATCTGAAGCAATTCAAGAGCACTGAATTAATTTAACTCACCGCCTCCGGAGTCATAGGTCTAATCATCTGTTTGATGGCATCCGCTATTGGCAATGCAGTACTTGTCGAAATCAGTATCAATATCGTTTTTTCAGCTGTATTCATTTCTCATATTTTCCAAGTACTTCGGAATTTGCTTCATCATCATTGGAATCTTGTTGCTCATGCGAGTAAACAACTTACCCGAAAACAGTCAACTCCAGAAAAACAAAAAGTTCTTATAGTATTTTGGCATCATGGTACTCTCATCTGGTATCATATGCTTTTGTCTTGAAAGAGATTGGTAACATTTATCTTACAAACCCTCAGGAATAAAACCATGGGCTACTACACCAAAATTCCCTTATACGTCGTCTTGGGTGTCTCACTCAACTTTACCCTCATTTTTGGGTTTGTCGACACCATTAACTTTGTGATTGGATTCTTCTAACAAGCCTGGCAACGAACTCTAGTAGAAACACCCAATCAAATCATCAACGCACTCTTTATTAGTACGCTCATCGGATTCATCTATGGATTGTTCTTCAGTGCCATGGACATCGAAGTAATACTTCCTTTGTGATTCCTTTAGGACATAAGAAATTTCAATAAACTAGAAAGCAGATTGATTTTTGAAGAGAAGTTGTGCATGCCCATTGTGGGATTCTTGGGTCTCATAGGAGGAGTAGCAAACGAGTACCTGAGAATTAGAGGAGATAAATTTATGCCATACACATTTGAATAAGTCAAAGATCCTTTTACAGAAGAAATTTGATGTTCATTTAATTTTTTTTTCTTTTGTAATTATGAATTTGCAATAAACTCTTGTATTTACTTACCTATCCACCTTGTGATTATTGACGCCAACATTATTAGTCCTTCTCAATTGATCATTTATTGCAAAGAGGAAAGATATTTCTAACTTTTGAATTATTTGTATTATTGTGTAATTGTTCTATTTAAGGAGGAAGGTTTAGGGAATCTTTATTTTTACTTCTTTTAGAATTGGCAATAGTAATTTATTAATTGTTAATTAAAAAATATTATGTCAATTCTAAAATAACAGATTTATTTATTAAAAATTTAGATCTTAATTAAACTTAATTTAAAAAATTGAATTTGAAATATTGTTTACTTTCAATACAACAGATTTGATTTAAGTTGTCTACCATTTTGGTAATTATGCCAGTATCAGAAAAACCTTTAAAACTCCCTTTTTGTGTTGTTTCTTGATTTTTGCCGAATTTCAACAGAATGATCCCCTTAATATATTTTCAATTCAATTCAATTACTATTACTATATACGCAAACTCAAATACAATATTTAATAATATCCATAATTTCTTGTTTTTTTTGAAGGTTTTGAGTATAATTTTAATTGTTTATTAATTATTAATGTTGAGTTTTTGTGAAATATCACTTTATAAATTACTTCTTTAAGTTGTGAATATTATTGATATCTGTTTATATTGATTGCACTTTATAAATGTCAAGAATATCGGTTAATCAATATACTTCTTATCATGCACAGCCAATTCACGAGTTGAGAAAGGAAGATGTCGTATCTAGGGTTGTGAATGGATTAAAAGTCAAGAATAAATTCTTTAGTATTTTATTATACGCTGTAATTGATAAAGCAGTTTGTAAAAATTGTATGAATGTATAATATTTATAAATAATTTAGAATGTTTGCCTTGGCTCTGGAATTGTTTTGCATTCAACTTGGATATTTTGACTGTCAATCTAAAATCACATCGCTTCCAGGTTTTTATGCTCTAGGAAGATTATTTTCATTATTATTAGTTATTTATCCCTATTCATATGATATAAACAGGGAGTTTGAAACATATAATTACGAAGTAGTTGAAAATCGATTTTATTCTGTATTGCAGTTGCTAATAGATCCAATCAGTTAGATATTGTCTAATCCTTCATTTTAAAATTACGTACAGTTTGTGTTTAATTTGGCAATGTTCCTCGGAATCAGTATAGTTCTAATTGCTAACCACATCACTAAAGATACCATTGAAAAGAACATTAGGAAATCAAATTTTAAAAACATCATAATGAAGTTAATTACTTTTTTCTTCATTTGTATTTCAGTAGCATTTTCATTACCTTTATTGATAATTGCTCTACAAAATTTAAAAAGATCAAGCCAAACATAGGACTATGCTTGGCTGGTCAATGATATCGTGTATGTGACGATGATCCATTTGGTATCCCTATTTTATTTCGTCCTCCTCGAAGGCACTTTGATTGTGAAGTAAGGAATAAGCAAAAAGTTATAAGTAAACTTCCAAGACTACGTAACATTCCTATTACAAATGATCCAACCCTATATTTTTGTATTGAGTTCTCCAACCGTGGCAATCTATGGCCAATCAATCATCTATTTACTCGTAACTTTCTTGGAACTCATTTCCATCTACATCTATTAATAATACTCGAACAAGTTACAAAAATTATTTTTGCTAATAATCCATTCCTGTGGGATTATAATTGCCATTAGTGCAATCACGCAGATTTAATAACCCATGGTATACATGATATTGTTATCACCGTTATTACTTTATATAGGAATGTTTGTACATAACTATTTGGAATTTTAGATATTAACATCAAACTTTTAGAAATTGAATTTGTTTGAAGTCAATAATTTGATATGTTCATCACTATCTGCTTAACAATAGACTTTTAAGTAAATTTGTATTCTCAATTCTATCTACAAATCTAGACATTCTTAATAGTGTCAAAATGTCAAGTGCTAATGCCAGTTAAATGATCATTGCTCAAGTAACACTAATAAAATGATCATCATCCCAGATATCATTGAAGAAGAACTTTACTGCGGGTTGTTAGGGAGAATGAAAAGACTGCTTCAAAATCAAGAACCTCAGGATTGCTTCTATTTTCTCATCCATTTCTTATATGCTCAACAGTATCACGGAGAAGTGTATGAGATATACAGCAAAGTTGAGAATAAGCTAATTTTGAACAATCTATCATATTTGTAGAGAATTAAATGGAAATTCTTCATTATGATGATTAAATAAAATTTGTACACCAGTTTGAATGCAAAACTAAATGGAAATCATTTGGATAAAACAAAATTATCTATAAAAATCAATTAGTTTGTTCAATCTGAAAGTTTTAATTAAAGTATCAAGGATGGATTAATTAACATAATACAATAAAAACTGCAATTGCAATAACTCCTAGTCAAATAGCAGAGTAAGATAGATTTTACATCTTCTTATTATAACTTGATGGAGAATGTTGAAAAATAAGAGAAGATACTGAAATCAATCTATGATTCATTTCCAAGTTAAAGAAATCAATCCTAATTAATGTTCTTTTATGCCGAGATCAAATATGACTGGAAAAAGGCATTTGATTAATTGTAGATCAATGCTATTGATAATTCCATATTGAACATAGTGGCTGATGTAGATTTTAATAGATTAGCCAACAAAATGGCCTATTTAATTTATTCTTACGATGATCGAAAACTTAAGATTATCTCATATTCTAAAAAGGCACCAGCCATTTTTGGATTTTAATTAAAATAATTTGAACTAATCTTAACTCCCGACATCTTAATTCCATCAGTTGTAAGAGATATTCATGATCAATACATAATAGATTTTTTATAAAATGGGAAAGGCAATTACTTCAGATAGGTAGGCTAAAATTTTTGTTAACTTAAATCAGGGTTTATGCAAAACATAGAATTCTTTTTTGATCTCTACTTCGATAGCAATCAATCTTTTCGCTTTATCACTTTCCTGAGTTGTCACGAACAAGCAGATCCTATGATCTTGGTTGATTCGCAGAATAAAATCTAGGGAATTAATAAGGAATTATTCAAAAAATTGAATTTCCATCCTAAAATAGTGGAATAATTAACTATTGAAAAATCACTTTATAATTTATCTGCTGATTTATTTATTCAGCAAGATGTATTAAATGGCAGCCAAGATCAATATTCATTCTAGTTCTATTTTCCAAAAGAATCCTTTTTTTCAAAGGAGTTCTCCACTAATTCATAGAAAACCACCAATTTAAAAAATTATTAGAAATTATAAACCTATGAAGTGAATTGCGAAATACTAAGGAGAAAAACCTATAAAATAATAAAGCTAAAGAAGATATAGGAAAATTGCAAAAACAATTTAACATCATCAATGGAATTGACCTTTACTCTAAATTAACATCTACCTATAAATGAAGAGGAATTAATTGTAGTTCCATATGAGTATTCTCTCTTAAAAGAACTATCTTCATACCAAATGATCCAAACACAAAGAAAGACTGATGTCAGAATCTTAAGTGAATAAGAGGAGAATCATCATTATCAAGAAGAGATCGATCAAATAAAAGTATATCATTATAGTGAATCAAATGCAATCGATGTTGACAATAAGACTATTAAGATATTGGGGAATGTTTATGAAAACGATGCAAAGAATTAGGAGAATATCGTTTTGGAAGGATCTCAAGCATCTTCAATGGCAGGATTGAGAAAGTCTGTCTATTATAGAAAGTACACTCTTGTAAATTAACTGAATGAGTTAACTCCAGTCATACCACTGTTAAACAAGATATTTGGATATTTAATTTTTGCTCTGATCAATTAAGTGATATTTCTATCAATAGTATTTATTTAGTTTATTTTAGAATGTGACTTTCTCAAGAAATGACTTTCATTCTCTCAATTATTATTACTAATCAATTTAAATCAACCATTATTTTATCGAACCTATGCAGAAGTTCTTCTTGGCTCGTTACATGTTATAAGATTACTAAATATTAAACTTATATTAAAGTATATCCAAAGACAAACTTAACTATTATTTGCAGTTTATTAATCCTTTATTGATTGGTTCATATGATGAATTCAAATTAAACTTTTAGGATCATTTCCAGGATGAAACATTCTCAACATTCATTGAAGACTAATACGTTCTCATCTAATAGCAAACTTATCATTATGCTCCTCTGTAATTACAAGAATACAACGTAACATTATTCAATGCATTTAGCATATTACTTGATGCCTTTTACAAACAAGAGTAAATTTACATTAAGCCTTAAACAACAAAAGGCACAAATCCTCACAACACCTACTAATATAAGAACTACATCTTATTTGTTACTATATTTGACAATATATCTGATTTAATGTATCAAGAGTCAATCTCAAAAACGAAATTAGTTGTAGATAAATGGATAATAATGGTAGTTCCAATATCAATTATTGTAATACTTTCCTTATTGCTTCTTGGGTACTATTACAACTACTTCAACAATTATTTAGAGAAGTTCTTTGATCTTAATGCACACATAGACTAGATAGCACTTGATGCTGATTAAAACAGACAGTAATTTATTCTGTAAAGTTTAAAACAAGGATCCGAATTGATTCACTTGTATAAATTTAACATGATTGGAAAGGAAGAAATGTTGGCTAAGGTTAAAGTGAAGGAGTCCTTAAAGGAGATTAAAAATGTCAATAATGAAGTAAAAGAATTTAGATACTCCATTAAGATTTCGAAATTGCCGTTATTATCCACTGTCTTCGCATTCATAATATAATATGTATTAATATCTGGATCTTTAACTTTGATTGGAACTGATTACATGAGTAAGTTCTCAGAAAGCATTCACTTTTTCAAATCGATATCCGACATTGGCGTTTATGTCCCAGCATCATTTTCATAAAAAGAAATCTTGTATTTTTTCTCGTACTTCACTTACTATACAAACGATGATAGAGCATTTTTTGTGGATTAAATTTAAAAAGCAGTCACAAAAATTGATACTTTTTTGAAAATGGATATCGAAAGTTCAAAATTACAATTTTCTACATAATTCTTAGACAATTATGAATATTTATAACAAAATAATCTATGTCCATTGTTGAATAGTTCAAAGTATTATGATTTTGATTACTTTTGTCCTAACTCTCAAAATGGAGTATTGAAATTGGGTTTGACAGCAGCTTTGACCAATTTTAATAATATTCTAAAGACGGAATTGAGTATTAATTTCCCAAGCACTCGGAAATTGCCTCCAAAAGAGGAGTTGGAAGCTGTTTATTTGTGTTCGGATATAATTTCTGAGATTACTGCCAAGATGGAATAGGATATTTAATCAGAAACTTAGACTATCGAGGAATTGTATAATGTATTTAAATTTGATTATTTTGATAGATCATAAATTCGATAAGCTTGACATATACCATCATCCTAATACTCGTTGTTTAATTTACAGTTTTCTAATTATTTAAAGTGAAACTTAATAGAACGAAGATGATCTCACTAATCTTCCCACTCGAAACTATTTTCTTAAATGATCACTTTGAAAGGGAACTTAGGAGGATGGTTACTAGTGAGAAATTGATTTGAGAATATTTTGATATGAATTGATTTATTATAAGTTTACAACATATATTAAAGTATTCAATATGAAATTGGAGATGCTCGAATATTTGTTGATTCAATTAAATTTCTAGGAGAACAAACTGAAATCGAAACATACTCTCTTCTATGTGATCTTGAGTCAAATATTGAGTATATTTTTTCTGATCCACCCTTTTGTATCAATTAGAGGGAGGCAGAATCAATTTGAATCTATAATGGAAATACCAAAAGTGATTCTCCTTGAATTCTTAGAGTAAGAATATGTGGCTGAGTATTCAGTTTTGATCATGAATGCTTGGATAATCATATTGTTAATATCCTTATTCTTTGAAAATTAGAAATAAAAAATTAGTCAGATGAAAACATTTGAAGCGCAATAATTATAATCAATTCCAATATATTATTTGATGCTCACTTCTAAAGCCATAAATTATATGTTACTCCAACCTTTGCTTTGTTTGGGATTGTTTAACTTGCAGACTAATTTCTAATCTAATAATAATAATATCTACTATATTATCTAAAATCTAGTGTTTCTCCTGTTTGTTCATATATTTTCAATAGGCTATTATATCTTAAATAATACTACTTTACTACTAACAGACAAGATGGATAAGAAAATCGAAGATGACTATTTAGATTTTATAATCTATATCCTCAGAATACTTCAATCCTATCTATTCATTTTAATGGACACTCATCTTACAGCTTATTTATAAGGTGCAATTTACCTCTCTATTAGCCTAATCAGAATATACACCATATTACTTTAAATGAAGTATTGTGATTTCAATCATTGCTTCATTCTGTTATTTTTTTCCTCCTCAGGAATGATTATGTCAATCTGTATATTTGGAGAATAGAATTTGAATTTAGCATATTTGATGTTGTTGAATCCCTTACTGATATTCTGTCTATGGAATTCTCTCAGCTATTAAATCGAATGCATCATACTCAACGACCCCCAAAAGTTATCGATAGACAAGCTACATTTTTTAGTTTGTTTCATCTTTGCAGACAATCAATTTTCAAAATAAAAAAATTGTCTCCTCAATGGAATTAAATTTAGCAAGCACATCCTAAATTGTCAATCAACTAATTGCTCATGCAAAAACAAATACAAAGTCAATGATCCATTGGAATTGAATCTAATTTAATTGGATATATTCTAATAGTTTCAAAATACAATTGTTCAATAATTCAAACTACACAATCTACATAAGAAAGGCAAGCACTTCTATAAGATGTGTCATCTCCTATCAGCCTTGCATCAATTGGGACATCATTAGGAAATCTATTATCACATTGAAGATTAGAAGTACAAAAACTTGTTAACCTTTGTCTAACAAATAAATTGGATTGTGTTCACATTCATCATTAAAAAACAGATGTACAATAAATTTGCCCAGCAATTAGAAACAGATAATAAAGAATGTCTAGAATTATCAGCAAAAATAACAGCGTTTCTACATTCGGAATCATTTAATTTGTAAATTAGGAACAATCTAATCTCAATAATTCAATTAAAAATCCAAATTCTATCCTCCCTTTTGATATTAGACAATGAGGCATTATATGAATACATTGAGACATTTGCTTTAGAAAGTCTGAAAAGAGAAAAATAATTGAAATAAATATTCTTGAAATTTCCAAGTTCCAAAAATTAATCCATTCTAATGTTTTACATGGGAGAAGTAGTGAATGATTGGTATAGGGCCTATGAATTCAACAACTTTAGCTCATTTGACAATAAGGCATACTAGCAATTCATCTCAAGTGACATTAATAGTATCTCAAATAAAATGACTTACCTAGTATTTGTGTATGAAAATCAGAAATTATACTTGTCAGGTATTTCTAAAAAGGCTTGCGAAATATTCGGCTGGGATTAAGTATAATTCTCTTAATTGAGAGATGCTAATGTCCTTCTTCCCAATTGCATACGAGATACTCATGACTAAGAGATTGATAAATTCTTATAGACGGGAAAAGGATTGTATTTTAGAACAAAGGGCATCAATTTTTGTCAATGCAAAACTGGATATTTGTAACCTATTCACTTTTTTTATGATATCCAATTTGACTAATAATCCTTTTTTCAATTCATCTCCTTCATCTAAAAACTAGAAACTCCTCTAGCCATCTTGATTGTAGATTAATAGGCGAAAATCCAAGGAGTAAGTAGGGATTTCTTTAAGATGATGAATTTCTCTTAATTAGCGATTGATTCAATAGCAGTGCAAAAATTATTGTATGGATTGCCATCCTATTTGTTTTTCTCTTTGTCTTAGTTCGCTATTGAATCTACTACAAAGTCAGTCATCACCTTCCCTAATGAAGAGCAGTGTCTATTAATGCAAAGTTAAAGTATAAACCAAAAGATAACTATGTGTAAACAAAGACACTAATAAAATCTATTTGAAGTGCAAGGAGATATCCAAATAAGAAATTCATATAATATCATTAGAATCTACAGAATGATGGAATGTGAACCATCAATCTAAACATAAAAGCAAATTGAGTATTATAATTCAGGCGAATTTCCATCCTTGATTAATGATGAAGATGCTGTAATCACTCCATACGATGAATGCTTCTAGTTCTTTTCCCCTCTTAATGAAAATCAATAAAACTAATCAAATCAATACTTTCTAAGATCTACCTAAAAGCAGATTACCAAGAAAATCCTTTTGATGGAATCAAATCTTTAGAATAGTTTATCCTAATTAGTTGAAAATGAATAATAAACAATTAAAATGCTAGGGAATATCTATTAAAACGAATAAGAAGATGACACTGTCTCCTTCTAATAGGATGCATAATCAAGTGCCTCTTATGAAGAATTAAGGAAATCTCACTTCTATAAAAAGTACTGCCTATATCACACTATAATCAATTCTGATGGCATACAACCCTATATTCTTAAATCAACAATCAACCTATTTCTACTCTTGCTAATTATTTTTATATTTATCGTATTGGTATGATATTTGAATTAAATTTTAGTTTTCCATTTTTAAAGCATATGATCTCCAAAAAATTATATTGTGCTATGATCAAATTCAGATTAATCACTTTTTCATTGAACCCATCCATAAATTCTTCTTGGCTAGATTGACTGTTTAAGATTACTTTTACCTCAGATATACAAATCAGATTAGTTAAGCTTAGGATCAATTCTATTAACCATTTTCTTTAGCGAATATTATTAGAGAATATTCAGTGATGCGGCTTAATTTTTAAGAGCATTTTTAGGAACAGAAATTTCAGGAATTCTTATATAGTTAATACATGGTTGTAAAATAATAAACAATCCACTACACTCCGATTAATACTTCAGATTATAACATTACAGTGTAATCAGCATTTGCTTTATTATTAGATGCATTCTACAAATAAGAATTAATCTATTTGAATTAATTTAATGTAAACATCTTAGGTGTAACACCTCATCAAACATTCTAATACATAAATTACATCAAATTCATCACTATCTTTGACGATATATCCAATTAGATTTAATCCGAATTCATAAATTAGATGGAAACAACTGAAAAACTGTGGGTATTCCTAAGTTTTCCAACTCAATTAATTTCAACACTTTTTCTGTTAGGATCCCTTCTATATATGAGACATTTCAAAAGGATTATTGATAAATTCATTAACTTAAGATCATTTACAGATTTATAAAGTGTGAGTAAAGATCTCAAGAGGCTTTCCTTTTTGATCAATCATCTTAAATCCGATTCAGACATGATCTATAAATATAGATTTAATTTAAATGCAAAAGAATCAATAATTATGGAAAATAAAAGGGGGAAAAATACAGTTAAGGATGATGCCCTCTATAATAAATAGACATCCATCATTAAGCTGATTCAAATTTATATACTCATATTCATTGCATGTGCAGGAATGATACTTACCTTAACTTTCGTCGTAATATCATTCTATTAGCTATTCCCAAAGACATTCAATTATTTTAAGTTGTTCTCTGATGTCGGTGTCTATGTACCAGCAGCCTTCTCGCAAAAGGAAATTTTGTATTTTTGGAGCAGATTTCAATTCTTCACTCCTTAAGACAGAGTCTAATTCATGGAATAAGTTTCAATAGGTATCGAGAAGATTAATTCATTCATTTCAACTGATGTGTATTTCAATGAGTTTCAGTTTTCCAATGATTTTTTAACTTATTTCCAAAATATTGGATAAAGCAACCTATGTCCATTATTAAATGAAGTAATAACTTATAATTTATAATAAAGAGCAATTATGTTGAGTTTGATTACTTTTGTGAAAATTCAAAAAATGGCATTCTGAAAAGAGGTCTATTACCAACTTTGAGCGATTTTAACTATTAATTGAAATATGAATTAGATGCTGGATTAATTAATAGAACCATAATACCGATTGAGGAATTAGAAGCAGTGTACCTCTGTTCGGAAGTAATAAGTTAATTATGCGATTAAATGTTGTAAGACATTGTGAACCAAATCAATAAATTAGATAACATTTTAAATGTAATTAATCTATTTTAATATTCTTCTAGTGGATCCTGACATCATCTTTTATATTACTTGTTTTTGGATGCTTCATAGTTTATGTTAGGGTTTATCCAAGAATGAAGAACAAATTAAAATATGTGAAAAAGATTACTGAAATATTTCCATAAGATACGATATTTTTAAATGATTATTTGGAAAGAGATCTTAGAAAGATAATATTAACAGAATAAATTAATTGAATAATTTAATTAATTATTTATTTATTACTATGTATACTCAGATCTTTTTATTTTATTAATTAGTGGATAAATTTATATATCTCTTAATTTTAATTTCTAATATCAACTTTGCACTAATATATTTCAGAAGCAAATAATTTAGTTTGTATCAAAAACATATAACTTTGATGACTAAAATTTAAAGACCAGCTTTCATATTATGATACCAAAAACTAATCTATATTGCTTATTCTTAAATTTAAGTGAGGAGACTTATAAATTAATCTCTTAAAATAATAGAACTCCTAAACTATCTGATAATTATGTTTTAGTTCAATTAAAACCATCTCTTTAATCAAGATCAATTCTATTTTGCAAATTATTCAATCAGAAATTATGTTTTTATCATAAAAAGAACAAAATTTCAAAATTTTAAAATTACTAGAACCCTAGACATTTAGAATCTTTGATAATTGACCCCAAATAATACACATTTTGCTGTCAAAAAACAAATTTTTAACACAAAGTTTTATAATACTTAAATAATTTATAAAGGGTTCTAATAGAACTTTTTTTAATATTTCAAATTTTTAATAAATTATTATAAATATGATAAAATATGAAATCCTTTTCATGTCCTTCGTATAAAAGCCTATTTTAATAAATGATATGCTCTCAAAATTTTTTACTCATTATCAGATAGTATCTCTATTTACAACTTTTGTAATTTAGGGTCGTTTTTCAGCGGTTAAAAAGCTGGAGATTCTGTTAGTTAAAAATATTAAGAAGATTATCTATTTGTTTATCTTGATGAAGATGGCCTTTATGTAATAATGACTTTTTTTAAATCATTAAAACCATTGGTTTTGATGTAAAGTTCTTTATTCTTAATTATCACTTAGTCTTAAGTATAATATATTTCAAATTCATTCTATTTGCATAATTCATGCTTTATTATTAAATATTGATTTAAACTCTTTGAGACTTATTTAAAATCAATGAAGTATATTCTTTGTTTAAACAAATCTATAAACTAAATTGTCTATTACAATTTAGTAGTTATGTCTATCATTTTATTATTTTTCAAATCAATTGAATGAGTGAAGGGACATTTTGAGTAAGGGTAAGTAACATTAAAATTATCAATTTCTTCTCCCTGATTTAGTTGTTAATGTGAATTAAAAATGAGTTCATTAGCATCAGAACCTTCAATATCCATGAAATCACCATCCATTTCAATTTAGCAACATGAATTCTTTGAACTACTCATAGTTTCTCGAAAAAAATCAAGCTTGGTAGTCTTCTTCGAAAATTAACCGCTTTTACAATATTCTTATACTTATTTGTAATCTGATTCATTCTATATCACTACAAATACCTAAGAGATGCAATTTTATAATGAGAGTTAGGATATAATTCCCTAAATTAAAACTTCTTATGTTTGCTTCACATCGTTTCCGAATACACCAGATCCAATGAGCGGAAATGCAATTTATGTTATATTCAAAAATTTGCATGTTTCAAAAACTTATGCGATCAAAGAGTAAACATGGCATTAATAATTTTCTAAATTTGCAGCTTTTCTATAAAATTTTGGGTATACTTGAATTAAGTATTTTAAATGCTTTTGATGATGGAATTCTATATAAGTAACATCTTCTAGATCTTTTGCTTTACTTAAATATCTCCATTATAAAAATAGCGTATCTTTATCATTTTCTCCTTCGATGAAGTTTATTAGAGTTTTAACTTAATCGTTTTAAATTATCTCTTTACTAAAGTCAACATTTTTCACAAATTCTAGAACAATTGCTTAACATTAAATTTATGAGATATTTCCTTAAATGAATTTTATTTTTGCAGTATTTACTGTATTTATAAGAAACCCTTCAGCAGAAATAGGATCAATGATAGATATATTTTTAACATCAATAATAACTTATTCTTTTTTCTCTATCTCTTTTATAGATTTGGGTTCGATTTAATTAGAATCAAAATGATATACCTTCCAAATCTCATAAGATTTTTCTAATTCTTTTAAGCTTTTAATGATATTCTGGAAGTCTTGCTTATAAATTTCGATTTTTAACATATACTTTTTTGGATCGTAAATTGATGTACAAAATTACTGCTCTTGTAACTTCTATTTTATTTGATCTGCAAGAGATTTTTAATTGATAGTAAGTCTTATTTCCATTTTATATTTCTCAAATAATTCCTTCATTTCTTCATTAATGTTTTGAACTTGCTCTAAATCTAGGCTTCTTCCTACAAGAATGACTTATTATTTATTTTCTTGTGGGATTATAGGAATAATATCTTTTTCCAAAATCAACCTTGGAATTTCTAAATGAAGATGTTTCATAATTTAGATGAAAGGAGTTTAAATAGTAATGTATTTTAGGTCATTAATGAAGTTATTTTTTATTTAATTTTAAATAGAATTTACTGTGTATTTATTATAATAAATGACTGCAAATTAATATTTCCATTACTGACCCCCCCCCCCTCCTCCCCCTAAGTAATTAATTTATGCTATTTTTTCCTTTTCTTGTTATTGGAAATTATTTAAAATTTTTTTTAAATCAATTTAATAAATTAAACTTTGTAGTTAGATATTGTCATTCTATATTTCGATAGTTTCTATAGACAATTCGTCCAACTACTATTTAATTTTTTGTATTTCTTCTTTAAATTTTGTAAATTTTGTGGATATTTTTACAATAAAAACATTTTGATTGTCATTCTTTTTCATCCTCTTATCCTCTTCTTCTATATATTCATTCAATGATTTATTAATTTCTCCTTTCAAATATTGCTACCAAATACATATTTTTGATTCTTCTATGTTGATTTGAACATAAGGATTATAAATTTAATATAATAAGGTATGTATTTTGGCATAGAGTTCCTCAACATTATAAGTTTTTTCCTTATTACTTAGCCAGGTTTCAAAACTAAATTTAATTTCAAATTAATTCTACTTAATTTACTTTGGTTGTGATGCTGTGATACTTATATTCTTAAACTTTTCTTACAAATCTTCCAATTATTAAGCAAGAATTTCAGTTTCTAAACATTCACTAAATTGAATAGATATTTCCTTAGAATCATATTAAACAAAATTATTTTTATAGATAAGTTTTATGAATTCTTATTGAAATAAACTTAAGTCTTTATCCTTTTTTTCTATAACTAAATAGAATTTGTCATATTTTAATGTTTATTTGATTTAAGAAATAAAATCATCAGGGTATTTTGTTCCATTTCCATCTTTTAATTCTTTGAGATTAATGATGACAGGGTCAAAATTTGTACCTAAAATATCTGTAAACTTTGATTGATATTATTTCACCAAATTATAGATTATGTTAGATTCCTATTTTGTTTGAGTTTCAATATTAAGTATATAATATTCATCTAATTTTTTTTATATATTATTCACAAAATACTATATGTTATCCATGACACCTTGTATTGTGTTAGTAGGAGGTGGGATGGAGCATTATAATTTGTTAAAATTACATACAAAATCAAATCCAGATTATTATGCTTCATCAGCCATGTCCTTCAATATGACTTAATCAAATATAAGCATCTATAAAGCAGGAGTGATTCCAAACTTTTCCTAACCTTTGAATTAATAAATCTATTTATAAAACAAATAATCTGCTTTCTCAAACTATGTTTCTTTAATCGAAAGTTATAGATCTTTATATTTATATTCTAATTCATTTTTTTATTTTTCTCCCAATCTATGAGGAAAATAAAGACATAATTAGAAATAACCATTAAGATAAAATTTCTCAATGAAATCAATTAACTTAGCTTTATAGGCTAAATCAAATGAATTCTCTTTTGTTATTCTTGCAATCATTTCATATCCTGGTTATGTATCTTATGCCTCTACTATTTCTACTTTGTCATTGGCAACTTATTTGGTCAACTGATATTTAAATTTTGGGATAGGATTTGAATTTACTTATTTTTCTCCTTCATTTAAGACAATATCCTCTTATTGGGTACCATTTTCTAGTTTTTTTCCATTTATTTATTTTCTTCGATTTAAAGTAAATCCGTTGCTATGTGTTTTTCTCATAGGATCAATGATCATGTAAAAATATATTCTTAATATAAATAAAATTAAAATCTATTTGAGAGGCTTTGAAGGTACAATCCTCCCTCCTTTAAACTGAAATCATACAGAGGGTTACCTTCTATTTTTTAATAAATTTAAAGTCTTTCATTTATATCTATATTTTATATAATGGACCCATAACTGGATTAATACATGAAAATTAAGAAGGCTCATTTCATAAATTCAAGCATAAAAAGTAGTGATAATAATTGTACTTTAATAGCAAATATAAAGAAGGACTATAAATTCATAAAGGAAATAGGAGCAGGTGGTTTTGGGGTAGTGTTTGAGACTGAATAGAAATCAACAGGTATAAGATGTATGTTCATTAGGTATTAAAAGAGCAATTAAAGCAATTGCAAAAGATCGTGTAGTAGATAAGGAAAGCTTCAAGAATGAGTTATCGATCCTTAGAAAGATTGTAATATTTAAATTTGAGTAGAGGATCATCCAAATATTCTGAAAATGTATGAGGTATACGAAACCGAGAAGACTGTGTATTTGGTAACAGAGTAAGCAAAATGAGTATGATAGGATGTGCGAGGGTGGGGAACTATTTTACTACATCACCAAGACTTAGCATTTGACTGAGATGCAGGCAGCCAAGATAATGAGATAAATATTTACAGCAGTAGCATATCTACATGAGCATAAAATAGTTCATAGAGATTTGAAGCCAGAGAATTTCTTATTGAAAAATAAGGATGATGAGTCTTCAATTAAATTGATTGATTTTGGATTGGCTAGATTTTTCAGGGAAGATGAAGTCATGACCTAGCCTAATGGCAGTCTCTTCTATATAGCTCCAGAGATCATTAAAGGCCAATATTCATATGAAGTTGATTATTGGTCCTTGGGAGTGATTTTATACGTGATGATGTGTGGATAGCCACCATTTCCAGGAAGGAATCCTTAAGAGACTATAAAGAATATATAGAAAGGAATATTCACATTTTCAAAGGCTGGATTCAAGGGAGCAAGTGAAGAAGTAATTTAATAAATATTGAGGAGAGGTTAGGGATTTAATTTAGAAATTGTTAGTGATGGAGCCTAAGAGAAGATTTACTGCTAAATAAGCTTATAATCATCCTTGGGTATAATAATAAGTTAGTCATGAATTGATGAATTTGAGATTGCATGATGATTACTATCAAAGGGTCTAGAGAATAATGATAAATGCATAATAAATGAAGAAAACAATGTTATTATATTTAGCAACATTTATACCTGAAAATGAAGTAACTTCATTAAGATAATTATTTGTCTCATTGGATAAGGATGGGAATGGTATGATTTCATTGGAAGAAATGATCGAAGGATTGACTGGGTTTAAAAATATGAAACATAAAAATATGGATAAGAACTTCGTAACTCAATTGTTTAAAGCTATGGATATTGATTAAAGTGGATATGTGGATTACAGTGAATTTATAGCTGCATTTCTGGTGTGTCCATAGTTTTAAAATGAAAGATACATTGAAGAATAATTTAAAAGAATAGATTAAGATAACAGTGGCAGAATATCTAAAAATGAATTGATGGATATTTTTCATACTGACACTATATCCATAAAAGACTTAGATATTGAAGAATTGATTAAACAAGCAGATATAAATAAAGATGGGGAGGTATTAATCTGTTATTATTATAAGATTGATTATTAAGAATTCATGATCCTTTTAAGGGATAGATTTGCAGATTAGATTAAACAATGACTATTTGATAAAGTTATTAATATTTAATATGAATCAATTGTTTCAGCAGAATTGCCTATTTTTATTTAAGTAATACGATTTCTTTGTTAACTTGAATAATATATTTGATAAATATAGAAACAAATCGATCTAATAATTCTCTGTTTATATTCTTCAAGAACTAATACAAATAAAGATCGTAGTCAACGCACTGATAAAATTAAAAAAGTCTCCAATTATTTCCAAACTTGAGCCTTGATCTTGAAATTTTAGAAGAACAAATAATATTTCTTTTGATCATTACCAAAAATTTTGTGCATTGAAAATGTTAAGGGGAATCATCACTACTCTAAGATGCAATGCTCAATTAATTTGAGAATCAGAGAATTGGCAAAGCCTTGAAATGATTTCCATTCACATTTAAGAGTGCTTCTTTAAAAGATTACATTTGAAGTAAGTTTGTAGGATGGTTACATGATTAAATGAGATGGGGAAGAGACAATAGGAATAAATGCTTAGATGTTTCTTCAGTAAATTCAACATCATCTAAGAATTTTTATTCATCAATCAATTAAATACATAGAAATTGAAGTTAGACCAAATGTCAAACATCCAAGAAATTCAAATTTAATGATTGCTTCAATAAAATTTGAATGGATTAAAAAACCAAGAATCGGTTTAGATAGTTAGTCAAGTAATGGGTTGGAAAAGCAATGTTGAATATATTTAGAATTTTTGAGAAAATCCCTTAAAAAATGAAGTTAACCAATATATGTTTACATTGTTCAAATCATACCTTGTGAAATCAATTAGAGGTCATATAGGATTGAAAAAATACAATTCAATTGAAAACAAAAACTTATTTTGTAGCATTATGAAGAAACATAGTTTGAATATCATTTACAAATACAGAATTGTGAGTAGATTCTATCACAATCCTATAAATTCATTGTTAAATCCAAATCAATCTCCAAGATAACAAAATTCTATTCAAAAATGTTGATTATGAAATAATTCTCACATCAATAATTATAACTTTCAGTTACAAAAACCCTCTCATCCATAAATCTAAATAGGACAGAGTTAATCCATTAATGAATTAATATTTCTAAACAAACCTAAATTTTTTTGATTAATTAATCAAATAAATTATGCAAGAAGAAAAAGTGCATGCTTTATCAGATTTGACAATTTTATAGAAATAGTATTTGCAATCTGTTGATGTAATCTATTAATGTACTATATATTCATATATCATATATTTCTCATTATGTGAATGGTAATACTCCTCTTTGTCTAAGAATTGCTTCCAAAGCTGAAGCACTCTATCCCTTTTATCTCAAATATCCAGCCAAGATCACTGTGTTATTCTTTTTATTGTAAACTCCATTCTCATCAACCTTTTTTGTTATTAACAATCAATACTTATCCAACATTAATTTATACACTTGAGTAATCGCTGCTATTCAGAATCATATTTGTATATTGGCACTTTCTTGGAACATAAATATCAACAACTTATTTTTCATCATTGATCATTCCTGCATTTTCTTGAATTCTGTGAGCCATAATATTAAAAAAGATTTAAATTTTTTTATATATATTTAATTAATTCACAATTGCTTAATCTGCACGAACAAAAAGACTAACTTATCCTTAAATATAAATTATAATACTTTAACCTTCCAAAATAATTGACATATTAATTGATCAATGATGGATTTCTATAAATTTCAACTATCGTTGATAACCTAATTCAATAACCATTCTGATCAGGAGAACTTGTGAATAGAGAAAACTACGAAAAGATAAAAGATAATATAAAAGACTTACCGACTCAAAATAGAGAATATAAAAAAAGGAAATTCAAACATGAACAAAAAAAAATTGAGATTTAGATTAATTAAGTGGATTATATCAAGAAATTTATAAGATGAAAGCTTTTTTAACTTATTCATTACTCTTCTTCAACTGTTATATTAATTATTTTTTCTTAATTATCAATTGTGTTTTCTGTTACTATAAATAATTATCAAAATATATAAATTAATGCTTTTTGAAAATCTGTATGGTGTTTTAATACTCTTAAAAACCTTTAATTATAAATCGAATAATTATTTGTGTTTAAACAATTTTTAATTATTATCAGAAATAATGAAATCAATATTCAAATTCTAAAGTTAGATCTTGATTCTCTTATTTGCTTGTTTAAGCTTCATTAAATGTCATTCTTCTATTAATTATAAAATAGAATTAATAATAATTGAAATAATCTACCTATATCAATTGATTACGATCAATTATAAATTTAATTTTAAAAATTCGTTAAGAATGAATAATCACTCGCAAAATTTACCAAAACTTGATTAAACTCCAAGAACATTTTAATCCTCGTATCATTCATTGGGCAGATCCAATGTAAATTTCGCAAGATCTTTTTACAAAGATGAAAATGAAATGAATGGATATAAAAATTTCAGAAGTAAGTTAATTATTAAATTAGATGAGTAAAGGACTTAAACAAATTTTAATAATGAATAATCCTCCTTAGGAACAGAAATAATGATATCATTAAATCAAAGAGAGTGGAGATAAAAGAATTGCAATTAATAACTATTATAATTTATAGAAAATTATTATGCCCAAGGTAAAATTAAAATTACAGTGACTTTTGATTCTATGTTTGGAGAGAATCTTTAGAAAATAGAAAAATAAAAGTATAATTTATTGAATTTATCTATAAAATCAACCGAAATTGATGATGAAGATAAATTATACTAATAGAGAATATACCAATTTAAAGGAAAATAAGAGAATAATCTATTACCTCTTATAGAAATGATCATATATAGTAATTCTTATTTTCCATATTTTTAATAAATTGTTTAGAAAGTGGGAGGCAAAGTAGAAATTAATTATGGAGGATGTTATTTATGGATACCTCCTCCATCAATTAAATAAACTAAAATTAACGATTTTAATTGTTGTTTTGATACTATTTGTTAATATTTAGAAAACACTGTAATCCTTCAAATTGAGTGTTCATCTAATGCAGAAGCATTAATAAAATATAATATCCTAAAGAAATAAGAGGTTCTTCAATAAATTGAGAGAACTTTAAATGTTGGATGTTATGATGTTGTAATTTTGAATTTGGAAAGATCAAAAATGGAATATTAGTCCTATATGGATTTTAATTTATTATTTAAACATAATCAACTTTATTTCTTAAGTAACAATAATGGAAAAAGCATAGTAGAATAATAAAATAAATTGAATGAAATTCTTAAATCAAAAGACATTATAAAAAAGGAAAGTATAACAGACAGTATTATATTTTATGATTTACCTGAGGATGAAGATTAAACTGAGATAAAAATCAATCACCTTAGAAGATAGTATCCGGAGATAAATATTGAAATATCCAATTGTCAAACTTTGTAAGACTAAAAACTTTAGCTACAAATTACTACAACTACTTGGTTAACTAAAGATCAAGACAAAACAGAATTCGTAAAATAAGCCAGATAAATTAAATCTTAAATTGAAGAAATTCAGTTGCCATGCAAAATTATTACAATCTCCCAAAATCAAAAGATTATTTGGGAAAACTATCTTTCGGAATACTTTTAAAATTATTCATCTTGTTTTTCAGTACATTCTAAGGCGATGATATAGAAATAGTATTGAAAACAAATTAAGAAAAATGGAAGGAGTTAGATAAATAACTTAAAGTTAAATTATAATCATTCACATAGCAAATTATTAAGTTAGAAGCCAAATCTTCAATATTAAATTAGATAAAAAATTGTAAGGAAAAAAATACATTATTTAAATATGTTTTTAAAAACTTACTCTCAGATTTTCAAGATAAAGTTAATATTACTATTAAAGAAGTAGAAGAGAAAAATGTTGTATTTATAGCTGTTTTTGATAAACAAAATTGTGATATTAAAAAAGTAAAGGAGATATTAGAAACACAGTTTATATCTAAGTTGAATGTGAAAGTAGGGAAATTTCTTTATAAAGAGAGTCTTCAATATTTTTAAATTAAAGTTCCGGAGTAAATATTAAAAAATGACATTTTTGTACATCAAGGAAATTTAAATCAAGGAAATAAACATCAAACATTCTTTTTTGGTCTAAATTAGCAACTTCTAGAAATAGACGATTTTTTTAAAAGATTTAAAATGTAAATATCAAAATGCATGGATTACATAAGAATTTATAGTTGAAAATAAGTTAATTTATAACTTGTTTCAATCTAAATATCGTTTAAAAGAAATTGAATTAAAGCTAGGGACAACCATTGATTTTCCTCAAGAACCTTATACTAATTTAGGTAAGATTGTAATAGCAGGGTTTTAAAACTAGGTAGTTGATTTATTATAATAATTATCTATAGTAGAAAACATATTTAAAAATTTTTGTACGGTTAAAAGTCTACCCCTTAATAATTAACAAATAGAATAATTAACTGCTAATTCTCAGTAATTGCAATAAATTTAAGAAAAGACATCTAGTTATTTTGAATTCAAAAATATTATTAGTTTCAATCCTGAAGAATCTATTTTGGAGAAGCTAACATTTGAAGGAAAAGAATTATGTATTGTTAAGGGAGACATCACCCAAATTAAGTGTGAGGCAATCGTATATTAAATAATGAATGATAAGTGTGAACTTGGAGAAATCGGTTTGTAAAATCAATAAGTCAAAAATATATTATCAATTACTAATAATGATATATAAAAATTTTTCAAAGAAATAATGAAGGGTAAATCATCCTTAAATCCTGGAGAATTATTTTATTACAAAGTTAATACTGACTCCCATGTAGATCATATTTTTAATATTTATCCTCCTACTTATAGGCAAGCAAAGACTCTTGCTCGTGACAAAAAAATCATAGAGTAATTGATTTAGAATATTTTTTAATTGGCCAAAGAGAAGAATATCAAATAAATCGCTTTTCCTGTGATTAGTGTTGAAATTTTTGGTTTTTATATGAACATGGCCAGCTAAATTCTTTTGAAAGAAATTATAAATTGTTTGTTTCAAGGTGATTGTGATATAAAATAGATTTTCATACTTGAAAACGATGATTTAAGATGTAAAAAATTGCTCTATCATTTAAATAATCTTTTATCTGATAACCCATAATAAAAGACTGAAGATTATATAAAATAATAATGGTAATGGTTTGAGTAAGATCATTTTGAGGATTATGACGATTATGAAATTAATAGAAAAATGTGCAAATTTTACACTGAATTCGAGAAAGGCTAAGATTAACGATTTAATATATTCTATCCTTACAGTAAATACCCTGGAACACATTTAATAGATTTAGACAAACAACGAATTTGGGATAAAACTCACAACAATTCTGAGCAAAGTATCATTTCCATAGATAACTTTGGAGAGAGAAAATACTATATAAATGGAAAATAAGTTTCTGATGATTTAAATAGATATTTGATACAATAGGAAATCTAAGGAAAAAGAAAATTTGATATATTCTATAAATTCTATGAAATTTACATGACTAAAGAAGGACTCTTTTAAAAAAATTTGTAATATGAAAATATTAGGCCAATATAGTTTATTCCATATGAGAAACAGAATGTGGAAAATGTTTTGATTAGGCAAAGTTCTCAGTTTAAGATTTAGAAACTTATTGAGGCATCATATAAGGTGGAATATGGATCTAAAGTCATCTTCTTTGAGGTTAATTAACAGAAATAAGTGAAATATGATCAGGTACTTGTTCATACTACAAATGATGATGAAAATATGCCTGAATGTAAAATATTGGAATTGTTGGAAAATACACCTAAATTAAAATCCAAAATTTAATTATTGAATAGAAATAAAGAATAGATATTCTAAGTTCGTTCTCCTAATAGAATAGTAGTTGCAGCAAAAAGATAGCCACTCCAAGATAAAAATTGAATAAAATGAATGAAAATTGATAATATATAAAAACATTATTAAATTAAATATCATATAAAATATTTGATAATGTATATTCATATATACTAGTTATTCTTAAGTTTCCTCTAAAATTAGGATTAAGTGCTGAATAGATGTAAATGAAATGATTTTTGAATAACTTACTTTGGTTTATATTTTATTGTTTCTGATATTTCTGTTAAAATTCCTTCCTTACTAGAAAATTATTAAAAGTTAGCAAACCTAACAATTCTTTTGGAATGCTTATTTGATATTGAGAATAAGGATGAAACAATAATAAACTTAGCTTTGATCAACAGAGTAGAAATATTAATATTGTTTACAAAATTTGTGTGGAGCATAAAAATTTAATTATAAATCAATATTACATGTTTGATGTTCCAATGTATTTTATAAAAGGCATCAAAAGGTTTTCCATAATACATAAAAAATTCAAGGATAGCTTTTCAAAGTACAATACTTCATTGATATAGAAAGGTTAAGAAATATATAATTTAGAATGTTAAAATGCTTGAAGACTTATCATAATAATAAATTGTATAAAAATTATTATTAAATGAATAGGATTGTAAATTTATGATTTTTTCGTTCTTAGAAAAATCATTAACAATACATAGAGATTTAAAAAAAGCCAAACTATTATATGAGTTCTATCATAAGTTGTCTGAATAATGGAAAAATAAATGAAAATTAAAATGAGTCTAAATTGTCCAAAGATTCTTTATTATTTTATGTTTGAGAATCCTTTTTAGACTTGAAATAGTAGCTTCATCGACATTTTTCTCTAAATATAATAAGATGGCAAGTAAATTAAAAATCACACGTTAAAATAATTCTTGTATTCTATACGCTACTCTAGTTTAGTGAATGCCTTAATATTTACCCATTAGGTACACAATCAATTATGATTCATCTTTAAATCAAAGCAGGAGAAAGAAAGATTCATCTGACATATTCATATAATTTATCATAAGTTAATAAGGGTTAAAAACTGATTCAGAAGATTAGAAATATAATGTATTATTCAAACTCACTTCTTCTTTATCCTCTATTAATTTTTAAGAGCATTTTGTTTTCATTTCATTTCATTTTTAATTAATTAATTAAATTATGAGTTGATAATATATATACGAATCAATTAATTAAAAAAATAATTTTAGAATCTGAAGACCAAGCCAATTAAATGTTACAAATATTCACTTCTATTACGTCAAACCTTATGTCTATGAACCCTTTATGATTTAGCTAAATAATATATAAAAAGGAAAATAACATGTTACAGTTTACCAAATATCGAAAAAATGAGATTATTTGTTGATTGAGTTTTAAAACAAATTTTATTAATCTGATAAATACAAAGCTAAATTCAAGCTTAGTACTAAGAATAATCTACCCAATTCATTTTAATATAATCATTAAGGCAATTCTATTTTTAGGTTATTGTCATTCAAAGGAATATTCAGTTTGAAAAAATAAAATAATTCAAAATAAATTTTTAATTAATTTTTACTACAATTATAAAAAAATAAAAATTTAAATAAGGAATACTAATCTGAAATTGAAGTCATCTTCACCCACTTTCTTGTTACAATTATTGTGTGTAGGATCTTAATATTTCAAAATTTCTTATTATCATTTAGTAATTTATTTCTGGGTGAAAGCTTATATATATATTATTCATATCATTGTGTAAGAAATCACTTTCATGCTTTTCGAACGAGAAAAACATCATGCAAAATAAAGAATGCAAAAACAAATATAATTAAAGTTCTAATTTGTCTTTTTAACAAATAAGGGAAGGTACTATCAATTTCCAACTTATTTTTTCATTTTCTTTCTTTCATTGTTTCTTCTATTTTTCATTTTTTTCCTTGGGATACGGAAGCATTTTATTAGATAAACAAAATATTCTAAGTTTGGGTAAATGGAATGACTTTGCTGTGCCATAATGATCTTTGAATGCTAAAGTAAACAATAACTTAAAATTTTGAAAAATCAAAAAAGTAGAAATGAAGAACACATTCAGATTGTCTTCCTTCAATTTCATCACTTTAAGCCTTCCATACTAATCCAATTTACATTATTTTAAATATTAACATAAATTGAGGTCAATTATGTTGAAATTTTAATTCTGCAAAATAAACAATTACTAAAAACTGATGTTTAATTAAGTTTTGTAAAAATTAAATTTTATTCATAATTTAGCTTGATTAGAATGTAAACCTAAAGTTAATACTTTTAATGAATAAATAATTCATGATATTTGCATTGTTGCTAACTTTAGCAGCAAGTCAAACCTATAGTATAACATCATGCACATGTGCATAATTGTTATCAGAAGGAGATTGTTTAAAAAATACTACACTTGGTTGTGCATGGGACAGCACAAAAAAGGCTTGTGCAGTTTCTACAACACCCGTCACTCCAACAGTGACCTATGCTGCATATTGTGATACCTTTGCTGAAACAGATTGTCCAAAGGCAAAACCTTGTACAGATTGTGGAAGTTATGCTGCCTGCGCATGGGTTGATAAAAAATGTACCTTCTTCACAGGATGTACAGCCTTTGCAAAAACAACAGACGGTGACTGTTAAGCAATAAGTAATAGATGTATTACAGATGGAACTCATTGTGTTGAAGTCGATGCTTGCAGCACATACAAGAAATAACTTCCTTGCGTGAAAAATGCAGCTGGTAGCTTATGCTATTGGGATACAACAAATAACACTTGTGTAGATGCTAACACTTGTGATAAATTGCCTGCAACATTCGCTACAGACAAAGATTGCAGAGATGTCATTTCAACTTGCACAACAAAGACTGGAGGTGGATGTGTTGATAGTGGAAATAATTGCAGTGATTAAACATTAGAAATTCAATGTGTATGGAATAAATTAAAATCAGTTGCATGTTATTGGGATGGAGCTGCCTGCAAAGACAGAATTTGTGATAATGCACCAACATCATTAACAAACCCGATGATACTTGTAAGTCTTTTAGAACTGACGGAACATGTACAACAAAAGCCAACGGAGGATGTGTTACTAGAACCACTTGTGCAGCTGCTACTATCTAAGCTGCCTGCGTTAAAAATAGTTCAAATGGAGATTGCTACTGGACAGGAACTGCATGTGTCGATAAGACATGTACAAATGCACCAGCAACTATGACAACCAATTCAGCTTGTGCTGGATTCGTAACAGGATGTATCACCAAATCTGGAGGTGGTTGTGTTTCCAATGGAGCATGTTCAGCAGCAAATGTCTAAGCAGCTTGTGTGAAAAATACATCTGGAACTGATTGCATTTGGGATACAACATGCAAAGAAAAGACCTGCGCAAATGCACCAACTACCAATAACACTCATGACTTATGTACATCATATTTATCAACATGTACTGTTAAATCAGGAGGCGGATGCTAACCTAGAACTTGTGCAAATGCCCCAACAACAATAACAACTAATGATGCATGCGAAGCATATTTACCAGCTAATAACTGTATAACAAAGAGTGGAGGTGGATGTGTACCAAATACTACATGTGCAGTAATTACCTTAGAAGCTGCTTGTGTTAAAAACTCTTCTGGAGCTACTTGTTTCTGGGATTCAGCCAGTTCAACTTGCAAGGATAAAACTTGTGCTAATGCTCCATCAACTAATACTACTAATGATTTATGTGTTGCCTTTTTATCATCTTGTACAGTAAACTCAACCAATGCTGGTTGTGTTGATAAAACATGCGAAAACTCATTGGCATAAACAATTTGTGATAAAGATCTCAACAATAAAGCTTGTATTTGGAAAGGAAAATGCTATAAAAGAGAATGCGTTTTAGCTTCATCAACCACAGCAACTCATGCAGATTGCTAAACTTATGATGTAGGTTGTACTTTGAGTAATACTGGTACTGGATGTGTTCCTCTACCCCTTAAATGTGAAGCCATTACAATTGAAGCTGCCTGTAATATTAGATTATAAGTTACAAGTGGAGTTAAATCCTACCCATTATGTGGTTGGAATGGTTCATCTTGTATTGATAAAGCTTGCTCCACTGCTCCAAAAACAACAGCAACAACATCTGATTGTGGTACTTACAAATCAGGTTGTGTAGCAAATAACCCTGTTAATGGATCAATTTAAGGATGTTAAGATTTACCAACAACTTGTGCAGCGAGAAAATCAACTGAAAATTGTGAAATCACAAGAACTGGATTCCCAACATGCTTATGGAATAGTGCTACATCAGCTTGTGTTGAAAAATCTTGCTCTACTGCAAGCGTTACAACAACAACAGGATTTTTGACAGTTTTCAGCAATACAAATTGTTTAGCTTATTTGTCAAATTCTGCTTGTATTGCAAATAACACAGCAGATGGTTGCATTCCAAAGCCATCAAGTTGTGGTTCTTTGACTACTTCAGCTAATTGCGGAGTTGGTTCAAAAGCAAATGGAGATTGTTATTGGAATGGAACTACTTGTGTTGATAGAACATGCTCAAACATTTCATTATCTACTCACTCTGGTTGTAATGGTGTTTTGAATACATGCACAGTGAATAATGCAAAAACAATTTGTTAGAGTTTGGCTACAGCTTGTACTTCTTATGGGTCAAGTGAAAATTGTAAGTAAACCTCTGCTGGAAAAACTTGCATATGGACAGGAACAGCTTGTAGAAATGCAACTTGTTTAGATGCATCAGATACTAATTCTTTCGATTCAGATGGAGAGTGCTCAGCTTATCCAACACCAAGTGATACTTGTACAGTTCTATACAAAACTGGAGCAGTCGGATGTGTGACAAGATCAGCTAATTGCAGTGACTATGTATCATAAGCTTAATGCGTAAGAACATTAACAGCAGCTTCAGATGATTGTACCTGGAAATCCTCTCATAGCAAATGCTTTTCTAATACTTATCTTTCAGGTGCATGCTCAACCTTTTAAGGTACAAAAACTTTATGTGAAGCTATTAAAACCGGCTGCACTAATGCAGTGGGCGCTGTGGAAACAGATACTTGCACATTCTCTTGTGCTGTTGTAACAGGAACAAGTTTAACTCATGCAGGTTGTTAAGGATACAGTACTACATGCACTGCTAATTCAGGTGGAACTGCTTGTCTTACATTAGCAGCAGCCTGCAGTACTTATACAGCTTAAGGTGATTGCGTGAGAAGAACAGATGGTTTATCATGCTTTTGGAATGCTGGTGCTTCTCCTGCTGCTTGTTAAGATATTACTTCAACAAATTGTAATGCTCTTGCATCATTAACAGGTGCAACCCATGCCTCATGTTAAGCATATAGTACTGCTTGTACTTCTATTTCTGATGGAACAGCATGCTAAGCTATATAAGCAGCTTGCTCTAGTTACTCAGCATTAACTGCTTGTACTAAAAGAACAGACGGCTTAAAATGCTTTTGGAATACTGGTGCTACTCCTGCTGCTGCTTGCCAGGATATTACTTCAACAAATTGTAATGCACTCGCATCATTAACAGGCGCAACTCACGCTACATGTTAAGCATATAGCACTGCTTGTACTTCCATTTCTGATGGAACAGCATGCTAAGCAATATAAGCAGCTTGCTCTAGTTATTCAGCGTTAACTGCTTGTACTTAAAGAACAGACGGCTTAAAATGCTTCTGGAATACTGGTGCTACCCCTGCTGCTGCTTGTCAAGATATAACATCAGCAAATTGTAATGCTCTTGCATCCTTAACAGGAGCAACTCATGCCTCATGTTAAGCTTATAGTACTGCTTGTACTTCTATTTCTGATGGAACAGCATGCTAAGCATTATAAGCAGCTTGCTCTAGTTACTCAGCATAAACTGCTTGTACATAAAGAACTGATGGCTTAAAATGTTTTTGGAATACTGCTGCTACCCCAGCTGCTGCTTGTCAAGATATTACTTCAGCAAATTGCTCTTTAATCACAGGATTATCAAGTGCAACTCATGCCACATGTTAAGCATATAGCACTGCTTGTTATCTTAATATAGCTGGAAATGCTTGCTAAGCATTTAGCACATGTGAAGCACTAACAGGTTCAAATCTAACTTGGACTATTTGTTAAGCGTTTAGTACTACTTGCAGTGTTAAGAGAGATGGAACTGGTTGCGTAACAATTTAATCTGCATGCACTGGATACACAACAATTGCTAATTGTTATAGATCAACTGCTGGATATTGTACCGCTAATAGTGGTGATTCTGCCTGTTAAGCTATATCAGCTTCAACTACTTGTGAATAAATAAAATTAGGATCATCATTTGCTTTTGATGACACAAAATGTAATACTTTCAAAACTGGTTGCATAGCATTAGGTACATCAGGATGTTAAACCAAGACATGTGCTAATAAAACAACACCATTTGCTCATTCAGATTGTAATACTTGGTTAAGTACATGTACCTCAAATGCTGTTTCTTCACCAACTGCATGCACAACTATGGCAGCCACATGCGCTAGTTTGACTACATCAACATGTGTTTACGCAGTTGAAGGTGAATGTGTTGTCTCAGGAACATCTTGTGTCCGAAAGACTTGTGATACAGCTTCAGCAGATACAAGTTTCGACTCACATGCTGAATGTATTGCATATCTATCTACATGCACAGTTGCAAGAACAGGAGGTTGCTAAGCAAGAGCTACTTGTGCTTCATACAAATCAAGTTAATAATGTAAATTCAATTCAACTGGTGGAAAGTGTTTCTGGAATCCAAATAATAAGACATGCGTTGATTTAAATTGTGGTAACATTGAAGCCACAACAACTTACGATACTCATGCTGAATGTGTAGCAGTTGATACATAACTCCTTTGTACAGTTAGAGCTACAAATGGAGCTGCTGTTCCTGGTTGTATGGCTAGAGGAGCCTGCAGTTCCTATTCAATAGAAGATTAATGCAAAACTAATCCAAGTGGCGGTGTCTGTGTTTGGAACACAAATTTAACCACACCAGTATGTTAAGATAAATCATGCACTACTGCTCCAACTGCAACAGCAACCCATGCTGATTGTGATTCCTATTTCTCCACAGCTACTATTAAATGCACAGTTGTTGCTACACCAGATACAAATGGAGGTGCCGCAGTCCTAGGAGGTTGTCAATAGACAGCAGCTTGTTCATCTTATATCCATTAAGAATAATGCAGATTCAATGCTACAGGAGATCTTTGTGGGTGGAATGGAACTTAATGTGCAGATAAGTCATGCGCTACTGCACCTGCAACTACTGATTATGATGATAATGATAAATGCAGAGCTTACTTCAATAATAAATGTACAGTTGCAAGCTCAGGACAAGGATGTGTTGATATTCCAGATACATGTGAATCTATGACATAAAAGTAATGTGTTTCTGATAAGACTGGCAGATCATGCTATTGGAATGGAACAGCTTGTATCACAAGAACTTGTGAAAATGCCCCAGATTCAACAGCTTCGGCTGAAGACTGTAATACCTATCTTGCTGGATGTACTTTAGATTCAGTAAAATGCAAGACAAAGGTTTGTGAAGATTTTGCTTTTGCCACTGATGCCTTGTGTAAATCAGCCTTAAGCACATGTACAACAAATGGAACAAATTGTGTCACAAGAGGAACTTGCTTCTAAGCTTAGAACTAGGCTGGATGCGTTACTTCATCAGCAAATGTATAATGTGAATGGATGCCAGCTGTAGGAACTAACTAAGCATATTGTACTGTTAAGACTTGTAATACAGCCCCAGCAACATTAACCTCTGAATCAGCTTGTGCAAGTTATTTCACAAATTGCACAACAAAGAATGGTGGTGGATGCGTTACTAAGTCAACATGTTCTGCTGTTACTATTGATGTTGCTTGTACAACAGCTCTTAACGGAACTGTTTGTGCTTGGGATAGTGCATAAAATAAATGCAGAGATAAAGATTGCTAAGATTTCAGCGGAACTACTCATGCTGCATGCCAAACCTAAAGAGCTGGATGTACCGCTGGTGCCAATGGAAAATGTGCTAGAGTTTAAAATTGTGAATAAACTACTATCAGAAGTGCTTGTATTGAAGGAACAAATGGACCATGTTTATGGATAAACAATTATGTTAACTCTGACGGATCTAAAGGAGCTTGTTTCAGATATACATCATGCAAGAGTTTGGCTTGGAATTCAGATACATCATGTAAATGGATTAGTAATTAATGTACAACTAATGGATCCAATTGTATTGGAATTACTTTGTGCTCTGAAACTAATACTGATGGTGGATGTGTTTCAGGATATGATGGAGCTTGTATTCAATCAGTCCCAGCCTTGAATTCTTCAGATCCAAAGGTTTGCAAACCATATACATCTTGTGCTGATGCTTTCTACACAACTCATTCAGATTGTTAAACTGCTAGTAAGAAGTGTACAACAAACGGAACAACTGGTTGCATTGCCTTAGGTGCTTGCTCATCCTACACTACATAAGCAGGATGTTATTTCAATGATAAAGGAGCTCTTTTAACATCAGGAGCCATTACTTCAACAGGTATTTGTACTTGGGATACCACTGCTAGTAGTTGCAGAGATTAATCATGTGCTGATTTGACTGGAACAACCCATGCAACATGTTCTTCATAATTATCAACATGCACATCAGATGGTACAAGTTGCTTAGTCAAAGGAGCATGCACATCATACACTACTTAAACTGCCTGCACAACAGCAGTTGGATCAGATGGTATTTGCTATTGGGAACTTGCTTCTTCTACAAATAACAACACAGCCAAATGTAGATTACTTGCTTGTGCTGATATTCAAAATGGTACATCAACCAATGTTTGCGCAGTTGCCTTGTCATCATGCGTTTCAAATGGAACCCGGCTTGCATTGCAAAAGCTAACTGTTCAACATATACAACTAAGACAGCATGTAACTCAGGTGGATTAGATGGAATTTGCGTCTTCACTCAATCAACTGCTACAGGAGCTGCTGCTGGTACCGGAACTTGTGCATTAATGACAGCATGTACCACTGCAAACAGTGATTAAGTTGCCTGTTAAGCTGCTAAGGATAGATGTTCATGGACTGCAGCATCAGGAACTGGAACAACAGCAGTTGCTAGTAAATGTGCCACTCACACTTGTGCTACAAACTAAGCTACAAATGGTGCTTGCACAAGATTCTTGAATTGGGATAAAAAGACTTAATAAATTTGTACTCTTGTTAGTGGAGCATGCACAGCAACAGACCCATCAACTTTGTCATTAAATGATTGCTTCTAGGTTTCTGGATATACTTATACTTGGAATGCATCTACAAGCAAGTGCGGAGTCTGCACTGCTGTTGTTGTTTAACCAAATAATACAGATAATAATACAAACAACAACACAAATAATGAAACAACAACTGATTCAGGATATATTCTTGGATTATCAACAATCGTTTTGGGATATCTCATGTTCTGATGAGAATGATTTTATAAATTTATATAGGGAAAAATTATCTTAAATTTAAAACAAATATTTCTTATTTTTGGTTATAAATAAATTGATTAAATTTTCTTTTGATAACACCTTAAGAGTATTATCAATCAAAAAAAATAATGGCAATCTGGACGACTTTTCTTCAACTAGTAATACATTAAATAAATCAACTTTGGTAACTGATTTGGTCAAATACTTTATTATATATTTTACAATCGCGTTTTCATCAAATAAATAATTATTGCATCTTGCAATGAACATTTGAAGATTAAAAATTTCTATTTTGGTATAAAAAATTTCTTTTAGTTATCTCAAACCTTCTTAATCAGATTGATCTAAATTGAGAATGTTGGAGAGAAATAAATCTTAAAAAGCAATCATCATTTTGATAACTCTTTCTCTTCTGTGGACATACTATTATCAACACAAAAATTCCTATTCTTAATAATGATATATCAAATTTTCGGATAGGATGCTAAGGATGGTATTCTTTATTTTCTGATTTATATCAATCAAATGTTTAGTTTTCTTCTTAGATTTTTGCATTTCGATGAAATCACTTAATGGCCAAAAGCTTTTTGGCAAAGCTTCTTTAAATAGAATTTATATTCCTTCTATAATGATAATTTTTGAAATTATATCATTATTATCCCTGTTTTTTTGAATATGCTGATAACTTCTATTCATACTAAGACCAAGTTATTTCTGTAATTTTTATTTTTAATATTACCCAACTCTTCTTTTTAGAAAAAGCCTTCAATTATTCTCTTAAAATAGTTGTAACCAATGATTTTAATAAGTATTTTTTGAAAATTATATGTTACTGCATAATTTTTAGTTAGGCTACTATTTGTTGCATCAGAATAGTGAATAAAATCTACCTTTATTGGTTAAGTGTAAATATGGCATTAGTGAGCCATTTTTTGTCAGATAGTTTCAGGATGGTGAATCCCAGGCTTTTTACTTCTCTGACTTTCAGCTGGTAATTTGTTTAATTTTGGAATCCTTATTAAAAGAATAAATCAATATTCTCTTTTCCTTTATTTTTTTAAAACATCTTCCCAACATTAAACATAAAGATATTCAATGTTAAGACTTAAGATTTTTGTCCTTTGTATTGCATTTTTATGATTAGTGCTGCAGTCATAGATGAAATTCTTAAGTAATTAGTTTTGCTAGTAAAACGTAATGGCCTAAAGTACTAAAACAAATAGAGAGTAATATTATGCAGACAAAAATTGCAAATTTTTTCAAGCATATTGTTAAATTTTAGGTTTATTGTAAAAAGATTTTTTTTTTTCATTTAAATATATAATAGGGAAAAACGAAAATTTAGCCTTGTATTGATTATATTGTTACTGTGACAAATTTAGATTGGTAGATTTTTTCATTCGAAAATTACATAATTATTTTAATTATTTTAATCTAATTCAATTTAATTTTAAAGATTTTTAATTGGTAAATGTGATTAAGAAGAGAATATAGAATAGGATGATATTGCAAACTACTCTAAATTTACTTGCGCAGAACTCTACTTTTATTAATAATAATCTTAAGGACCTGAAGAGAGTTATCAAGCAATGCCAGATGAGCTTAAAAGAGTTTAAATCCAATGATAAGCATTTGCTTAATACTTAAAGGATTTTGATTCATCATCTTCCTGTAGTCTAATCAGAACTATTAAATTTGTATTAAGAATATGAATTATAGAAGTTGAAAGGTATAAAACACTGTTATAGCTTAATTGAGTGTAATTCATAGAATCTGCTTTGCCTTGAGTCTTTTTAAAA